TCTAAAATAGTTTATACTATAGTAAGAGTTTAAGCATTGCCTTATCTAATTTCTTCATTATGAGGTTTCTTGATTGCTACTTTCTCTTTGATAAGATTGCGAACTTTGACAATTTTACTTTTTAGATAATTTTTTCTTTATTCAGTTTATTGACGTATTTTAAGAGTCATTCTATGTTTAGGTTAGAGTTATTGTTCAGCATTTAATCTTGGATAATTGAGTGTTTGAATTAATCTTTATAGATTTAAGTCACCTTTTAAGTAATGAGCAAAATGTTATTCAAATTGTTATCCATGATTACGTGTTTCGAATGGTTTTGTAGTTACTAATGGATCTATATGTTTTCTTGATGAGATATGTAAAGTATTAAATTTACGATGAATATTTTTAGAGTGATCGAATTCACATGTTGTAGAAAAACTCATTAATAATTTTTATAAATGCAATTTAAAGAAGAATTGATTAATGTGATTATCAATTTGATTGAAGAATTATTTGAATGCAAACTTAATTCCATTATGCAAGAAGTATTATAATAAATAAACATAGGTTAATGATAAACTTACTCGTATGCATTAAGATATAGAAAATATGTAGGATGTACTTGTTAAACACTTTTCACATCAAATAGCTCATTCTAGAGCAGAATCATTAAGTGAAACAATTGATACTGCAGAAGAAGATTAATTTAAGAAATCAATTAATGCAGAATTAGATAGTCTTGGTTTACGTGTTTAGTAATTAGAATATATGAATCATATTATACTTGATACTTAAAGTGCTAATAAAAACAATTATAAAGAATTAGAACGTAAAATATAACCATTGCAAGAATAAATTAATAAATCAATAGAAGATATGAAAAAAGACTTAAAGGGTACAATCTATATATTAATATAGACAAACAGACATTTTAATGGACAGTATTAAATGACCAAATAGAAAGAGTAGAAAAATATGTTTAAAAACTTAAATAGGCAGATCTCTAATTCTAATAAAAATAATAATTATAAACACAAACAAATAAGAAATCAAAATGAAATGAATTTAACTAATATATAGTAATTTAAATATCATTCTCCATTATGATTATTTATATAACTGAAAATTGAAGATACAGTAGATACATTACTCTTCTTTTGCAATTCAATAATATCTAGATTTTAAGGATTTTCAGGATTAATATATGCTGATATCACATTAGTAAATTCATTCTATATTATTACTCTCTAATTCATTTTATTTCTATGAAGTTTTCTATAATAAATTTAAATATATTGATATACATATATTTGACTAATTGAGGTGCAATTGAATTCAATAAACTTATTGTAATAATTGTAGATGATGTTTTTGGTCTATTGGAATTAATTTATATTTAAGAATTAAGATCAAGATTTGATTTTTGTAACTTCAATTTTCCTATGAATTCTATAACGTAAACTCTAGCCTTTTTCCATAATAAACATGCCTTTTGTTTTGCATGAAAATTTTTAGGTTTCTTGATAAAATATTTAATACAAGGATATCGTATTATTAAATTTATTATCTTTTCTATGTTTTGCTGTTTTAATCCAGACAAATATTCCTTTATTATTTTTATTGTAATATAAGAACAATAGAGTAGATTAAGACATGAACATGTTATTGATAATATATACACTAACCAACCATAAGAATTCTTGTGTTGACTATAAGAACAAATTAAGGTGATCACGGCTAATTAAGTGGATATCTTATCAATAAAATTGTATTGTTTCTCAATATAGGGTTAATGTTGAATTAAAAACTCTAAATAAATCAATAATACTAATATTGCTAAAAGGAACATTAATTTAATGTCTTAAATTAATATTGTCTTTAATAGATAAAAGATTGATTTCTCAAAAAAACAAATGAATTCCCAATAATAATATCTATCCTTATATTCCACATATAAATAACCATAAGGCATTCTTAACCTGCAAGTCCACAACCTATTCTTATTCATATGCAATTTCATTATGTAAAAAATAGGGGATATCACTCCTACTATCAGTATTGTTGGGATTATAAATATTTTTAAATATTAATAGTACATATCAGTATAACAAATATATGATGTGGCAGCTTAAATATAGTATTAACCTGAAGCCTTAATACAGAACATCAATTTCAATAATCCTTCAATGATGTCCCCTTAAAAGTAAAAGTTGACTTGAATGAAACAAGTTATGAAAACAGTCTTAGTTGAATCTTCCAATTTATTTGTCTTACATAATTATATTATTGAGTATATGAATACAAATGAAATTACAAATAATAATGAAATAAATAAATTCCAAAGCTATCTTAAATAGACAATCTCTATATCTATATGAGTTTATAATAGAAAACATTCAATAGAGTATCCAAATGTAGATAATGGATTTCCTATCATCTAAGCTAAAAATACTATTGGTGTTGGGAAATCAAATTCAATTATTTAAATTATAGAAATCAATTGAAAATAGCTAGAAACTAATTTCATCAGAATTTCTGTTTTATCAAAAATCATATTAGATCTTGTTGCAAAGAACATTCCCATCATCCTTAGATAATATGCTGATAATTATGATCTCACCAATTTCAGACTGCCTCTAACTGATATAAATAAAGCAATTAAAATCCATAAAAATGATAGAAATATCTTCAATATGTTAAATGTATCATTTTAACATAATGAACAATTTCCACTCTAATTTCTTGTATATGAAACATTCCATTAAACAGCATAATAGTCACAATCATTACATAAGGCTCCAATATAACCTTCAGCACATGTGAAATTCTATGCGCCCCCTAAGCATTAATATTAAGATGTTCCACAATATTCTATTTAATCAGTTTAGTTGTTGGGTCTCCAATAACCTTATTTAATTATTAAATCCGACCCTCCAGGACATGATTCTATTTATGTTAAACATTATAAGCATTAGTTGAAGTTCATCAAACTATATGTTCCAGAAGGGCATTTTAAACATGTTTAATTAATCCAAGTTTCCCCAATCTCACATTCAATCATATTTAAATAAATTGATAGTTTTACTATATCAAAATAAAATTTAAGTTATGGGAATTCTATTTGTAATATTATTTACTCATTTTTAGGTGAACTTTGATAATACTGATATAATATTTCATATTAACATTTTTGAAAATTGAATAGAAATATCTTAAAATTGAGTGTCATATAATTTTTTAAATTACATAATCTATTCTTTCCACTATCTAAAATAGCTATGATGAATTCAATCTTTTATCCGCTCTTTAATTTATCGTATTGTATTAAAGTGTTCTTTTTAATTAAATCATCTAGTAAATAAGTAGTATTCTCTAAGATAATATAAACAGGTCCAGTGATGTAAGTATAAATATCAGGTTCAACAATTTAATTTGTTATTAGATGAATCTATTTATTATTTTTCATACTGCAGTTTACATATTCATTAAATTCAATATAATGTGAAGTATTTCCAATTTGATTTAAGTAAATTACTCCACCATCTAAAGACTTTAAGTCATTAAATTAGTTTTAGAAGATTTTAACAGAAGAATTTGTTATCACAAAACCTGATCCTAAATTAACAGTAAGATTTGAAAATACATTATCCGAAGCAATTAAATTAACATTATTTTGAACAATAATGTAGCCTAACAAAGATATGGAATTTTTGAAATTGCATTTTTAAATATCAGTAGAATAGCTATTCTTTATTACTACAATCCCATCACAAAATTAGCAATCAATATCATACAATTAAAAATCATATAAAATTATCCTTGAGCTATCTTCAATTCTTAAAACCTATTTAGTATTCTAAGTAACATTAAATATTTGATTCTACTTAATTTTGATGTTTGATTTTTTCATAACAATTAAGGGTATCAAGTAGTTCCTTATTTAGAATAATTTAATTAAGTTAAGTTCAATTTTTGAATTATTAAGTTATAGAAAATTGCATTCCTCACAATCATATATAATAACCATTTTTATAATCACATTTACAATATTTGATAATTTTGCTATTTAGATTGATGTACAATTACTAACAAGCACTTTGGTTATTTGAATTAAAGAGGACTATTTTAATTTAAATAAATTTGAATTAGATATCTAAGTAAAATTCACTTAATCAATTAAAAGCTCTTTAATTGAATTTGAATTGGATATTGTTCCTAAAAAAGAATCAAAATTTCCTTTATAAATTTCTAGAGTGCCATTAATAGAAAAAAAGGGATTAATTGATTCACTTGATTAGATTGTGAATTAATTTATAATGACATTACTGGAAGAATGCTTATTTATCATCAAACTTCCTTGAAGCCCCTTCAATTTAAACTTTTTGATGAGAATATTTTATGAATTATAAAATAAAAGTACTTCTGATTGAACATTAATTACACTAGTGTTTAACATTAAAATATATTGACTATCAGCAATCAGTAATTGAGAGTCTGATATAATAGAATGAAATATAGTTCCAATTATTTATATTTAATTATTGCTTTGCATTCTCATTAAATGGCTTTAAGATAATGTTACATTAATTATGGTTGTGTATAGTGCTCCATTGACTTGTAAAGCTGTAGAAAGAGTAAAGTATGAATTTTGAATGATTATTTCTTAAGATATATCTGAAACCATCAAAATACTTTAAATTACAAATGAGTTATTAAATGTTATTCTCCTGAGTTAAGCAACTGTAACTAATGTTGAGTTGATAAAGTTGACTTAATCAAATATAACATTTCGTAATCTACTTTCTTATTCAACTAGAGAACTTCTATAAAAAGTGGAGTTTGATATAATCATTCCATCTACATCTATTGGTGAATTAAACACTGATATATATTAGAAATTCATCTTAGTCATTATAGTCTAACGAATAAATATTTTGGTTGCATTGATTTAGAAATTACTTACAAGAGTAACATTATTCATATGAACTTAAGTTGATATTGATAGCATTTTGGTTTATGTGTTAATTGTGATGTTCTGAAATTCAACTAACCTGAAACCATGCAAAAGAGTGTTTTAATTCAAAAATAATTCAGTTCCTGTAATTTTAAGTTGTCCTCCCAAAGATGTCATATTAATTAGTTTATCATTACTTACATTCATAGTGCAATTATAGTTAGGAATTTTTATGGATTTGTCAAGTTGCAAAGTTAAACCTTATTAGTCTTTACAAATTAATAATCCCATTGTGACATATATATTTATGAGGAAAAACAATCCTTTCATCAAAAAATAAATAGTGATTTAATTATTTCAATAAACATCAAAATCATAAAACATCAATTCCCATTATTAAATTTATGACTTCTCAACGATTTGAAATATTAATAAATATATTATATATAAAAGAATTACAACAAAAGTATCAAATTAAATTGATATAATCTTTACTATTCATGATTTATTAAAATTTATATCATATTAATCAAAAATCCCTTCAATCATTAGACAAAAGGAAGAGCATAACTGAATTCTCTACTCTATAAGATATTAGAAATTTTGATTACCTATTTGAAAGGCCTGACAGTTGATACTGTATAAACTGATGGTACTGTGTACGGAGTTCGAATGATTGGTTATGCATACTGAATAACATTTGGACTTTGAATAACGTATTATTAATCTATAGGCAGTACTAATCTTATGGGACTCTATTCAAACTAAGTTTGAGTAATAAGATTCTAAGGATGATGGTTATTATTATTATTATTATTATTATTATTATTATTATTATTATTATTATTATTATTATTATTATTATTATTATTACTAATTATATTATTATTAATTATATTATTATCTGAATGATTATTTATTTAATAAACTTCTGAATAATCTAAAATGCTTGAAGCTCCTCTAATAGGATTGTCATTCTGCCATTCATAATTGCTATAGTTTAAATGTTCTTCATTATTGAAATCTACAGTAAATAATCTATTCAAATGGTATTTTGCTTATTATAATTAGTATTGATCTATTTTGATTGGATTATTTTAAAATGTTAATTAAGGTTTATGATACCCTTGATCTGGTTCAACAAAATATAAAATTGCTTCTTTCATACAAGACTGAGAATCTTTGAGTTTTTCTAATTTAGAGATTAGATTTCTCCATTCAATGACTAAATCTGGTTGATAATTTTAATCAGCCTTTCTGAGAAGATCTTCAAAAATGGCATCAATCAACTTATGAAGATCTTAACGTAATTACAAAAAATCATATCTTTAATGCATTGCAATTTCATTGGCCCTTTTGGCATAACCCCTATAGACTTCAGTTAGAGTGTTTTATATAGTGTCGACTGAATAATAGAGTTAAAATATAACTTACTAAATTTGGAATGTTGAGGAGAATGAATTTCTAAACAAGTTTCACATAGAGGCATTAAACATGTTGTTTTTTTGCAAAAATGTGTTATAAACTTAGGATGATAAACACATTTAGTTTATGGTATTGATTTTAATGCACATTCAGTAGTTATTTAGACTGGTTGTTATTGATCTTAAATAGGTTATTGTTATTACTATATCATATAAATATATATATAAAATATAAAAATGAATAAAGCTGAGGAAAGTGCTAATTAGTTTTTTGTGATTGAACGTAAGACAATAACATAAATAATGTAGAGATTGAAATGAGTAGTGAGAGTGAACCTGAAGATTTGGAGGATTTGGATGATTTGAATGATATCAAACACGAAGAAGATAATCTCAATGATTTAGATAAGATTATAACTGATGTTAAAAGTAAGTATTCTATTCTATAATTAATTAGAGGAAGATTATATACCTAAACCAATAACAAAAACTTAAGATTTAAAAATCCCAGGTCTTGTAAATAGATTGGAAGTGGTCGATGACTTTATTCGTAACTTCCTCATTAAGAATCAAATGAATCGAAGTCTAGAAGTATTTCAAGTATTTTATATCATTAATTATTCTTAGTAAGAATGGTATGAACTCTCATAGAAAGGTAAATTGGCTACAGATGGTATGGGTCAAGTAACAGATGTTTATATTTAAAATGAAAAACTCAAAGAAGAACTCAAATATGTAAGAGGAGAGTTGGATAAAGCTAAAATTGTTGCTGAAAATGCCAAATCTACTTATGATAAATTGAGAAAAGAAAGAGATTTCCATAAGATGCATCATCATAGAGTTCAATAAGAAAAAAGGAAATTGAATCATGATATTGATAAATTAAAAGGATTACATCTACAATATGAGACCAAATATGAGGAACTATCCTAAAAGTATTCACATGCTATGAAAGAGAAGATGTTATTGAAATTAGAAAGAGATAGATTGGTGGCAAAAAATGATGCACTCTAAAGAAGTTTATAAAATGTAAATTTATAAAGTTAAATATTAAAAAAGGTTGAAGAAAAGATTAACAAAGAGAAAGAACCAGGAAGTCCTACAGATAAACTTCCTTTAGTTGATACAAAGGCCAACACTAAGAAAGCATCTACTAAAGCTAATACCCCATTCCCTCCTGATGATAGACCTAATCCTTATGCAGGTACTCAAATAGAACCACAAAATTACAGAAATGCAATCTTAAATAAAACATAGAAAGGACATATGATGGCAATATCATCTATGGATATGCATCCAAAGAAATCAATAGTTGCAACTGCATCAGATGATTTCACTTGGAAGATTTGGACATTACCATAATGTGAATTAATTATGTCTGGAGAAGGCCATAAAGATTGGGTCAGTGGAATACATTTTCATCCTAAAGGAAGTCATCTAGCTACATCATCAGGTGATTGTACAATTAAAGTCTGGGATTTCATTAATGCTTCATGCACTCATACATTTAAAGATCACATTTAGCCTGTTTGGGGTGTTAAATTTAATGATACTGGAGAATTCATTGTAAGTGCTAGTATGGATCATACATGTAAAGTATTCGATTTAGCTTCTGGTAAAACTAGACATACATTCAGAGGACATGTATTTTATTTCATTTATTATTAAAGGTTGATTCTGTCAATCATGTAAGTTTCTAACCATTTTCTAACATTTTTACTTCTGCTTCAGCTGATAAAACTATTTCATTATGGGATATTAGAAGTGGATTATGTGTTTAAACTTTCTATGGTCATTTGAATAGTGTTAATCATGCCACTTTTTCATTAAAAGGAGATAGTATTGCCAGTTGTGATGCTGATGGAATTGTTAAAATGTGGGATGTCAGAATGGTTAAAGGAAGATCATAATTTGATGCAGGTCCTTATTCTGCTAATGCTGTTTCACTTGATAAAAGTGGCACTATTCTTCTTGTTGGATCTGATGATCAATAAATCAGACTGTATAATGAAACCACATAGAAAGTATTATCTTTATTTACTTATTTATTAGTAAGAACACACCTTGAAAGGACATGAAGATGCTGTCTAAGATGTTGCATTTGATTACAATAGCAAAATGATTATTAGTTGCGGTTCTGATGCTACTTTTAGAATTTATTAATGATTTAATATTTTATAAACAAAATGTATATTATTTAGCCAATTTTACTGATGGTTTCACTTTCATTTATATCAACAATTTAATTAATCTTCATAAAGCTATTCTCATATTCCATTTAGGTAAAATGATTATTCAATATCTAATTATTTAAGCATCCTTTAAAATTTTGATTTAAATCATAAAAATTAGATGAATCAAGTTTCAGAAAACTTTAAAAGATTCGACATTTTCGGTTAAGAAATCAGGTTATTGGCTACAGGTTAATCAGCTTTTAGAACAAACATTGGAGCATTTATGACTTTGGCCTTGTTTACTATTCTTGCTTATTCTTGTAATTCATTTATTTTAGAAATGAATAAAGGAAAAAATGCAATACTTAATTCTAAAGATGCTGTAATATCTGGTGAAGAGGTAATAAATTCTAAAAATAACTTAGGGTTATACTTTTAATTCATCTGAACTTATCTTTGCTGTAGGATTATTAGACAATCTGGGATAACCTATTCCTAATGATAATAATAGAGTATTCACTATTAGTTACTACTATTGTAATAAGTCTTTAAATGAAACTGCATGTATTTATATTCCAGGAACAATCTGTGGTAACAGAATTCAACAAGTTTCACAAGTAAAATAACTACGTAAGTTAGTAATTAAACATACCAAAGGGTTATGAAGATATTACTTACTGTATGGATGAAGAATATATCAAGTAAAACCCAGAAATCAGAATTTAAGGGTCAACTAGATAAGATAATTTTACTTTATTAGGCGCATTAGTCTAAAGATGTCAGAATAGCACAGATTATAATGGTAAAATTTATAATTTAATTAGATTGTGCACCAAGTGAGGATATTGATTAATATATTAAAAATGCAAACCTTTATTACTCTTATTCTTTTCATCAATTTAACAAAGAATTAGATGATTCTCCTTATGAAAATGCATAAAATATAGATGTTACACCCATGTATTACAAAGTACGAAAATATATTAAAATCTATTTTTAATACTCTTAAAGTTAATTAGAGTATAACCCTTTTTATTTCTTCCCTTCTTATGCCTAACATGATGGCTTTGAATATTAAAATACAGCAATCGATACAGCCTTAAATTTTGAAGATGATAGCAGTTTTGCTCAATTAGAAATAAATTTAGATGCAAAAAAGAGGATTCATTTCATTACATACCAAACGTTAATGGATGTTGCAGCCAAAATTGGTGGTTTTTTTACAATTATTAGAGTTATTTTTGAGATTGCTCTATTTCCTATTTAATCAATTCTTTATAGACTTTATTTGATTAATTGTTTAACTCACCAATAACACAATATTAATACTAATACATGTGATACTCCTAAGAATAAAAATACTAACATTTTGACATTCTATAGACTCATAAAATCAGGAAAGGCAAGATAATTCTATTTAAATTAATCTCTTATGATTGATAAATTTTTGGACATAACAGAAATATTGATTAATCCTTTAAGGTTTACACGGCAAGTTGAAGATTTATATGGTTCAATTAAGAAATTTGATATTGTAAGTGCTCGATAGAATAATTTCAATATTAATTAGTAAATAGATGAATTGGTAGCTAATAACAATAATGAGTTTGCAGATTTCAAAAGCATGAGTCCTAGAACTATAAATTAAGAAATGAAGTTGGGAAGTCTAACTAATTTTAAGGTACCTCAACTTTCTATAAATTGAAACTTTTATAATATATATTAATTCAAATATATAAATTGGATTGTATAAAAAGAATAACAATTTTAAGTCATTTTAATAATTAATTGAGTAATTCTTATGCAAGATATGTTTTTGAATCTATTTCAGATTTAATTAATTAAATTTGGGTTCTTAATACACTTTCTTTAAAAACTTATTAATTTAGTATTACATTAATTGAGTTAATTTCTTCAATCTATTCAAGTTGTCTTATATACATAATATTCTTAATCCATTTATAGAAAAATATTGAAACTTTATTTTTTAATCTATCATCTACTTTTTGTAGATAAATCAAGATTCTAAAAACAGCCCTGTTTCTAGAATTCTAAGATTTTGTAGATAGGGAAACCTTAGAATTATTGTTACTTATTGGTGATTTTGATCTTGATTTTTATTTATTTTCCTTCTAATAAATAACATTATTTTATTAAATTTAAGTAACAGTTGATTTAAATGTATTCTAATTTGTATTATATTTTGAATTGCTAGCATAATTCATTAGAGCAGTATTCCTGATAAATCTATGAAAAGCTATGGTCTTGATTAATCTTTCTTTTCGAGCTGCATTTTTGAATAATTGTATAAATATTTGTTTTTGTCTATATTAAAAGAATGCCTTTCTCTCCAAATCAAATATCTATTCTTCAATGATTTTTCGTTATTTCTTCATATTTCTATATGGATAACGTTTTTATTTTTCTAAATCCTTTCTTTCAATTTCCCAATTTTTTTCAAAAATGTCTTAATTTTAAAAGTATTTCCAAATGTAAAAATAAAAACATTTTTTAGTTTAATATGTTTAATCTTCTTATCTACTATAATATTTTAACATAATAGTTATTAGTTTTTGAATATCTTTTTAATCATATTACATTTAATAAAATGATCTATCATCATCTGATTCATGTAAATTTTTAAGATGATCATCCATTTCTTAAATGATATCTCTTTATTCCATTTACTTATTAAATTCATTCTTTTTCTAAACAATTTATTCACCTATATTCATTAATTTAATAAAATAACAAAAGAAACCATAAATCAAAATCAGAAATCCTCCTCATCATTAAATGATAATGAACCAAGTCTTTACTCTTTACTTTTAATAGGAAATTATGTTTAACCAAATCCCTTAAATCCTGGTTTCCTCTATTTGATGCTCCCAAAAACTACTTTACTTTCTTAATTCATCAACAATTCTTATTGCTTTTGCTATTTTTCAGCCTCTATTTTATCTAATTAATCCTTCTCTTATTAATGTTTCATCTCTGCAATTTCTTATCTAGCATCTCTATAAAAATGAGGAGCAATTTCAAATAACCAATGTGGATCAAGTTCAGTAACATTATGCATAGTTAATTTATGATCTATTAAATTATCTTATTGATATTACTTTATTCAATTAACTCATGATAAATTACCCATTCAGGATATGAAACTGTTAAAACAGATGCAGGATGTAAATGAACTAATTGTTTTGTATAGATATTCCTATAAACACCTTCTCTTGCTGTATTTTCTCGTTGTGCAACTTAAGAAAAGAAACCAGAAACAAAACATCTTAAGACTGCCTCAACATCTTGGATTGAACTTTTAATTTATCTATTTTTTCTTCTTTTTTGAATTTATTTATATATTTTTCCAGCTGATTCTAATTTATATTTTGATACTCTATATGTATCACACCAATTCCCTTTATTTCCAATATTAATATATCTAACAAATATGTTATGAAGTGATAACACATCTCCTTCTTTACATCCCAAAGCTTTTTTAGCTTTTAACATCTATAATGGTGTAGCATCACTACTAAAGATACCTCCTTAAATACTGAGAACACTAGCAATTTTTAACATCTCATCTGAACATTAATATTCATCCAAAAAACTATTTTCAACACAAACTGCTAATTATGTTTCTAATGGATAATCAACTATTGCATTTCCTAATTCTGTTAATGAAAAGTTTTCATCAATTAATTTTAAACTCATCAAAGTATTAATACAATTGATTAATTATTCATTAGAAACAGTAGTCAAGAATGTATTACTACATTATAAATGATTCGGTGTTAATGAGAATGACTATAAATTATATATTTGATATATTTACTCTAATCTATAAAATGAGTTCTGTAAGATTAGATCTCAATATTTCTGGTGGAAAAGTCTTCGGTAAATTTTAATAATCCTCTTTAGTACATAATCTATAACATATTCCATCTCTAGTTCTTCCAGCTCTTCCAGCTCTCTAAGCACCAGATTGTTAAGAAATAGGTAAAACATTTAATTATTCCAAATCTAATTTTATAAAATAAATTATGAATACTTCTCTTATAATCATATACTTTTACTTTTTAATAACATGAATCAATCACATATACTATTCCATCAATAGTAACACTACTTTCAGCCACATTAGTGGATACTATAATTTTTCTACTTGCATGTTATTTAAACACTAACAATTATTTATCAATCCCCAAACTAGCATGAAGTGGTAATACTACACAATTAGTCTTATGATGTGACCATAAATTAATAAATGCATGTATTTCTTCAACAGATGTTAGAAATACTAGTATATCTCCATCAGGCATCTTTTTATGAATATGATATGCTAATTCTACAGAAGCAACAACATAATTTTTACATGGTTCAAGTAAATACATAATCTAAATATGTTGTACATTATAATTACATCAACTTCATAATTCCTACCTCTAATTGCAATTATTTTGCTATTAGGAAAAAAGTTTTATAATAAATCAACTTCCATTGTTGCAGATGAAACTATCACTTTCAATTCAGGTCTTTTCTTTTGAATCTTCTTAATTAAACACAATAAAAGATCTGTATTCAAAGTACGTTCATGAATATCATCAAGCATTACAACTGAATATCCTTCTATCAATGGATTGCCCATTATAATTTAAATCAATGTTCCATCAGTCACATATTCTATCTTTGTATTTTCACTCACTTTCGATTCAAATCTCACTCTATAACCAATATCCTATCCCAATTCTGTTCCATTTTCATCAGATACTCTCTAAGCAATACTAATAGCTGCCATCTTTCTTGGTAATGATACTAAAACTCTCTATTCTCCACCATAACCAGCTTCTATTAAATATTATGGTATCTCTAATATTTATTAATTATTTTGTACATGTGGTTTTGCCTGACCCTGTTTCAGCTAAGATGATCAATGTACTATTAGTATCGATTCCATATAAAATTTATTCTTTATATGCTCTAATTGGCAGATTTTATGGATGACATTTTTTAGATTAAATAAGCATAATTAAAATAAACAATTCATTAATCAGGTACTACACTGAATATTTTCAATTCTCCATCATATTCTCCTACAATAAATTTCTAAGTAACCATATTTTCATTAGTAATTTCAATCTTTTTCATTTACATAAATTTCTGATTCAATATCGCATTTATTAGATACAATTTATTATCAATTTCTGTATAGACCTCAACAGAATTACTAAGTCCAAGAATAAACAATTTATCACTTTCATAACTTTTTATTAATTCTAAACAAATAACCTTTTCTCCATTATAAATAGGTCCAATTATCTCTAATTTCTAACTCAATATATATATAGATGTTTAATCTTCGTCATCCATTTTCAAGATTACTCTATTGAAGTCTATTATCATTTGTGTACATTTCTAAGTAAATTTATATGGGATTTCAGTAATGATAATTCCATTAAATAAATATAATTAACCACTTCTCATTCCTATTAAGTAATTACTTCCAACTTTAATAACACTCTCCATAGATTATTCAACATTATAATGTTAAATATACTTGAATTATCCCATCTCATTCTATTAGAATATTCTTATCAATCCATCTTTACAAAATGTATATAGTAATCCATTCTCAAAATTTGTATAGACTATCTCTTTCATTGAAATATCAGATATTATCTATGGAAGTTACTACTGAAACACATTATAAAATATCAATAGATTCTTAAATGATTCTTCCTCTTTCTAAAATTATATCACAAGAGTATATTCATTATTTGAATGCTCTTATATAAAAGCAGAAATAAATTATTTATCTAAATGACTAATTGTTACTTTCTTTTCTTCATCTATTATTTCAATTCCACATCTTTTGAATAGAATTTAATAAAAATCAATTGAATCTGATTTTAAAATACCTAAAAATTAAAAATTATATCCTGCTATTTAAATTAGATTATCTATATTTTTCTTTTATTCCAAATTTAAGACCTATGCCCTTTTCTTTACTTATATTTCATTTATTTTCACTCTTTTTGCAATACTAACAGTTTCTATTTACTATTCACTCTAATTTCCTCTATCTTTCTCTTTATCTTCATCTTATATATAATCTCTTCTTGTAAATGTATTTTCTCTACCTCCTCTCCCTCTTTCTCTTCCTCTTCCTCTTCCACGTATATTCTACCTAAATTACTATTAATCATCTCCATAATCTTTTTCTTAATTTCTTTACCATCTCTCTGAATTAACATTATTCCTCTCTTTATATGCAGGTTATTAATTTTAATCTTCCTACTAATCAATATTTCTATTGAATTTCTATTTTATTTATCTATCCTCATTTCCTTCCTTTTATTGTACCTATCTTTAAAATCCTTTTTTTTCATAAGAATTCTTTGATTATTATTATCTCTAGTTAAATTCAACTCTTTCATTTTTATCTATTTTATTATTGTCTTTAGTTTATTCATCATCTTAATATCTATCTGTCTAACCTCTTCCCCTACCTCTTCCTCTTATCATTTTTCTATCTTATGATTAATAATCATTATTTTTCTTTAGTTTTCCCTTCTCATCTCTAATTAAACTAACTTTCTCAATATTTGATGTGTCATGGGAATATTTACATTAGTCTCCTTCTCTGCAATTCCCTGATACATAAAATCTGCATGGAGCATCAAATTTAGCATTCATATATATTTGTTAATAAATTAATAATAAATATAATCATCACAAAATAGTTTTGAAAATAATTTCAAAATAAGAGAATAATTAATTGAATGAGAAAATAGCCAAAATCATTTAGTAATAGATAGAGAATTAATAAAAACCTTTTTAATCAATAAATTAATCAACAAATCTGTAAAATATTAACTAAAGTCAAGGAAATCAATTATTTGGTAAATATTAATTATAAATTAGTTAATTGTAATAGGCTTTAAAAAATATTAAAGTTTTCTAATGATTAATTCTATCAGATTTTACAATAGTTTATCTATTAAGACTTAATTATTTCAGATTTTTAATTGAAATAGTAGGATAAAATAACATAGGGGAAATTATTAAGAATTTATAATTATTCATTTAAAATGAGAATTATTAGAAGTTTTGAATTAAGTAAGATAAATTTTTAATGATCTAAAATTAATAATGATTTCATTAATGTTTTCGATATTTATAAAAATTCTTTTCAAATTATGAGTTGACTATATAATAATTAATAGATAAAGAAAAAATATTGAATAGGATCAATAAGGTTATTTGTATAAACAATAAATGAAATAAAGAAAATAGTGAATTTATATATTTATATATTAATAAATAATATATAAATATGATATGTTATTTCAATAATAGTATTCGATATAAATAATAAAAATATATAATGATATCTGAGAATGAGAGTACAAGAGTTTTGTTGGTGATTGTATAGAATCCTTAATCAATAATACTGCCTCATTCTTTGTTCTATCGATACTTTTCAAATTATGGGGAAGTTAACAAGATATTAATATTTGAGAAGGGAAAGTTATGGAAATGTTTTATAGAGATGGCAACTTTATAATAGGCCAAGATTTCATTGTAATAATTGAATGGCTGTTAATTGTATGAGTAAACAATAATGAATGTGTAAAATAATCTAAATGATTTATAGTTACTATTCAACATTGCAGAATGTCACATTTATGAATAACAATTCAGGTGGTGTAGATTATAAAGCAATGAAATAAAGAAATTCAACCAAGACTGTTAATATTTATGAATAAGATTATTATCCAAAGACATATAGTCAACCTTTAATAACTCAATAGGATACTAGATTGAGTGTGGCTAGTTTTGGAAATGAGAGAACAAGAGCTAGTTTAAATGACAAATAAGATCTTCAAGATTATATAAATGAATGGGAACCTTCAAAAATATAAACATCGCTGGAATTTATAGATGATAGTGATTCTCCTAGAAATAGAAAGTATGCATCATTTAAATCAATTTAATTTGATGATAATGAACATGATCCAATAGATGAAGATATAATGCATGCATTCTCATCTGAAAAGAATACTTATCTAAATTCATATATGTTTTCAATACCAGAAGTAGAAGATAAGATTAAGAATCAAGATATTGATCCATATACATATGTATCACCTTAATTCTTAAGAGAAAATTAACCTTCTAAAGTTGTTTATATGAGAGGGTTGATGAATTAGAATATTACACCATTAAACATATTTAATTTACTATCAAATTTCGGAAATGTATTAGTAATTATTCATATCAAACATAAAACATCAGCATTAGTATAATTTGAGAAATTATAACATGCTTAAAATGCACTTGATCATCTTAATAATTAAGTGTTTTTTGGATATAAATTGAAGATCTTTTATTCAAATTATTAAGAAATTCAATTTCCTTTACCATTCCAATCACCTTAAACTTAAGTTTTTATGCCAATTCCATCTTAATTTAGATTTAGTGATGGAAAATCAATATCATTTAATCCACCTAGTCAAATACTACATTTGAGTAATATTAAAGGAAAGATGTGTGAAGATGAATTCTATATTAAAGATATCTTTAAAGGAATAGGAAATGTTTAAGCTATCAAGTTTATACATATTGACAAGTAAAATAATATGTATAATATAGATAAAAACATATGGCATTAGTAAGATTATCATCATTAGAAGAAGCATTGAATGGAGCAGCTTTACTTCATGGAAAAGAAGTAATGGGCAGAAAGATCAATGTTTCATTTACCAAAAGTAAATTATGCTGAAATTTAACAAAGTCAGCTTTTGCTCAAGTATTATGACTTTCTAAAACAATATAATTATTAATTATCCTTATTTTATATATTTCATGCTTTTACACCAGATGATGCAAAAAGATCCTCTGTTTTCTTTTCTACTTCAGGTTCGAATTAACATTATTATAAGCTTCTTTGGAATTGACTTATTCTTTTAATGATTCTAGAATGTAAATAGGTCTTAGAAGCATGAATATGATAATGTAAATATTATCTAATTATAATTATTAATATTATAATTACCTAAATCCTTATAAAAATGTAGATAATTATTCTATATTCTTACTAAAATTTTATGCTTTAAATAATGTCATAGTTATTAATTATGAATTTGGATCCACTTTGATATTTTAAACTTCTGGAAATGCTGATTTTAATATAGATGATTAATAATTAGATCTTGAAATAGGAGGTGCCATCTTAACATTTTTCTTAGCATCAATTATCTCTGTAATTATTAAATTAGCTAATGTTCTATCTACATTATCAGAAAATGATATTTCATAAAAGATATTCAAAGCATCTTTATCAGGAATAGCATAAACAACTTCATTCTCTCTACTTTGATATTTAAACTTAGGAGCTGTCTCTCCTTTATTGATTTGATCAAATGCCTACTCAAATGCAGCTGCATAGAAGTTTCTTCTTATTTATGAGAAATCCTTAGTGACCTTCTCAAATAATTTCTGATTTTCTGCTCTTATCTATAATTTAAGCTCTTAAATTTCAGCTTTTTCAGCTTCAGTTGCATTCTTTGGAATCTTCGGCTCTTCTTTGGCAGATTAAGCATCAAATGAAAATGTCAAATGAAATCCAACTTCTGTAGCCTCTTTCGTGTAATCTATACTTTATAAATAAGTAATTACCCTTATAATATTTGTCAATCATGTATTAACCTGCTATACTGAATATCTCATTAAAATTAAAACAAGTAAATGATAGAAACAATCTACCATCTTCCTTATATTATAATTTTGTGCATGAGTAATTGTAATCCTTTGCAACCACAATCCTTGGATCCTTTTTCCTAAAGTCATTATATATATAATTACATGATCAAATCCATAATCTAGGTTTGAAGTAGCTTATTCTATGGATCTATGAGCATCATTTGTTTTTAATTATTTAATTAATTATATAATAATCTTTATGTACAATATTTATTTCAATATTATACTTAATCTTTCAATTATCTATAAAATAAGTTAATAATAATATTAATTTTTAATATTAATTTATTCAATTGGTATTTTAAATAGCTTGCTTATGATTCTCAATTTCTTACTTATAATTTTAGATTGTTTACAAAATTTTCAATGCGGATTATAAATTTTAAAAATGATACTTATTAAAAATGGAATAGCTAGTAGATTGAGAATAAATCTACTCAATAAATTCTACATTCTTTTTCAACTATTATTGCATACTGTCTAATTCAATCGTATTATTTTAGTCTTATAAACCAATAATAAAACTCTTTGTACTTTCTAATGATTATGTATCTTGCTATTTTGAATTAACGTGAAATATCCATAAAACAAAAAAATTTAAATTCAAAATAAGCATATTACCTATATTGTCCTTGATTTAATCAAAAAATCGATTTTAGAGTTTAGAATATTAATTTAATTTATTTAAAGATTGTGTTTCTATTCTATTTTCTTATGAATAAATAACTTATTCTATAATAAGTTTTTTTTCTTCTTCTTTTTTTTGATTCAATTCATTGATTAAACTTTCAATTTTTTTTTCGAAATCATTATTTCTATTATTTAAATTTTGCAATTGACTTTCAAGTATTTAATTGTTTGATTAGAGTTGTTCATTAATAACTCCAAAATAATTAAAAACATTTAATAAATCTTCTAAAATTGGTCTAATATGATTAAAACAATTTTTATTTTTATCTAATTGTGTAGCCAATAATTACATTGTATTCTTTTCTTTAGAATTTTAATTTTAGAAAAATTTAATTATATTTTTTTTAGTAATCTCTATACTCTATTCTAAATTCTTTATATAATTAATTACATTTCTCATAGTGTTGATAATGTTTTAAATTCTTGACTCATCTATATTATTGACCCTATTGAAACTCAACTATTTATTAGATTAAAATTCTTTTAATAATTCTTTCATTTATTTAATAGTTTATTCTCGTTCCATATTAAGTTTTAGATATTCTCCTTAAATTATGGAACATCTATTTCAATCCTCATAGAGTTTTCATCCATATTTACTATTTGTTGTTATATTGTAATTTCTTGAATTTTATTTTATTTTTCACTCAACTCTCTTACTAACTTAACATTTTTCTCATTAGTTATAGAAAGTTACATCATTAATTCTGTATTTATGTTATTAGCATGATTTATATGTTGCTATAATATAGTGATTTTTTCTTGACAATATTTTATTTGATTTTGTTATTTTAAATTTTATTGGTACTAAAGATTATTTATTGCTTTTGTCAATTAACTAATGTGGTGAGCTTTGTTATTTACATTCCCAAAATCAAAATCAAAAATATTTTCAAGAAATTCAGGTTAAAACTAAACTTCAATATCACTTTTTTCTAATTATAACAATAGATAATGCACACAATTTTACAATAGTTCTATATATTCTTTGTTTTCTTAATTATTTTATTTATCCTCAATCTAATTATTATTATTTTATGTTAATTTCATAATTAATAAAATAATGAAAATTTTTAATCGTTATTTGAACCTAAATTTATTAGATAACGTTGTTAAATTTTTAATTTGAATTCAAATATCTAATCTTATTTATTTTATATCTAAGGATATGAAGAAATAAAATATAATAAATTTAATATTCATGAAGATAATAATTTATCGTTAATTTCATTATTTTTCTAAGAGTTTTATTTCTTAATTTCTAGTTCTCACACTTCTAAATAAAGCTGATTAATTTTTTATTTTATTCAATATACTAATTTGATCTATAATTTTAAGTTCTTTTTTGTTATACTTTTTGTTATTATATTCTGCATATTTAATTTTTCATTATTGAATAACTGTGATATAAGGATATTTTAATATAAAACAATCATCTAAATAAATTTCATCATTTGATATCATTAAAAAAACAAATTTTTTTAATAACTAGAAGGGTTATGTATATAATTATATAAAGAATATGTGGTAATATATATATTAATACATAGATGGAATTAAATTTGAATTCATGAATTTTATTCGTGATTAATTTTTATCTTTATAAAATGATATTAAAGAATTTATGAAAATGTTTTGAATTATCAAAATCTGAGTTTAAATAATTTAAATTAATTCATTGGTTGAAATTTATCCATAATTAAAGATTCAATATTTTTATATAAATTACAGTTCATAACCAAGAAATTTTTAATTAATTATTCCACACATTAAAATAAATTAAAAAAAATGTCTAAATTCACAAAACCCGCATAAGCAGTTAACAAACTTGTTAAAACAAACCAAGGTGCTCCAATTAAGAAGCATGATTAAGATTCTGATGAATAGAGTGATGTTCCTCCTCCATAAAAAAAATAATAACAAAAGACAGTTGTTGGAACAACTAAAGTAGCTGCTAAGGCACCACAAGTAGATTCAGATGATCAAGATGAACCAGTTAAGTTGGTACAAAATGTGAAAAAGGGTAGTTTTGATGCAACAAAACCAAACACCACAAATTAAAATGTAGCCAAGTAGGCATAAAAAAAGCCTGTCAAATAATAAGAATCTGATGATGAATCAGATGATGTTCCTCCTCCCAAGAAGGTTACAGCCCCAGTTAAATAAGCTCCTAAACCAGCTGTTTAAACTAAGGCTCCAGTCAAATAATAAGTCTAATAAGAGGATTCTGATGAAGATTCAGATGATGTTCCTCCTCCCAAAAAACCAGTTGTTGCAACTAAACCAGTTGCTTCAAAGCCTGCTGTTTAAACCAAGGCTCCAGTTAAACAATAAGTTTAATAAGATTCAGATGACGATTCAGATGATGTAGCTCCTCCCCCCAAGAAGGCACCAGCTCCCTCAAAGCCAGTTGCCAAACCAGCTGTTTAAACTAAGGCTCCAGTCAAATAATAAGTCTAATAAGATGATTCTGATGAAGATTCAGATGATGTTCCTCCTCCCCCAAAGAAGGGACTCTAATAAAATAAGGCTCCATAAAAGACTTAATAAATTGAATAAGAAGATGATGATGATGATGATGAAGATGTTCCTTAACCACCAAAAGGAAGATAATAATAATAACCTTAAAAGCAAGCTTAATAAGCTTAATAAGGTTAATAAGATCATGAAGTCTTTGTCAGAGGACTCTCATTTGATGCTACTGAGTAAGATATCAAAGATTTCTTCGATGAATGTGGAACTATCAACAGTGTTAACTTGTTGAAGGGACCAAATGGAAACTCTAAGGGAATTGCTTTTGTTAGATTCTCAACTGAGGATGCTTAAACTGCAGCTGTTGATTACAGTGGCTCAGAACATATGGGAAGAACCATAACTGTGGAAAAGACAAAACCAAGAGATTAAAGACCATAATAAGGTGGTTAATAAGGAGGATCAGGTGACAGCACAACATGCTTTGTTGGAAACTTAAGTTTCTATGCTACTGAAGACTCTTTGTATCCAGTTTTTGAAGACTGTGGAAAGATTAAGGAAGTCAGAATAGCTAAAGATGCTGAAGGAAAGGTATTATTATTGTATTAATGTTTTAGTCAAGAGGATTTGGATATGTTGAATTTTTCGATAATGAATCAGCTTAAAAGGGACTCTCAAAGACAGGAACTGATGTTGAAGGTAGATCAATCAGAGTTGATCTTGCTAATTCATCATAAAGAAGTGGTGGTGGTAACAGAGGTGATAGAGGAGGCTTCGGAGGAAGAGGAGGCTTCGGTGGAAGAGGTGACAGAGGAAGTTTCGGAGGAGGTTTCGGAGGAAGAGGCCGTGGAGGTGATAGAGGAGGCAGAGGATTCTCAAGAGGAGGCCGAGGAAGAGGAGGAAATTTAGATGCTAATGATATTGCTGCTAAAAAGGGAACTATTGCTGGATTTGCTGGAAAGAAAATGGCTCTATGATATTATAATAAATCATAAATGTGTAGAAAAATTTTTAATTTAATATTTTCAATAGAATTCAAGAAGATTAATAATTTTTAAATGAATTTTATTAAGAATTTATTTGTCAAGAAAACATCTCAATAGAATGAACCTCTTTTCTTTGATCCAATGAATGAGAAAATCGAATAATTTTACAGGTAATTAAATATCATATGTGATGGAATTACTTTAACTTAAGACCCGAAAGATGATGTTTAAATAATAAGATAGAATATTTAAGAATTAAAAAAGTATATTGATGAGGCTAAAGTTTATGTAATCAGAATTAAAATTCTTAGATTATTTTTATAGGTACAACATCTGCAGGGAAGAGTACATTCATCAATTCTCTTTTAGGTCAACAAATTTTACCTTCTAGAAATTAGGAATGCACTTAGAATATAATTTTCATCAAATATAATGAAAAGATTCTTATAAATGAAAAATAAATTAATAGTTTGGATCAAGCATAATAGATTCTATTTGAAATGTAGAAAAACAAAAAATTTGAAATTGTGAATATCCAAGTTCCTTCTCTATTTCATCAGTAATTTCCTTCAGATTTAAGGAGTAGGATAGTCTTTGTTGATACGTATTTTATTATATTTATATCTTGATAGTCCAGGGATAAAAATTAATGAATAATAATTATTGAAAAGCTTTTTCGAATAAATAGATGATAAGATTGGTAATTAACATCGTATTAATGTATGGATTAGCAATTACACTACATTTGATAATGATAAAGAATTTTAAGAATAAATCCTTAAAATTTATAATACTTAAGTTTCTTCTCAAATATCATAAAGGTAAAATAAATAAGCTAGTTACTTGAAGAGTATAATAATTGAAGAGTTTTAAGGAATCTAAAGATAGCCAAATTTATTTGCTAGTTCTCATGAAGTAATGGATAGCAATGAATCTTTTGAGAGTTATTGTAAGCCTTCATTGACAACATTATTTTTTATTCTAAATAAATATGATGAAAGAAAAGTATCAGAAGATTCTAATGTCGATATTACCATAAAAAAAATTAGTTAAATAATTGGTAGTGATAAGAATATATTTAAGATATCAGCTTTAAGAGCTATGAGGTATAGAATATTAAATTATGGAACTAAATAAGCTATTGATAAATTTATGGAATCTTATTTTTTAGATTATAGAGATGTTGAATTATTTGTGAATTAAAATGATTGCAGAAAGTATTGCAATGAAAAAATTAAAAATAATCCAAATCTGTTATAAAATCAAGATTATTGTAAATTTTAAAATTAATTGGAATCTTCTATAAAAATGTAAATAAGTGAAACTTTCTTTGGAGAAAAGTTTGTATATATTGTAAATCTTATGGTTTACTTAGAAATGGTTTTCTATCCTTAATAAATTGAACTAGAATAAAATGTTTATGAAACATTAAGAGATTTCATAGATATATTCATTGAAAATTAAATAAAGAACTATAATGATTGTACTTCAAAATATAAATAAGTTGCTAAAGATTAAATCTAAAAAGAATTAGATCGTTATAAATGTTAATTAGCATCTGAAGAACCATAAAATCTGATAATATCAGCATGTAAATCAGCTTTATAAATTATGATTGAATATGAAAAAAAGATTTTATAATTAAATGAGGATATAAAGAATGGTTTAATAAAGAAATTATAATCAATATTTCCTTAGAAATAGAACAATTAAATATTTTCAAGTTTTTAATTAGTGGGATAAAAAGATTTGTCTATAATTGAAGGTTGTAAATAATTATTTGAATTAATTAATGATAATAATGTGGCTGAAATTTAGAAAAATAGTTTTTAATAATATGCTGAGAATTTATAAAAGACAATGGGAGTGAGAATCAATCCAATTTAATCTTAAGTAGGAATAATATCAACAGGAATATCTATTGCAGCTTTCTTAGGAAGAAGATTTACAATATAAACTTTACTCTGTTCTCCAATCTTTGCAGCAATAGGTTTAGGATTAATGACATTTGATTTAACATTTATTTTTGGTAAATAATGGTATTCATAAAATATAATTGAAATTCAATTAAATGTATGTATAAATTAATAATTAGCAATGGGAATCTATATTAATATAATAAATTGAGGATTAAGAAACTAATTATTGTCGTATAAATAAATAAACTTTTCAAAGCATCAAAAAATTACTACAACGTATGATGCCTAGTTGATAAGAATAATTTATATTATAAATAATTATTTATTAACAAATACATATCAAGAAATAATTCCATATTTTGTTAATTCATATTTTTTATAATTTATCAATTGATTTATGTAAATATTAATTAATATGCTTTAAACGAGAAATTTCTAATTTTTAAGAATCAATAATTTCTTTTTAATCTTTAAACTTTGTTTCATATTCTTTTATTTTTTATATCAAAAATTTTTTTTCTTCTAAATAATTTAAATGATCATCAAAATTTTATACATTTTTTCTTACTATATTTTATTTTTTATTTATTATCTTGTTTATTTAACCTATCCATATTTTTTAATTTACATATTCTTTAATCTAAATATTTCTTCTTCTTTCTCTTCTTCTAAAGTTATTAATGCTGATTCATAAATCTATATTTTATTCTCTAAAATCTATTCTCTCTCATTAATGTATTTCTTTTCATCAATTTCATCTTTCTTCTTCTTCTTTCTATTATTATTAATTTTATTATTAAAATTCAGCTGAAAAACTAAAACGATTTTCTTCCTTTGGATTCTATAGTTATCTTTCTAATTTATGAGATAGTTTAAACTTCTACTAGATTTCTATAATTCTTAATGCATATCAAGAAGTCTATTGTATATATCACCTTGACTCAATGAAGATGATCTTTGAGATAATTTCATTATTGCATTCATTAAATAGAGAATTATAATTATATTAATCAAAAATGTTTTCCACACTTCTTTTCAAAGTTCTCCAACCATTATTTATATTTCTATTGCATTTATACAAATTAGAAATGAGCTTCCTCTATATTTTCTTCTTCTAGTTCTTATGTTTTTTTCGAGATATATGCAGTTTAAGAAGATGGTGTTATATTAATCAACTTTCTTTTTACTTATTAAGTATTTTTTAAAACTGATATGTCATCATCAGTTCCTAGTTAATGATAGAATGACTCCAATACTGTGATTCTTGTTTTACGAGCATAGGTTTCTTAAATATTTGATTATTTTCGTATTTCTTCTTGCTTTCCTGGAGTTAGAAATCTTGTATTTTTCAATTTAAAAGATGGACTTTATCTCAATTGACTTACATCTTATTGTTTATTCTAACATTAAAAATAATTAAAGTTACCTACAATTTCTCTTCAGCAGAGTTTTACATAATCATTTTTGGAGTTTAAAAACTACTATTATTTTCTAATCTTCCACCCTTTAAAGCACTTCCACCTCTACGATTGCTTTAAAAATATGGATTCACTCTTGTACCTGCTATCATTTTTATTATTAAATTATATATACTTTAACTAATATTTTTTATCAATGATATTAGTTTTTCATTATTTCAAATAATATCTAAATTTATTATTATTGCTAGAAAATATGAAATAATTATTTAATATTATTCATTATTTAATCTTTTGGTAGTTTCACAAAAAGTATTATTAATCTAAATTACAATAAAATAGCAATAAGATTATATCTTTCTTGTTATTAATTAAATTTATAACAAATATAGATAACATCATTCTTAAAAAATATTAGTACCGATCAAAGATTACTATCATTAATATTTTTAATTCCACTTTTTTATTTTAAGCCTTTATTAAATAGCCTAAACAAAAGAATACTTCTTTATCAAATCTTTAATATTCTGAAGCATCTTTAGAAAATTTAATTCTCTCAAATAATTCTCATAACAATAAAAGATCAGCAAATTAATCCAAATCCTTTTTATTACCACTAATTTAAAGATAATGTTTAATGACTATGATGTAATCTATGATCAATTCTTCTAATGTAGTATATAACACATTATTGGATTCTAATATATCATAAACAAAAGTCCTTTTGCTTCCTTCCTTACTTTTGAAACATCATTCTTATAATAAATCCCTACCATCAATATATCCTTAATAACTATATTTGTTGATAAAAGTTAATTATAACAAGTTTTCTAAATATAATTCCAATTTTTATTGCACATCTATTCAATAACTTATGCAATATTAATTGCATCAGTAAAATTCATTCAATTGATATCCGATAAATAATTGAATATTGTTTGAAATCTATAAATAGAACAAATACTTCTTCAGTATTTCAGTATTGTATGTACCAATTTTAATAACACTAATTTATGTGAGTCAACCATATCAATTTGGTTATTTAGTTCCTCTTTTACTATTTCATGTAATATTGGATTTGTTTTCTAGTCAGTCTTGATTTCTAGTTTTGATATTTGTTATAAATTTATATAATTATAAATATCTCCATTATTTTCAATATTGGTTGATTTTTAATCAAAGTCTAAAATTTAGATATGATCAACTTTTTATGTTATATTTGATTAGAAACTCAGTGATTTAATTAAATAATAGCCAATTATATTTAATTCTAGTTTGTTAATAGATTGCTCAAAAATATTAGAAATGATTAATGAAAGCATATATATTAAAAAATAAGTACCTATTTGTTTATAATTATCAATCTATTAATTAATTAAGAATGCATATATATAATAATTATAATTATTCAATATTTAATAAATTCTTTTTTTTTTATCATAATGTCATCATCAAAAAATTAATTGATAAAATTGTGTGTGTCTATTATTTAATCAAGAATCTAATGCTAATGGCTTATTTTAATTTATTAGTTTGATATATATGGGTTTTTAAATCATATATGATTTAATCCTTTAATATTTAAAATGTAGATAATTATATTTTTTAAGTAGTCATGTTAATGTGAAGAAAATATATATATCTATATAAATGGGTTAACTAATTCATGAATGCATAAGCATTAACTCAGACTAATAGTTAGCTATCTGTTTGAGTAGTATTTCAGATGTGGGTAACTTTTTTATTTTGTTTTGATGATATGCTTTAAGACAAAGATTTAGCTTAATCATAAGCAAGGTTCTTTTGTCAAAATATAATTGATGATCCAAAAGAGAGTCTAATTAAGTAATTTCATTAGTAGTAATGGTTATCACAGAAGATTTAGAAGTTCTGATGTTGAATTAGTATAGAAATGGATTTAATAGTTTTTTTGGTTATTTGAGTATTTCTTAATCTTCATCATGAGAATTAGCTTTGGTTGTAATCAATGATGAAGGTGGAGATACTTGAGATGGCTTAGTTATTGAAGGAGGAATGTATTAAATAGTCTTCTTTATTTTTATAGTCATGGCAGCTTTGAAGATTTGGTAGAGTATATTAATGATACGCAATAATCTTAAGAGAAGAGTGGCAGCATAGATTGTATCTGTATTAGTGATAATCTCTAAGATAACAAGGAGATCGAAGAACATGAAGCACCCATATATAAATTGAAGTGGATCTTGGAAATTACGAAAGTATTTATAAAGATCTGGGGTAAGTAGTGAGGCTACTACATATCTCACCTAGCTAAGGAACACCATCATACCTTGGTGTCTGAGTAATTATTGTACTCATGAATGAGTGACAATCTCAATACTCCTTAAGCTGGTATTTTTTAAGGCAACCTCAATCTATCCAATAATAGAACATTTAATGTCAGTTCTACACTTCCCCAAATTAGTTCACCTAAGTTTCCCTCTATCATAGATCCGTTTTCATATATTAATAAATATTATAAATTATCATATTTTCCCTCTTGTAGCAAAGTAAAATGCCAATCCAGCCAAACAACCGCCCAAATGAGCATCATGACCAATACCACTTCCATCACCTTATCCTGACCAACCTTAATATAATATTAATAATCCCACTATCCATGCTGGTACAGGAATAAAGAACAATAATATTATTTCTCTTGGAAAATTGCAAATATAATATGTTAATAATGCATTGCATGCAGCGCTTGCACCTAATGATATCCCTGCTTATCTTTATTACATTAATCCTCCTACTAATGCTCCTGCCATATATATTGCTAATAATCTTTTTGATCCAAAATATGCTTCTATTGTCCTTCCAAAGAAGTAAAAAGTCACCATATTAAATACTTAAAATTTCTAGAATTTTTACATAAATGTAATGTATTCTAATGAGAAAATGAATATGTTATAAATGTATGCAATTCTCTTAGACTCATAGATCCTGGATGAAGAGTAAAATGCTTAAACATAAAATTCTAATCTATATTTAATAAACATTTACTTTATCAACTGCAGGAAAATGCCATAATGCATATACACCAACATTTATTCCTATTAAGTAAAAGTAAAGAGGCATTTATAGTCTATCTAAAAATCGATCTACTTATCCATATTGAAATTGTGGCTTATGATTAAGTAAATATGTTTGTTTTAATTATTATGGTGATTTTGATAATAATTTAGCTATTTTTATCATTAATAATAATATTAATACTATTTTTAATCAAATAGGATAACATTGGGAAATCTAATAATTCTAATACTCTTCATCAATGAAAAATAACTTAATAAATTGATATATATTAAAAATATATGAAAATTTTTTAGAATGATTGTTTACCATTTAACTTATAATTTTTTATTTAAATATATATTAAAAATTACAAAATTCCAGACAATTATGTCATTTTAGAACATTTATTATAAACAAATTTAAAAGAATTTAGTTTAAAATACAATTTTAAATTAAGGGATTAAAATAAGATTTTAATTTATAGAACATAATGAAAGATTGAGCCATTAAATTTAGATTAATTTGATAATGTATAAAAAAGAAAAGAAATGTAGATCCTTCTTGAAATAAGATTATTTTTTATGCAAATACTTATAGGAGTAAAATTAGATAATAATCATTTATTCTTTAATTATTCTTTTAATTCTATAATTTCTTATTGTAATAATTTAATGAATTATTCTTGATGTGTCATTTAAGCCTTTGTAATTTCATCTCTTATTTATTCTTATAATTAATTTTATTTATTATTTTCCAATAATTAGGATGACTTACATTATAATTCAACTGTTAATTTTTGAACCATTATTTATGAATCATTCAATTTGATTATTAATTCATTCTTTTCCTATTTCAATTGATCAATTTAGTTTAAAATGATATAATTTTATTGATCAAAATGATCATACTAAAATTATTATTATTCAATAGATGTTTCTAATTCATAAATCTAATTCAATAATGCTTAATTATCAAATTCTAATTATACAATCCTTTCACTTTTTTGATTCATTAATGATGTCAATTAGTCTAATTCATTTATCAAAGTTTCTAATTGACCTGAAAATAGTAATTTTTATCTAAATGCACTTTATTATAATTATTATTCATAAGTCAATATTTATTATTTCAATTATCTATTATTCAAGATCTATTCATCTAATTAAATTTGTAATCTTTTATTCTTTTCTTTGAATTGTTCTTCTAATTTACAAATATATTATTGAAATTGATTAACTTATGCTTTCAAGTTTGATATCTCTGAGTGATAGAAATCGTAACTTAATTCTATATGAGGAGTCTCTTAGGTACTTGAATTGTGTTACCAATCTCTGACTGTATATTCTGACATTAGTGAATTTTAATTATAACAGCTAAATGTATTAATATATTCATGCGTCACTTATTTTAATCATTTTTTTGGCCTCTCTTTATTATTTGAGTAATCTTTCTTGCATTTTCTAATATTTTCCTTAAAAGATTTTAGTATCATCTTTCAATCTCTTCCATTTTATAGGTAAAAAACATTGTTCTTTGGTCATTAAATTATCCATTAATAATTTTTCATGATATCCGTTATGAATTCTTTTGACATATTCATATTTCATAATATCAGGACTATCAATAAATTCATTATGAGATTGATCATCAATATATTCTCTCTAAGTTGTAGGTTATGATTTTACAATTTATCTTGATTCTGTAACAGTCTATGATTTAATAATTTATCTTGATTCTCTTTAACTACCAGGTTATGATTGAATATTTTATTCTCTTTAACATATTGGTTATGATTTAATAATTTATCCTTAATAAGGTATATACAAAGGATTCAATCTTTCAGATTCTAAAATGAGATCAGAAACTTTATCAATTTCAATTGCTTAATATAATTTTGTATTCAAAATATTTAAAGGTATTTTAGTTCTTTATTAAATTCTTGTTTCTGAATCTTGTGAAAGTTTACGAAATACTTCCCATGACTCTTTAAGACTCTTTACCTCTTTGGCAGATTCTCTCATTTTATCTTAGACTTTAAATTATTTAACAATATTTATTTTCTCTTTTACCATTTCTAATCTAGTTGTACTTGATCTCTTTTTATGAATGGAATTTTGTCCTTCTCGAAATTCTTCAGGTACCATCATTGTACTTCTTCTCTTCAATTGTTAAACATACATAGATGACTTTCTTTATAATCTTGTATATAAGAAATCTTCAGGTCTCATTTACTTAACTTATTAATCCAATATTTTAGAATTTATCTCTTAAAGACATTTAGTCTTCTTATTCTCATCATAATACATATTCCTAATTTTATTATTTTTCATCTCTACATATTCTTTGTATTTTTAAACTCTATCTTTTATCTATTATTTAAAATGTTCAGAGACTCTATATGCTTATTCATTTCCAATAAACAATACAATATCATCTCCACAAATAAATTATTCACATCGAAACCCTGTCTTAACATATTATGGATTAGGATTTTTTACATTCCATTAATATAAACGACCAAGTTAATCAACACAAGCAGCTTACTTCAATGCCACCTCAATCTTACGAATATTCGAATAAGTATTTGGCATTTAAACTTCCTTTATCTTCAAAGCGTCCTCAAAGGACATGTTTTATAATCCACTTCCCCATTCATATATTACTCCTTCTTAATTTAATACTAAACTATAACTCATCCCACACTAAACATCTTAAATATCTTCTAGTTACATTATTCTTGTTGGACATTATACAAAGGTTTAGAACGAATAACCAGCCATCTATAATCCTAACTCTCCATTCTTGCCATTACCCCAAGAATAAACCCAATTATTCTCATCCAAAACCAATGAATGAGTATTTGAACACGCTATCTTCCTTACCTTATTCATTATTAATACAGGCTTTACTGTTGATACTACATTCATTTTTACTCCTAATAAACTTGTAAACCCTTATCCATACAAATCTCCATTTGAAATATAATAGAAACGCTCGTTCTAAGCATTTAGTTAAATTACTGATTTCACTGAAACCTATTTACCACGCAAACACTTCCCTTTAAATTAAGAACAAGAGAAATTGTTTTCACCCCAATAATACATTCTATCTTAATAATAACCATAAGTGTAAGTCTCAGAACAAGATATTAAGCTATAATTGCACTCTAATTTTTAAGGTTTCTTTTGTACATCAGAGATTTCCCCCAAACCCAATTATCCATGTGAGTTATCACCAAAAACCCAGATATCATCCCTAATTTCATAACATTTGTATATTGTACTTGTCTCCAAATAAAAAGAATGATCGAAACGATCCACATAATTTTATAATTTTTGCATCTAATGGGATATGATTCACTGAACCCACAGGTTTAGAATTCACCAAATCAGTCCGGCCAATAAAGAACACTACTTTAATTTGCACAACTACCATTGCTCTATTACATAGCTTTATAAATTTCTTATTATAAATTATTTATTATTTCATATTTAAAACAATAAACATTATGAAATATTATATTAAGGCTTATCTTAAATATAATTTTAATTCAAACCTTTTTTATTATACAATATTGACAGATGAAATGAATTAAAATTAAATAATATAACTATTTTTATGATTCTTGAATATCAAATAAAAGTAGCTTTGGAATTTTTTAATCAGGTTCAAATAAGAAAAAAACAAACTATCTTTTATATCAAAAAGCTAAGATCAATATTTATTACATCATTGTTCTAAATATAAATTATCAATATTATTAATTATTATTAATTATAATTTGATCTTGNATTAAACTATCTTTAATTTTTGACGAGTAAGTTATTCATGAGGTGCGTTCTAAGGTAATTTTAACAGTTTTTAAATGAATTCTTCCTCAGTCTTATAATTTTTGAGAAATTTATTTATTATTAAAGTATGAGGCAACAGAACAATTCAGAAAATAAGGTTCAATACACATTCTATAGAGAAATACTCTTTGTGAAAATTCTGTAGTTCTGGATATGAAGCAGAGTTAGTTATTAAAAAAGTTTATCTTAGATGCTAGATTTTTCACATATGATGCTGAAAAGTTCCTTCATTATCTATGACTATCCCTAAATATTTGTAACTTAAAACAATAGGGAATTCACATATAGTTTAGCATTTAATTTTGTGTTTTATTTGCATGATGTAACTTTTTTCTTAGTATTTATTCTGAGATTCCACTAAGCAGATATCTCGTGTATATTATTAAGCAGGAAACCTAAGTTTCTTTACTTTGTTAGTAGTACCAAATCATCAGCATATCCTAAAAACTCAAAAGTATTTTAGTTTCTTGGATCAAATTTTTAAGGAATTCATCAAAATAATGTTAAATAGGGCAGGTGATATTGGTGACCCTTGAGGAACACCATTTCTGAAACAGATTTTATTTTATGAATTATAATATTTACATACTATATTCTGCTGTGAATAGCTTCTAAATACTCAAAATTTTTTACTTCTAGCGGATTTCTTTTTTTTAATATTTTATATAATCTTTATCTATCAATCTTCTAATAAGCACTAGTGAAATCTATGTAATATTAAACAGTTAATTTTTTCTGTTTAATTATTTACTCCAATTTAGTAGTAAGAAGATAGAATCATTACCAGATATAAATTCAGTTAAAGGTTTATAATTTTTTTTCTTTTAGGTAATCTTGTAGTTTATTTTAAAAACGAAGTTCCAAAAATTTGAATAACGGCTCATTATTACTAGAAGTCTAAATTAATCATTTATTGGAATTTCAGGCTAGCATTTATTTAGAGGGCACAATCTTGCCAATCCTAATTTCCAGTTAATTATAAATGTGTTTTAGTTGCTTAATTCATTTAACAATAACTCATTTCCATTCTCTTACTTAGTGGGTTATACCATCAAATATATAGCTTTATCATACGCAATTTCTTTTTGCATATTTTCAACTTCCTCTTGTCTTAATTTAGATACATGATTATATATATAAAATATATAATAAAGATTAATAAATATATAAATAAATTTATATATATTTTATTTTATTTAATGAATAATGATTTTTAACTCATGCTAGTTATGCTGCATTAACTTTATTGCAAGTATCTTCTAATAAAGCTAAAAGTGTTTCTTCAGTTGATTCTCTAAATAATAATAATAATAATATAAGTACCTTTATTTTTTTTCATTATCTACTTCAGTTTTAATTCTATTGACAACATCTTTTAACATATCAAAGATTGCTTATTCTGATTCTTATCTATTTACTTTCTCTTAGACCAATAATTAATTCAATTTGCTTAATTCTTCATTCATTTTTCTTGATATATTAGAATCCATTTCTTCTCTTTCTGCTACTTCTGTCTTTATAGCTTCATGTAATCTTGGTAAATCAGTTTCTAAACATTAATTTAATCTTTCAATATTCTCATTTCTTGTTCTACTTTCTGTACTTAATTCACTTCTTATTAATCCTGTCTTCTCTTCTATAAATCTTATTATTTTTTATTCTCCATCTTTTCTTGTCGATGTTAATCCTTCAACTGCCTAATTGAATGAATTTTCTAAATCTATATATTCCTTTTGTTTCTATTCAAAATGTTATTCTCTTTATAATTTTGTTTAATCCAACACTTTCTATAATTTCAATACACTATCTTTAATCAAGGCAACTCTTTAACTTAATTATTCATTTAATTCATTCAATCCAGATTCTAATTAATCTAATCTAGTCTCTGATTCTTCTATTCTTTTTGTCTAAATATTAATAATTATATATTACTCTCTCTCCTTCAATTGTTAAATCCATTTAACTTAATTAAGAACTTATTTTTGCTACTCTCTCTCTTGATGGTGAATAATCTAATCTATTTTACTATACATTACTTCTATTATTTGACATATCTAACTGATTATTTGAATAAAAAGATAATATTAATATAAATAAATTTATTGTTAATTTATTTTGCTAAAATATCATACTTAATGAGTTATTTTGTAAAAATCATTATTACATAGTAAATAGTTTATTTAAAAACACCTAAATGTAAATTTTGAGGTTAATTAATTGTTACATTAAATTTTATAATTTATAATTATCAACAGATTGTTAACGTTATGAAAAGTTTTATCACATAATAATAATGAACTATTATAAAAATTAGAAATAATACCAAAAAAATTTAAAGTTTTTTCATTAATGAAATAACTTTTTTCAAACTATTTGACATATATATTAAAATGCTTTAAGATTAAAAGGAACTAGATAAAAAATCAATAAATTTTATTAATAGTTACAAAGAGTATTAGTTATATTGTTTGATAAATAAATTAAGATCATAATTAGGACAATATAAATTAGAAAAATATATTAAAGTTGATATATTTTAATTAGTAATATATTAATCAATCATATTTAGAGTAACTTCTATATTTAAAGCTTTACTTTCCTTTTAATCCTGTTTTGGTAATAAAATTTATTTTTGTTGTATCAAATCTAAATGACTATTCTTTTGGTCTTCTACTAGGTTATTTATATATTGTTTATTGGTTTTTAGGCGAAGATTTATTACTTTGTACATTATTCGTAGTTTTTTTTTACAAAACATGTTTATCTTATGATTTAAGATTGATGTCTCTTTCTTAAAATTCTCTTTTTGAATTTTCTAGATTATAATTAAATATTTTTATTCTGCTTTTCTGAACAATTAAAGTCTAGCTTATTTCTTTAGACAATAACTGTTTTATTTAGGGGAGAGGCTTATTATTTTTTAGGATTAGGTTTAGTAGAAGATAAGTAAGAAGGAGGCTTTAGACAAGCTCTCATTATTTCTTAATAATTTTTAGGTGGAGTATTATTTGGTTGGGTATTACTAGGGACACTGGATTACCTTGGAACTGTTTTTTCATAGAAATCGTTAAAGAACTTTCCCTATTTTTTGGTTCCATCTGAGTAAATTAACTCACCTTCTCCATGTTTTTTGTCATTCACATAGTATCCTTTATAAGAGTATGTCGAACATCTATATTCTCCATAGCCAGTTTTAAGACCATTTTAAAATTTTCCATGAAAATATGCTCCACTAGAATAAAAATATTCTCCATCTCCTTCAGGTTTTCCATTTTAATACATTCCTACATACCTGTCTCCGTTTGTAAATAGTTCTTCACCAAAGCCATGCTTTAAACTATCTTTAAACTCTCCTTTATATTAATCTCCATTAATCCATTTATGCTAACCTCTACCATTAGGTTTTCCATCAATCCAATATCCAGTATACATATCACCTTTTAAACCCATCCAAGTTCCATATCCGTGTTTATTACCATTGAACCATTCTCCTTCATAATATTCGCCATTTGCCCAAGTAAATTTCCCTTGACCTTCTGGTTTGCCATTAACATAAAGTCCTTTATAATTTGATTTAGATGGAAAAACTTCCCAACCTTGACCATGCTTACGATTATTATTGAATTCTCCTTCATAAACATGTTCCTCTTCCATTAATAATACTCCTCTTCCATGTTTAAGACCATTGAATACTTATCCAAAATAGATTTTATTCTTTGATGTTATTATACTGAAATTAGGCAACTTCTTTAATTCTTCAAATGAATATCCCTTTGTATTATACTTATAATTTTGTATTCTTAATATTATCAGATTATCGATCATTTAATTAATTTATATTAAAATTGAATAAAAAAATTCATTATTTATTAATTTGATTTTCAAATGAGTGATGAAGAATCAGAAGATGAAAATAGATCCAAATTCAAATTATCAAAAACTCATTAATTAATTAATTAACTCGAACACAAACTTTAAATTCTTGACTAAAATAATGGACCTAGTATCTATCCTAATTCAAGAGATTCAAATCTCAAAAGTAAATAAGAATTGGAAAAAGAATTATATGAATTTGAATAAAGAATGAAAAAACTAAATCAAACTGAAAATTCATAGTTACATTCCTCATAAGCAAAATCAATACCAAAACAGTCTCCACAAAAGTTAAACCTTTCTAATCCAATTTTATAATTGTTAACTCAAAAGTTAGAAAGTTTTGATGATGATAAAAATACCATGTTATCATCAAAATTAGATCATCTTAATAGAGAATAATAAATACTTGAATAAGAATAAATTAATTTGTTAAGGGAATAATAATAAGCAAAATTTGAATTGGAATCATTATTAAGAACTTTAGAAATTGAAGAATAACGAAGATTAAATGAATAAAAAATTTCAATTCTTAAAGAATAAGAAGAAAAATTACTTGATATTCAAGAGCAAAGCGAAAAACTTATATAAGAAGAGGATGAGAAAAAGACTAACTTTTTATTAGAATTGTAATAATTATCATTTGAAAAAAATCAATTGCAAACACAGTTATAAGTATACATTCATATTATATTCTGTTTAGAATTTATCTAGAGAATAAGATATGTTAGTTAGTAATAGAGATGAAGTATCAAATTAATTGAATACTTTAATGCAATTACATAATTAAATACTTTAAAATGATTTGAAGAAAAAAATAGTTCATCTTGAAGAAGAGCCAGATCCATCTCCACTCTAGAATCTATATTAGATCAATTAATAAATTTAAGAATCAATGAATTAATAATTATCCTTAATTAGACAAGAATTGAATGAACAAAAATAAATTAATTTAGATCTTTTATAACTTTTGAATGGAGAATAACAATAGTAATAAACATAAAGATAGTTGAATTCATCTGAATTATAATAATAATAATAATCAGAATAGTAATAATAATAGTAATAATAATCAAATTCTTAACTATAATTTCAAATATGTACAAATAAACAAAATTATAATTAAAATGAAGATTTAGAAAGTGAGGAAAGTATTATGATGTAAAAATATAACAATAATAATTAAAATGCTAATATCTAAATATAAAAAGACTTTAATTAACTTTTTGAAAAGCACAAGAAATAGTAATTATTAAATAAAAATTAGATTATTCAAACCAAAATAAAAAATTCATTTAAAGTAAACAAAAGCAACAGCAGAAAAAAGAAGAAGATCAATTGATCTAACTCAATCTAAATCATAATCAAAGTCAAAAGAAAGGGAGATAAATTTTGGCAAAGAAAAAGAGAAAAAAGTAACTCATTTATCGTTTGAACAGACATATAAAAGAAACATACAAGATTAATTAAAAAAATTAAATTTTATTGTGGAAAAATCTTTGAATAATAAGTGAAAAGATATTAAACTTGTGTTAAGATAAAATTGGAACACATACTGATTATAATATTTATCAAATAAAATATTCTACTTTCTGTATCTTCCTCAATAGAGCCCTTTAATTTATAAATAGTTTGATTTAATTTAAAAAGTAAAATTTCGGATAGGGATTGGAAAATTCTTCAAAATCAGATGAAAAAGTGTAAATTAAACAAAAATATTATTTATTATTCATTCATAAGTAAAATTATAGATTTTGAAAATAGTTTTAAGAAATTGCATCAGTATACTGTAAAATCAAAAAAAAAGTTTAACTTTTTCTTCATTATTTCTATTTTTAAGACCAATTAATAATAATAATGATTTCTTTTAGGGAACCAAACTCTCTAACTTAATTCATCCTATTTTAATTTATTACATATCTTTCGAATAACAATTTAAAATTTAACAAAAAATCTTATTTGAACCTTTATCCAATTATGTATCCTTCTTCCCTATTTCTTGTAATTTTCCAAACAAATCAAATTTTAACTTGTCCTCTTCGCATAAGAAGAATGGAATTTATATAAATTTTTCAAAATTTATTTTTGATACTAAGTAGAATTATTTTATTTTTTTTCTTAGTTCTAGTTTGCTCTCTATTATTATTAGTGTTTTCAAGTCTATTCAAATGAATTTAAACAACTGATTTAGTCTATTCTATGATAATGNCATTATTTTAGTCAAGAATTTAAAGTTTGTGTTCGAGTTAATTAATTAATTAATGAGTTTTTGATAATTTGAATTTGGATCTATTTTCATCTTCTGATTCTTCATCACTCATTTGAAAATCAAATTAATAAATAATGAATTTTTTTATTCAATTTTAATATAAATTAATTAAATGATCGATAATCTGATAATATTAAGAATACAAAATTATAAGTATAATACAAAGGGATATTCATTTGAAGAATTAAAGAAGTTGCCTAATTTCAGTATAATAACATCAAAGAATAAAATCTATTTTGGATAAGTATTCAATGGTCTTAAACATGGAAGAGGAGTATTATTAATGGAAGAGGAACATGTTTATGAAGGAGAATTCAATAATAATCGTAAGCATGGTCAAGGTTGGGAAGTTTTTCCATCTAAATCAAATTATAAAGGACTTTATGTTAATGGCAAACCAGAAGGTCAAGGGAAATTTACTTGGGCAAATGGCGAATATTATGAAGGAGAATGGTTCAATGGTAATAAACACGGATATGGAACTTGGATGGGTTTAAAAGGTGATATGTATACTGGATATTGGATTGATGGAAAACCTAATGGTAGAGGTTAGCATAAATGGATTAATGGAGATTAATATAAAGGAGAGTTTAAAGATAGTTTAAAGCATGGCTTTGGTGAAGAACTATTTACAAACGGAGACAGGTATGTAGGAATGTATTAAAATGGAAAACCTGAAGGAGATGGAGAATATTTTTATTCTAGTGGAGCATATTTTCATGGAAAATTTTAAAATGGTCTTAAAACTGGCTATGGAGAATATAGATGTTCGACATACTCTTATAAAGGATACTATGTGAATGACAAAAAACATGGAGAAGGTGAGTTAATTTACTCAGATGGAACCAAAAAATAGGGAAAGTTCTTTAACGATTTCTATGAAAAAACAGTTCCAAGGTAATCCAGTGTCCCTAGTAATACCCAACCAAATAATACTCCACCTAAAAATTATTAAGAAATAATGAGAGCTTGTCTAAAGCCTCCTTCTTACTTATCTTCTACTAAACCTAATCCTAAAAAATAATAAGCCTCTCCCCTAAATAAAACAGTTATTGTCTAAAGAAATAAGCTAGACTTTAATTGTTCAGAAAAGCAGAATAAAAATATTTAATTATAATCTAGAAAATTCAAAAAGAGAATTTTAAGAAAGAGACATCAATCTTAAATCATAAGATAAACATGTTTTGTAAAAAAAAACTACGAATAATGTACAAAGTAATAAATCTTCGCCTAAAAACCAATAAACAATATATAAATAACCTAGTAGAAGACCAAAAGAATAGTCATTTAGATTTGATACAACAAAAATAAATTTTATTACCAAAACAGGATTAAAAGGAAAGTAAAGCTTTAAATATAGAAGTTACTCTAAATATGATTGATTAATATATTACTAATTAAAATATATCAACTTTAATATATTTTTCTAATTTATATTGTCCTAATTATGATCTTAATTTATTTATCAAACAATATAACTAATACTCTTTGTAACTATTAATAAAATTTATTGATTTTTTATCTAGTTCCTTTTAATCTTAAAGCATTTTAATATATATGTCAAATAGTTTGAAAAAAGTTATTTCATTAATGAAAAAACTTTAAATTTTTTTGGTATTATTTCTAATTTTTATAATAGTTCATTATTATTATGTGATAAAACTTTTCATAACGTTAACAATCTGTTGATAATTATAAATTATAAAATTTAATGTAACAATTAATTAACCTCAAAATTTACATTTAGGTGTTTTTAAATAAACTATTTACTATGTAATAATGATTTTTACAAAATAACTCATTAAGTATGATATTTTAGCAAAATAAATTAACAATAAATTTATTTATATTAATATTATCTTTTTATTCAAATAATCAGTTAGATATGTCAAATAATAGAAGTAATGTATAGTAAAATAGATTAGATTATTCACCATCAAGAGAGAGAGTAGCAAAAATAAGTTCTTAATTAAGTTAAATGGATTTAACAATTGAAGGAGAGAGAGTAATATATAATTATTAATATTTAGACAAAAAGAATAGAAGAATCAGAGACTAGATTAGATTAATTAGAATCTGGATTGAATGAATTAAATGAATAATTAAGTTAAAGAGTTGCCTTGATTAAAGATAGTGTATTGAAATTATAGAAAGTGTTGGATTAAACAAAATTATAAAGAGAATAACATTTTGAATAGAAACAAAAGGAATATATAGATTTAGAAAATTCATTCAATTAGGCAGTTGAAGGATTAACATCGACAAGAAAAGATGGAGAATAAAAAATAATAAGATTTATAGAAGAGAAGACAGGATTAATAAGAAGTGAATTAAGTACAGAAAGTAGAACAAGAAATGAGAATATTGAAAGATTAAATTAATGTTTAGAAACTGATTTACCAAGATTACATGAAGCTATAAAGACAGAAGTAGCAGAAAGAGAAGAAATGGATTCTAATATATCAAGAAAAATGAATGAAGAATTAAGCAAATTGAATTAATTATTGGTCTAAGAGAAAGTAAATAGATAAGAATCAGAATAAGCAATCTTTGATATGTTAAAAGATGTTGTCAATAGAATTAAAACTGAAGTAGATAATGAAAAAAAATAAAGGTACTTATATTATTATTATTATTATTTAGAGAATCAACTGAAGAAACACTTTTAGCTTTATTAGAAGATACTTGCAATAAAGTTAATGCAGCATAACTAGCATGAGTTAAAAATCATTATTCATTAAATAAAATAAAATATATATAAATTTATTTATATATTTATTAATCTTTATTATATATTTTATATATATAATCATGTANAATTAATCAAATACTGATTTCAATTATTTAAAAAAAACCAAATCAGTTGAATAGAAATTAATCTTAAAAATGTCAATTAAAAAATGATTATGTAAATAAATAATGTATAATCAATCTGTGATTATATTATATTATAAAATAATTCTGACAAGAGAAATCGAATGAATCAATATTCTTTTGCAAAAGTTATTCAATAAATTGATGAAGTAAGAACTATTGTAGAAAAACAAAAATTTGCTAATGCAGTAACGTTATTAATTAGGTTTCATGATTTTATAATATATTAACTTATACATTGAAAAACCATTAACAATAAATTTATTTATATTAATATTATCTTTTTATTCAAATAATCAGTTAGATATGTCAAATAATAGAAGTAATGTATAGTAAAATAGATTAGATTATTCACCATCAAGAGAGAGAGTAGCAAAAATAAGTTCTTAATTAAGTTAAATGGATTTAACAATTGAAGGAGAGAGAGTAATATATAATTATTAATATTTAGACAAAAAGAATAGAAGAATCAGAGACTAGATTAGATTAATTAGAATCTGGATTGAATGAATTAAATGAATAATTAAGTTAAAGAGTTGCCTTGATTAAAGATAGTGTATTGAAATTATAGAAAGTGTTGGATTAAACAAAATTATAAAGAGAATAACATTTTGAATAGAAACAAAAGGAATATATAGATTTAGAAAATTCATTCAATTAGGCAGTTGAAGGATTAACATCGACAAGAAAAGATGGAGAATAAAAAATAATAAGATTTATAGAAGAGAAGACAGGATTAATAAGAAGTGAATTAAGTACAGAAAGTAGAACAAGAAATGAGAATATTGAAAGATTAAATTAATGTTTAGAAACTGATTTACCAAGATTACATGAAGCTATAAAGACAGAAGTAGCAGAAAGAGAAGAAATGGATTCTAATATATCAAGAAAAATGAATGAAGAATTAAGCAAATTGAATTAATTATTGGTCTAAGAGAAAGTAAATAGATAAGAATCAGAATAAGCAATCTTTGATATGTTAAAAGATGTTGTCAATAGAATTAAAACTGAAGTAGATAATGAAAAAAAATAAAGGTACTTATATTATTATTATTATTATTTAGAGAATCAACTGAAGAAACACTTTTAGCTTTATTAGAAGATACTTGCAATAAAGTTAATGCAGCATAACTAGCATGAGTTAAAAATCATTATTCATTAAATAAAATAAAATATATATAAATTTATTTATATATTTATTAATCTTTATTATATATTTTATATATATAATCATGTATCTAAATTAAGACAAGAGGAAGTTGAAAATATGCAAAAAGAAATTGCGTATGATAAAGCTATATATTTGATGGTATAACCCACTAAGTAAGAGAATGGAAATGAGTTATTGTTAAATGAATTAAGCAACTAAAACACATTTATAATTAACTGGAAATTAGGATTGGCAAGATTGTGCCCTCTAAATAAATGCTAGCCTGAAATTCCAATAAATGATTAATTTAGACTTCTAGTAATAATGAGCCGTTATTCAAATTTTTGGAACTTCGTTTTTAAAATAAACTACAAGATTACCTAAAAGAAAAAAAATTATAAACCTTTAACTGAATTTATATCTGGTAATGATTCTATCTTCTTACTACTAAATTGGAGTAAATAATTAAACAGAAAAAATTAACTGTTTAATATTACATAGATTTCACTAGTGCTTATTAGAAGATTGATAGATAAAGATTATATAAAATATTAAAAAAAAGAAATCCGCTAGAAGTAAAAAATTTTGAGTATTTAGAAGCTATTCACAGCAGAATATAGTATGTAAATATTATAATTCATAAAATAAAATCTGTTTCAGAAATGGTGTTCCTCAAGGGTCACCAATATCACCTGCCCTATTTAACATTATTTTGATGAATTCCTTAAAAATTTGATCCAAGAAACTAAAATACTTTTGAGTTTTTAGGATATGCTGATGATTTGGTACTACTAACAAAGTAAAGAAACTTAGGTTTCCTGCTTAATAATATACACGAGATATCTGCTTAGTGGAATCTCAGAATAAATACTAAGAAAAAAGTTACATCATGCAAATAAAACACAAAATTAAATGCTAAACTATATGTGAATTCCCTATTGTTTTAAGTTACAAATATTTAGGGATAGTCATAGATAATGAAGGAACTTTTCAGCATCATATGTGAAAAATCTAGCATCTAAGATAAACTTTTTTAATAACTAACTCTGCTTCATATCCAGAACTACAGAATTTTCACAAAGAGTATTTCTCTATAGAATGTGTATTGAACCTTATTTTCTGAATTGTTCTGTTGCCTCATACTTTAATAATAAATAAATTTCTCAAAAATTATAAGACTGAGGAAGAATTCATTTAAAAACTGTTAAAATTACCTTAGAACGCACCTCATGAATAACTTACTCGTCAAAAATTAAAGATAGTTTAATTGTAATACTTTAACAGATAGGAGAAAGAGGATTAAAGTAACATAATGGATATTAATCAGAAATTATTAATGAAACCAAAAATTAAATTTAAACATTACATCAAAATATTTTCAACTGTTGTTTATATTTGCTTAAACCTAATGCAAAGAAAATTATGAAAGATGCATATATAAACATTTCTCACTTACATTCTTTCCCTCACTAAAGATGACATATGCAAAACTTAATGACTAAACTAAAAGATTATGAATTTAGAATTCAAATTGATAATATTCTACAAAATTTAAATAAGACCTAATTTAATAAGCCCTAATCCAAATTTCAATTAACCTTAAAGAAGAAAATCAAACTGATACACAAAAGAAAATTCAAACTAACCGATAGTGATACAATACAATTCTCATCTTCCAGAAATCTGTAAATCATCGTTACATATTCATTACATATTAAGAATTATACTGATTTTATTAATAGATATCACAAAAATACTCCAATATGTTCTTGTTTTATAAATATTGATAATTAGGGATAAAGGAAGAGCAGTGACTTTTTAAATAAATGAAAAGAGTGCTACTTACTTTTTTTTTGCATTTAGCTCATAATATTATGTGTTAAATGCTCCCTCGTTTCATAAATAAGACCTCCATTATTATATTAATCAGAAATATTTCTACTTTTCTCCTCTTCATCCTCTCGAAAATTTGAGAGTTTAACTTGTTTAACAACTTTAAATTACGTTCCTTTTCTCCTTTAAAACTTCCTACAATAGTGAAAAATAAACAAATTTTGCTTATAATTCTTGATTTTACTCATATAAAATGTTCTAAATGAATTATAAAATATATTATTTTATATTTCCATGATACAATAATAAATAATAATTATTTTTTTCTTGAATAAAAAATATGTATTTACATTAATTTTTGAAATTTTTTATGATTTTAGCTAAGATTAGTTAATGCATTATGGTAAAGATCAATATTAGATAGAGATTAGAAATATTTTCTTACAATCATTAAATATTTTCCATAAAATAATCATGATTTATTATTATTTCAAAGTGACTAATAAATAATAATATTCTCATATTTTTGATTAATCATAATAATAATAATTTTTCCTTTTAAAAGTACGATTATTAGATAACAAATTTAACAACATATTTATTTTATAAATATTTATACATATGAGTGATTAAAATTAGAAGGCTGAAAGTCAAGAAAACTCTAGTTAGCTATCTTCTTAGGATGAATAACAATAGAAAACTATAAAGCCAGCTGAATTAGTAGCTATTCCAAAAGTGTATGCGCAATCCCTAAATAATGAATAACCATCAACAAGAGAAGAAAGGAAAATCAAACAATATTTATAACGCATATAAGAATAAGAGCGTATTGAGGACGTATGTTTCTTTTAAATTTAGATTTACAAAGGTTGCCACTTTAAAAAAGAAGCGCATAAAAGTAATATATCATATGTATATATAATTATTAGCCAAACCCGCCATAAAAATCACAGGATAATTTAGAATTGCCAATAAGTGCAGAAAATGGTGAAAATGGGGATGATGAAGGAATGTATAGTATATTTCTTTTTATTAGTTTATTGATCCCTCCAGCAATTCAATTAAATCCATAGGTGTTATAAACTGAGTAATAATCTGAAATCTAAACTCAACAATTAAAGATGAGATTAAACCCTAAACTAAAAATAAAGGTATTGTTCAATATAGAGAATAGGAAAAACATCATGTGTACATTTATTTAGCAAATTGCCAAGATCAAAGCTTAGAGAATATTTAAGAATTATCATCAAAAGCAACTTAATTTTATTCACCTTAAAAACAACTGAAAGACCAATCAAGTTTAAATTAAATAAATCAAGAGATATTTTAGGAAACAACTATCATAATTAAAAATATCAAAAATTAATATTAATAATACATTGATTAAGGCCCTAATGGAAATTAAACAGATTAAAGGGATTTCTTTATCAAATATTTAGATAAGAAATATATTGAATCTGTACTAAGAGATAGTAAAATGCAAATATAAAGAAAATAAACAAATGATAAGTAATTATAAAATGGAAAACAAATCCAAAAAAAATATTGATACTTATAAATACAATCAAGAATTAAAAAAATCTGGTTTCTCATTTCTATTTGTCTATAATAATTTTCTTTTTTCTTCTAAGACACAACTAATAATTTTATTCAATTTTGAGTTGGATATTAAACATTTTTCATCTATTTTCGAAAATATAACTAAAAGTTCTTTAATCTCTGATATCTAATAAATCTTCTTAATTAATTCGAGAGATTTTACAGATCTTATTAAAATCTCTTTTAGAATATGAATAGTCTCTTCAGTGGATAATAATTCAGGTTACATAAGTTCTAAAATATTAAATTATTTTTTCTTTTCATTATCATCATCAGATTATTAAATAAAAGTCTTCATGTGTATTGATTCTCCAGTAGCGGCAGACCATCTGACACCAGTTGTAAATTCTTCACTAGTCCTTTTAGTAATAATTCTATCTTCTTTAATTTTGTTATTTTCATTAATAAGTTTTTAATTAAGATGATTTAATGAGAAATTATCATTTTATAATTTTTGTATTTTCTAATAATAATAAATAGATAAATACATTTTATAAGATTTCATGCTATTTTATTTTTTCTGCAAAGACTACTTTTAAATCTATAAATTCTTATTGATAACTTTTGTACTCATTAATTAATTGATTTAATTATTGATGATTTAGATTTGGCTATAAATATTAACTAATAACTCGACTTTATTCTAAACTTCTACTTTTTGGTGATTACCTAAAGTCTTTATGATTTGATTCTAATTAAATTAATTATTATTGTAATTGAATAATTTTACCATTCAACTCGGTATTCTTATCTTAAAATATTTTATTTTATTCAATATATTGTTTAACTTCAATATTTTTGAATTAGACTTTCTTTTTTAATTTTTCTGATTCATCTTTTAATTCTAATATTGACTTTTCATTTTCTTTTTATGTTTATTAAAGCATTTTTATTTAAGAGAATAATTCAATATTCTTTTTATCTTTTTCTTTAATGCTTTAAATCTAAAATTTGTAATTACTCTATTATATTAATAAAATAATATACTTTTGAAAAGGACTCTTCTTTTAATTATTGAATTTACTTCTCATATTCTTATTTCTTTTCAAGTAATTCTTTAATTTGACTTTAGAATTATTGTCTCATTAAATTGATATCATTATACAGTTCACTTTTATCTGATTAAATAGAATTAGAGCCTTTTAATTTTTCGATATCCATAGATTATTTAATTAACTCTTTGTTTTTAGATGAAGATATTTATTATTTATACTGAAAATTTTCTTAAACCAGATTATAATTTATTTTTTTTATTTTTTCAAATTCTTCAATTAAATTCTTTTCTTATTCCTATTATTCATTAAATATTAATTAAATCTTTTTTTATAATGAATTATTTTCTTCCAAGACTTAAGTTTTTTATTCTTTATATTATTCAATTTAATCTGTTAATTCTTTTATCATTTCATCCTATTATTCTAATGCTATGTCAATTTATTCTCTTTATCTTGATAATAATAAGGTGACAATTTCTCGAATTTAGGCTGGCAAATCATTTTCAATATCAAGAATACTTTACTCATTTTCTAAAGAACATTCTTTTAATATGTTTTTTAATTCTTGTTTACCAGCTAAACAATGTTAACATTTTGTATTGACTTCGAAAACACTAGATCTTTTAATTTCTTTTATTTTTATTTCAGATAACATATTTTAATCTTGTTATTCATTTTTTATAAGAGTAGTAAGATTAGATATTTACATTTCTTAATTTTCTATTTTTTTTTCTTTAGTGTGCAGTATTTTATACATTTTTTCAATTTCTTGCTATAATGTTTAATCTTATGATTAAAGTTATTTTAATTCATTTTTTAATTCAGTTATTATTTGATCTTTTAATTAAATTGTATTCTATAAAGATTCATTTTTTTTTTATTCTAATGATTCATTTTTTATAGTCAATACATCTATATTAGAGAAATCTTTTGACTTTTATTCAATTTCAATGAATTTATGAGAGAAATTGTCATCATTTACTTTAATTTATTGCTTAAAATTCAATGAATTTTCATTAGAGAATTCAATACTAATACCTGCTACTTAAGGGAAAATGTTTTTCCCATTTCCAGGAGCAACATTGTATTTGGACCAATCAATTAATTTATTGATTTTCTTTGGAGTCATAGATTCCATAATTGAATTTGAGGCTTGCATTTAAGGCTGAATTTCTTCTTATTATGTTTTAGTTGCAAATTTGAATGATTATTTATTTGGAGTTCCATCTGATATATCGCTATAAGAAGTAATTGTAATATCAGGATTCTAGGATTATTAAGGTTAATTAGATTTTTGGAATAGCAATTGATTCAAGTCTGTATTCGTATTCATATTGAGAGAGGGAAAATTCAAAATTATAATTAATGTTTATTTGAGTAATTCATTTTCTCCTTTATTTTAAAGAGGAAACTCTTGTATGAAGCATTTATTCTTTAGAGACATTAGACAATAATTGATGATAATCTAAATCCTTTTATCCATTAGGCAATGTATTTTGTCTATCAGCAAAGAAATTGTTTTGAGAAATGATTCGCTTCAATCCTTAAACAGTGGATTGAGCTGGACTTGGAATAGAACTGACTTATTATACATTTGTGATTGAAGATTATCTAAATTGATATAGAATTATACTAAGATTTTATTCGTTTTTAGAGAGATTAGAATTACTCAGGAGTGAGTTTTTATTATTTTTTATTGTGAGTTTAAGGAGATGCTGGTTTAGATTGATGTTCTTTAGATTCAGTATATTTTCTTTGTGGTTTAAATTTGGAATTGAGTGCCAATTATTATTGTGAGACCATCATGAAATGTTATTTCAATATTTTTGCTTATTCTTATTTCATTTATTTTTGTTCTTAAGAGTCAAAATAGAAAGCTTTAAATATTCTTATTTCTTATTGCAAACCAGTCTTGCCTAATAACTTTTCTCTAGTTTCTAACTCTCCTTTCATCAAATCATTTGAGTCATAATTAAATTTGAACTGATTTGGTTTAAATGGTGGAGGTACTTGCTTTTATAATATCGAAACAAGATCCACATCTTTAAACCAAGAATGAGTAAGTAATTCTGTCAATCCTTTATTTGCTCCTAATCTTTCTGATGGTTGTTTGCATAATAAACCTTGTAATAGATTCTATGTAAAAATTGAATGTACCTTTATGTCAGATGATAAATTTAATTTCTCAGGGAATGTTAATTCTTCATTAAGTATTGATTCATAGATTTCGTCTGTATCTCTAGAATAATATGGAGGCAATCCAGTAACTAATTCATACAATAATGCTCCTAAACAATAATGATCCACTTAAACATTATGTCCAACTTTCAATAACATTTCTGGAGCCATATATTCTGGTGAACCACAAAAGCTGTATGCATAATCATCTTCAGTCATGTTGGGTTTTGACAATCCAAAGTCTGCTATTCTAATATGACCATCAATATCAATCAAAATATTCTCTGGTTTGATATCTCTATACACTACAGATAATGAATGCAGATAAAACATAGCTAAACATATCTCAGTAAAGTAAAATCTTGCTTAATCTTCTGTCATTCTTTTTACTTGTCGTAATTACCAAAATAACTCTCCTCCACTACAGAATTCTAACACGAATACTATGAAATTCTTAGATTCAAATGCATATTCTAATTTAATAATAAAAGGATGATCAAGAACTGTCATGATATCTCTTTCATTTTATACAATACCTTTTAAATTTATTCTAATCATACCTTATTTCTTATTTTGCAAAATGAATTCCTTATCAATTAATTTCATAGCATAGAATCTTCCATTTGATTTCTTTTTCACCATATAAACTCTTGAAAACCCACCTACTCCAATACATTTCACAAAAACAAAATCCTTTAGTGTTATCTTGCTTTATTAAGGAGTTCCATAAAATGGTTATAAATTCAATGTTTAACCACTAAAGATTTCTAAACTTTTATCAGGCTATTGTAAATAATAATCTACTGGAAGATTCTTATCAACCGTATGAAATGAGACTATATCTAAATTTGAAGATTCATTCCCAGTACCACATGTTACTTTTCTTTCATCTGGTTAAGAACCTGTTGATGAATATTAATGTATTGAATGCTTTTTTATTTCCTATTTCAAATATTCTTCTAACCATCCTGTAGTTTTTGAAGATTCAATATTAAATTTAATTTATTGATTCTCATTATTTACTATTATTGTAAGTCCTGTATTAACAAAACTTTATTTGCTAGACATTTATGATTTCTAAGGTTGACTTGTACCAGAATTAATACGTTTACTTTCTTTTTGTTAGCTCATCATATCTGACATATTTGCTTTTTTATTTCCTGATGATAATTATTTATGACTTGTCATCAATTTTAAAAGTTCTTGCTAATATTATTTTATTTGATTCCCTTTTTTTTATCCCATACTTTAATTTGTTTTTTAATTTGGACTCAAAGATTATCCTATTATTCCATTAGGATTGAATGATTAACTTAATTTTTAAGAAGCTTTTGTAGTGGATCTAATTATTATACTAAAAATACGGTTTTAATATGCTCTACGATACTATCTCATGTAATTTCTATTATTTAGTGAGCATAATCAAATTTAAATATTTATATAATATATTATAATACTATTCACAATTTACCAATCACTGATTATAAGATTTCGATTCCATGTAAATCCCTTAATTTCTATAAATTGCCTTAATCTTTAGTTAATTTTGCTAGAAGTATTGCTGAATTTTTTCTAGAATTCCCAGTTTTATCTTTTACGAAACTTAACAATCTAGGAATTGTTTGATTAAAAATTGAACAAGCATTGACCTCACCTTTTATTGGAGATAATAGATCAATTATCTATCCAATTAAATTACAACAATTACAATATATCATTTCATTATCACTTTGCAATTATAATTTTAATTATTCAAGCAATTCAAATAGATTTATTTATTGTTATTTTAACTGATTAACCACAATAGGAGATTTCCTTGATAGCCATTAAAGTAAACATAGAATTGATTAATTACTGTATTATTGTATAAATTTAGATATAATAAAGATGTTCTCTTCATAATTGACTTTGGTCAATATTGTTAATACTCGTTCTAAAACTAAACTATCTTTTTCAGACTCTAAATACCCAATTAAAGTAGGGATTAAATCGTTTATTTTACTTACATATTCTGTTTAAATTTAATTAATCTAAAATGTTAAATTAACCAAAATAGCAATTCCATTTTCTTTTAACAAATTGTATTCATTATCTTTAAATTAAATAGATTTAATAAATTTAAAATAAGACTTAAAAAAATTTTGATTCAACTCTTTTGATAAAACATATATTCTATATTTATCTTCGGTTAACAAATTTGACAATAGATTACATAATTAATTCATCATTCTAATATTTTCTTATTTAATTTCTACTTTTTCAAATAACTCTATAAATTTAACAATAATTTCATTTTTATTTTCAAAAAATACATTCTTTAAGGGTGTTCCCTATCCATAACATAAATTACTGCAAAAACTTAAAAATATAGCAACCAAATCCTTTTCAGTTTTATATAAAGAAGTAATTCTATGAAATAATTCAGGATATAGTTTAGTTCTAATTATTTCATGCTTTTGTATAAAAGATCTGGGTTTGTCCTCTCCCATTACATTTAAAACATCTAGATAATCTGCTATTATATCATAAATTCCAGATTAGGATTTAGTGCCAACTTGAATCAACAAAATCTTAATTTTTTAATAAATAACTTCAATTCCATTATATTAAATGAGAAATTATTCTTAATACAATAGACTTTTATCTTGATAAACCTATAATATCAAAGCAGGTAAACTTGCCAAAATCTAATGATAATGAGTATAATTACATTTAATTAATCGTTTAATTTTTCTTAGTTTTTAGATATTATTGATAAGAGTTATTTTAATCCATTTTTCTCATAAAAATACGCAGTAGCTTCACTTGAATCAACCTTTAATACTTTAAATAATGATAAAAGTTCTATTTCTTCTTCTCCAACAAATTTATCAATTATTTATTTATAAGTAAGGTTTTCTTCCACAACTCTATATTTATCTTTAGTGTTGTCTGCATTATTATTATCTTCTTATTCATTTTGTTTATCTTGTGTTAATTCTTCTACATCCTTCTGATTCTTTTCATTCTATTTCAACCTTTGATAATGATCAATTTTCGCTTCTATTTCCTTCTTAAGGTCTTATACCCATTTATCATTTGGTATAAGTTCTTAGGCCTGATTTATATCATTGAGTGCTTCCTCTAAGCGATCTCTATTATAATAAGCCAATGCTCTCCTGGCAAATGCTTTGCAACAGCTATCCTTGCTTTAAGTATAACCATTTTCAAAACATTCAGCATAATTGATGACTTTAGTACAATCATTTATAGCCTTTTTATTTTTGTTTGATTTTATATATGTAATTGCTCTATTCAACCACAAAGTCTTATTATCTTTCACTAATTCAAGGGCTTAAGAATATTTCCAAGCAGCTTAGTCAAAATCACCTTTACTATAATAATCATTTCCTTTTTATTTTAATTCTTCTGCCTTTTTCATGTCTTCCTCTTTTCTTTTCTTTCTCTCTTACATATCTAATTCTAGAGCTTTGAAATTTGGATCATCCTTTGGTAAAATAGGCTCAGATTCAAATTCTTCTTCTGAACTAGTATAATATTCCCATTTTCTATGTGTAAATGTACTTTTTTTCCATAAAATTTTCTCTGTCTTCTCCATTAATTCAAATTTCTATTTCTTCTATTGCTTTCTACTCTTGTCTTCTTTATATTTTTCAACCTTCTCTAATAATTAATTGTAGCGTTCTAAATTATTCATTAATTTTACATTCCTAAGTCAAAGTATCTCTTTTACACCAATAGCATTTATCTGTCTGCTTTATGTATTCTAAATAACAATATTTGCAAAAATTAGCATAATCTTTATTTTATCCTTTTCCTTTTCTTCCTTTTAATTCTTCCTCCTCTTTCTAAATTTATAATTATTTTTTATTATCTTATTTCTTTTTTTCACTTTCTATTCGTTTTTATCTTATCTTCGTAATCTCTTCATCATCATCTTTAAAATTCACCTTAAAATTATTAATTAAATATACCTAATCGGTTGACAATTTTTTTATTTTATCATGTACTAATTCTACTTCTGCAAGCCATGTTTCCATTTCTTCAGGATCTAATTAACTTTCAAAAATTGGTGGTTACATTTAGTTATTTATTTATTATTATTATCTAAAAACACTATTTCTAAAAACCAAAACTCATGCAAAAAATAAAAAATCTGATTAATTATATTATTTAGTAGCTATAAATATTTATTTAAATGAGTCTCTCTTAAGACCTATAATAATTGTATTCTCAAAAATAATTAATTTTGGAATTGTATTATTTCTTTATCATTAATATATTACTTTTTTTGTTAATTTATAAAATTAGAGAAAAAAGTTATTTTAAATAATTTAGATTATATAAAAATATTATTTTTATCAATTATAAAACAATTAAAGTATTTTTTAAGATAAAGAAAATACAATATATTTTGAAATTCAGGTTCAATAAAAAAAGAAGCTTATGCAGAAATAAAAAAGAACATTGTCATATTTTTCTATTCATAAATGAAGAAAAAATGGGAAAAAATTTATGATAATCCTGGTTATACATTTTATTAAAAAAATCAGATAGACTAATAGAAAGGAGGAGTTGTTATTGGAATTCAAAAATGATTTTAAACAAATGATCTATGGTTAACTATTTATGAATTGATAAGTAAAATTTTGAATTCTTGGTATGAAAAGTTAGAATTGAGATGATTTTAATTGTATTCTTTAATTTCTATCTATATTATAGATGATCATTTAGCGAAATTAAGTTTAAATGTGTATTGAATAATCTAAATACAATATTATTTAGAAATTTGAGATTAAAGAATTTAAAAAATATTGAAAACTTTTATTAAATTCGACAAAAAAAGAATAAAATCGTAAAAAATTCTTATTTTTACCACATTAGATTATTGTCAATAAGTTAAGACAAAAGCTTCTGACTATAAATAGTAACATTATAAATGTGAAAATATTAAATTAAATAAGAATAACATAATATATTCATAATCAATCTCGAACTTTAGATTTAATTTTGAATTTTTTAAAATGTAGTGGACCTTGAATTTAGAAAATTATATCTTTCTTGTTGAATCTAAAGTCTTTGATAACAACATCTCAAAGGAAGTATGGTATTTTCCACTTCCTGAGATCTCTAAATTCTCATTAATTTAAGTACATCTCCTTTCCACCAGAATAAAGTTCCTTCCCCTTAATCAGTGTGGGACGGTGGGTAGAAAAGATTTCTGGCTCCCTTATAAGCCCAAGGCAACTTTTTAGTGATATAGATTGAAAGAGAGGCTAAACAAGTTCCCAAAACAATCTGAGGCCTATGAATAAATTCTCTTATTTATTCTAGAAAAAACCGCTTCAATGGACAGGGGGGTATGAATGACAGCTTGTAAGGAAATACAATTACTCCTAATACTAAATCCTCAAATCCTCAAATCTTCTATTCTTGGAAGGTTTTCAGAGTTCCCCGACTTGAAATTGCTAGAATTTCCCTGCAATTTTAATTCTAAGAATTACGTATTCCGTCCTTACTTTTAAATTTCAGGGTGTACAAGAGATACTTAATTCTTTACCCAAGGGTCTTAAACACCACAAAGATTTTTCTTAGTAGTTTAAAAGTTATTTTATACTACTAAGTAGAATATTATTTAAAAGACATTATCAAAAGTCCTCCACTTACTGAAAAAAAGATTTTGAAAAATTACTCCCATTAGACTTTCTAGAACAAGGAAAATACTTGGATAGCTGTCTAGAAAGTCTGGCTATAATAAGGATATAAATAATTCATATAATGGAGTCTTAAAGCTGGTTCTATTCTTTTTTTAGTTTATTTATTTATTTTTATTTTTATATTTAATTTATAAGAACTTTTAATTAATTTCTTATTATTTTCATTATGAATGCAAATACAAATTATGATTTTGTTTATTTTTATATATACAATTATTAAATGATAAAATAAAAATTTTTCAAATATCATTTCCTTTTAAGCATTTTAGATTATAAATCTTAATTCTAATGCATTTTTTCAACTCATAAGGGTTTTCTTTATAAAAATTACTGAAATATATCTCTAAAATCTTTTAAATGTTAAAAATAGAATATTTCTATGTGTTCATAAATATGAACATTATTTCAGATGATATAAATGTAAGAATGTAATTTTAGATTGATTCTTAATTATTTTTTTATACTTATGATGATAATGTTAATCATTTACATAGTCAACTCTTAGTGGGTAATTGTCGATTAGTTTCTCTATGGCTACAATATATACCAATATTCAACTTGTTGCAGGTGCAGCTATTCTTATACAGAATACTTTCGTGAGGGAGGGACATCAGACATTACAGCTAATTTTATTACTTGTAAATAACCTTCCATAAGTTATATCACTTTGGATAGCACCTTTAACACAATTAATCGTCTTATTACTTATAATTTTTAAAGTGGATATTTTATATCATTTGATTTATACTTTCAAGGTAAGTGGGACAATGATAAAGTAGTTTTTTAAATTGGTTCATTTTTTCATGAATTTAAATATTCCTCACCTGATTAATATCCAATTACACAAGGGTTTTGTGATTCCCTTTAAACTGATGTAAGGACAATTAATTTCATTCTACCAAGCACATAATCAGGGTAGATAAATTTCAAATAGTCTAATACAAATACTGGATCTGTTTCAATCAGAACGATCATGATATTGAAAAAATCAACCCAATGCTATCCCTCATGTAGCTCATGTACAGGTCCAGAGAAAAACTAGTGCACCTCTTGTTTTTCAGGAGCACCGACAAATAATCAATGTCCCTCTTGTTCAAATGGCTAGTATTACGAAAAATAGGTAGGATGCAGGTCTTATTGTAAATTTGAGAAATTAAGATATTCAAATGGATTTTGTTAAGAATTTGAACGTAATATTAAAAGTTTATTTTAGATTCTGTAATTGTACAGTTTGATAATTCTATATCATCAGCTAAAATGTTGAGATGGCAATTAATATATGACCCATTACATGTAGACACATCACCAAAATATATTTATGCATATCATTACGTCTATGGCATTTTTAAATATTATTCTGGAATTGGTAGACTTATATAAGAAATAAGCACATCAACCATTACCTATTCCTATGGGATGAGAATTAAATTAATATTATTCAATAATTTATAACTAGGTGGAGGAATAAGATTTTTGATTAACAACACTTACTATAGTTCTATTTATAAAGATTCTTAAGGAATCTAAACACACGGAATTAAAATTAGTGAAATATCTTAAATATCTAATATTGGTGCTTGCAACTCATACTCCTATTGTTATTATTATGATCTCTATATGTTTGTTGATATCCCCTAGTATCAATTCTACTTTTCGGCTATTGGAAACTTTACGTAATATTATTAGTTATCATAGGGATTCAACTGTGGGATGGGGATTAATATCCCTCCATATTACAAATGGACTTTGCCCATTAAACTGCCAGATATGTGAAGTATCCTATCAATGTAAAAAATGTAAAACTAATTTTTATTTTGTGGGTAAGGACGGTAATTGTATTTATGGATGTTCTAATCCTCCCACTTTGAAAATTGTAGGAGATTATTGTTAGGATTTAGAAGATTAAATACCTTGTAATTAAATTGATATTATTTGTTAGATTCAAAATATTTGATGAAATATGACCATGATGCTCCAGATTAATATTCTTAATACTAATTACTCTCCTAAAAGGGAGTAAATTTTTTAAAAGGAGAAGATATTCTATATTCTTATTGGAACAATATAAGAGTCTTTGGGGGATAATATGTTTGGAGTCAGGCTGTATTTTAAAGAATTTATTAAATTGATAATCCACACCATAGCATTACTATTTAATTTTAAATTATTTTCGGACCTAGTTTCCCTTCAGAAAGCAGATTTATTTGTACAATTGATGATAATTTACCTTTTTAATATTCTAAGAGCAGTTAAAGTATTATAAGAAATAAAATTGCTCATTCATAAAATATTTTAACAATAAAATGGGAATGTTATGGAGAAAAAAATGAACCAATATAAGCATATTGTGGATTCTATTATTACTATATTGTGGTTCATTACTGTTAACCCTATTGTTTAAAATGTACAGATTAAAATACTTGTTTAGAATGGGAATAATATGATAAAAATTTAATAAATTTATCTTAGAATGAATGTCAAAGTGAATAATTTTATGATAATTTTTAATTAAAATGTATAGATTGTCCTTCTTAATGTTTAACTTGTAAATCATAAATAGATTGTATAACTTGTAAATCTACTTATATTCTGACTAAACTAGGATGTGTATGTGAAAAAAATTAATATGAATTTGAAAATCAATGTGTAAGTTGTCCATAATAATGTGAATAATGTTTAAACTAATCATTCTGTTTATAATGTTCAATCACTAAATTTAGAACTCTTTTAAATGGAGAATGTGTATGTTTAGATGGATATTACTCAGTATCAACAAATCCTTAATGTTTGAGATGTCATTTATTATGTAAAACTTGTTCAGGACCAAATGAATGTCTAGAATGTTAAAATATTAGCAATATTGAGAAAGTTGATTCAATATGCAAATGCAAATAAGGTACAGCATATGAGGATTCACTTAATACATGTGCTGTTTGTCATTAAACATGTTTAACTTGTTTTAGAACTACAATAAATGGATGTTTGACTTGTGATTTTACATAGAAAAGAATATTGAGAGGATTGAAATGTGAATGTGAACCAGGATATTATGAAGTGAATAATAATTGTACAAGTAAATATATGATTTTTAATTTTAGATTGTCCAAATGATGAAGATAGTTCCTTATAGTAATGTTATAATTTATGCAATAATAATTAAAAAATATGGCATACCATTATTTGTAGTGTTTGTAATACTGGTTAAATATTAATAAAAAATAATTGTTAACCCTAATGTGGAGACTCATAGATAGAACTATATGAAGAATGTGAAGATGACAATAATATTTTAGATGATTTATGTTATAATTGTTAATTTCAATGTCCAAAACATTGTTAGAGTTGTGATTAAACAACTACTCTACCTTGTCCAGATATTTGTGGGGATGGAATAATTTCAGGTGATGAAGAATGTGAAGATGGTAATAATATACAATATGATGGATGTTACAATTGTAAATACTAATGTTAGTCTGCTTGTACTAAATGCATTTTGGGAAAGTGTTTTGAATGTTTAACTCTAGGATGGTATACTGATACATCAACCGATATTTGGACATGTAAAGAAAAATGTGGAGATGAATTGATAGTTGGAAGTGAACAATGTGAAGATAATAATACTATTGACACAGATGGATGTCATAATTGTAGATATTTTTGTAGAAAGGGTTGTTCATCTTGTGATTTCTCTACTAATACATGTTTAAGTTGTGAAGAACCAGGTTATTAACCTGAATAATATTATTGCAAAAATATTTGTGGAGATGGATTACTTGTTAAAGGTCTCTATGGATTTTTTTCAGAGTATTGTGATGATGGTAATACTGATAATAGTGATATGTGTAATAGTTCATGTAACAATTGCGCTTATGGATATAGCTTATCTAAATAGAAGATATGTGAACCTGTTTGTGGAGACTCTATAAAATTAAGTGTTGAAATATGTGAATCAGGGCATATATTACCTTATAGAGGATGCCAAAATTGTAAGGCAAAGTGTTAAAGTGTTTGTATCAATTGTGATACAAATGGAAAGGGTTGTTTAGAATGTCAACTTGGATACGTTAATTTAAATAATGTATGTCATTCTATATGTGGAGACTTAATAATTACTGAAGATGAAGAATGTGACGATGGAAACCTAATTTATGGAGATGGTTGCCATTTCTGTAGATTTAGTTGTATTAAATCATGTCTTAGTTGCATTAAAGGAGTTTGTTATTAATATGAAAATGAGGAAGATTAAGCCATATAGAAATGTTTATCAATTTTAGGGTTAGATATGGATATAAATTAATAAATATGCATATTATTTAGTGAATTAATCTATTTCAATGGATCTTAAATTAAGAATCTATTTTAATGTCATCATAAATGTTAATTTTGTTAATTTTAAACATGCTATCTTTGTTAATAAGGTTATGAATTAACCCCTAATAAGTAAGAATGTAGACAATCTTCTATATTTTTAGAGTAATTAGAATATTGTCAAATAAGTATTGAGAGTATTTGTTAAAAATGTGAAGATTATGCCTATTTTAATATAATTGAAAATAGATGTAAACTATTTTCTTATTCTTATTCTTAAGAATTAAATTAAAATTAATAATGTAATTATGGGTATCATTTGGATAATAAATAAATATGTGTCTCATAATGTGGAGATGGAATTCTTACATAAGAAGAAGAATGTGAAATTTAGGATGAAAATTGTATATAATGTATTTATCAAAAACCTTTAAGATGTAATAATTTCTTTAAGGATCTTTGTCTTGAATGTGAAATGGGTTATTAATATGATATAATGAATAAATAATGTGGAATTTATAGGGAATATGGATACTTAGCAATGAGTGAAGATGATTTAAATTATAAGAATTGTCAATTGATATTAAGTAGTGATTGTCTTATATGTGAATAAGGAATATGCTTAAAATGTAAATAAAACTACTTTCTTATTAATGGATTATGTAAGGATATTCAAACATTTTAAGAAATTATAACTGATTATGATACAAATTTTGATTAATATGATAATGAAAGTTCATATGATAATTATTAATAAGAATTATGTGATTAAAATTGTGATAAATGTAAAGATGGAATTTGTGAATAATGTAAAAAGGATTTTCAATTCAATTCAATTATTAAACTATGTTAATCATCTGATATCATTTAATATATTTAATTATATATAGAAGATACATTATAGGATACAATTATAAATGATTATCAATATTATTGTTAATTATTGAAAAATTAAATATACTTGGATTATTAGTTTTAGGCTTATAATGTAAACTGTTTACATCAAATACAACAAAATTAATAATTAGATAAGTATGATTATGTAAATGAAAATGATAATTTTTTTTGTAATTCTAATTGTTTATTCTGCAATTTTGGTATTTGTAGTTTATGTTTAGAAGGAAGTTACATATTTAATAATGAATGTATTTAAAATGGAATTGTATAATATTATTAAAATGAATCAATATGTGGAGATAAGTTAATATAAATGGGAGAAGTTTGTGATGATGGCAATGAAATTTAATATGATGGATGTTTCTAATGTCAATTTAGTTGTGATTAATACTGTAACAATTGTATATTAGGAATTTGTTATAGTTGTGAAATAGGATTTGTTTTGATTTTTTAAATTTGTGAACCTTATTGTGGTGATGGTTTAGTTGTTCCATTTACGAATGAGGAATGTGATGATGAAAATGAATTGTAAGCTGATGGATGTGATTTATGCAAATTTGAATGTGTAGCAAATTGCTTAAAATGTAATTAAGTACATTGTAAAAAATGTGAAAAAGGATTTGAAAATAAAAATGAAATATGTATATCTATTTGTGGTGATGGAATTGTAATTCCTGAGTATGAATAATGCGATGATAGCAATAATATAATGTATGATGGTTGTTTTAATTGTCAATATTAATGTAGTTAGGATTGTTTATAATGCTCTAAAGGAATTTGTCTATTAAGTTGCCCAAATGGTAGAATTGTTGTTGATGGTGCTTGTCTATTTTAGTGTGGTTAATTAATGGTGAATTATGATATAGAATGTTATGATGGTAATGACATTGATAATGATGGATGTTTTGAATGTAAATATAAATGTGTGCTTGGTTGTCATACTTGTAATAAAGGAATTTGCACTTAATGCATTTAAGGGTATATATTATTGAATTAATAATGTTATGAGTTTGAACATGAGGATGATTTTAGTTCTATTTTAGAAAATTCACAGAATAATTGGATTTGTAAGAATTTTGAATGTGCTTATTCTGAAAGTCCGAAGTTATAATTTAATAATTTAGGAATGAAAAATGAATAATATTTAATTAAAATTAATTTTGATTAAGAAGTTAGATGTGATTTAACAGAATGTCAAGAAATATTCAATATTTATATTAAAGAAATAGAGGGAGATCTATATAAAATTTAATGTACTCCTTTTGAAGATTAAGAATTTTAAAATTAAATAACAAAGGTTGAGTATATAATAGTAATCGAATTATTTCATCCAATTTCAATAAAACCAACTTTAATTGTTGAGCCTTTATTAGAAATCTTTAATTCAAATAATTAGAGTGTTAATCTTACTGATTACAAACTAACCTTAAATATGCCTATGATAGTAGAATAATCTCAAAAATTAAGATCTGTTTAAATGCAGATTACAAGCAAAGCTGTTGTAATAACTTCAATCTCTTTTGGTGTGCTTTCAATAATTTCTGGAGAATCTACATTTATGATGGAATTACTTAATATTGTATAATATCAGTCATTTCTTAAATTTATCAATTAAGAGTATCCAGAAAACTTATTAATATATTTTTAAGCTTCTGAGATGATATCAGTAGGGCCATATTTGTAAATCTTTAATATTGATTAATTTATTAATCCTATCTTATAAAAGGATGAATTTATTTAACTTGAAGGAAAGTTTCTTTATTATGAATTAGAAGCTAGTCTCTTTACTAACGTTTGTCCTTAAATATTCCAAACTTTTGGAATTGTATTGATAATGTTTTCTGGTAAGATATTAAAGAAAGTGTTTGAAAAATTAATGTCCAATTAATTTTTGATATCATTCTTATAAAATAATAATAACCTTTATTCAAAAGTAGTATTTAAATCTTTAAAAGGAATTCGGAAGGGAATTAAATTATTATAAATTTAGAAATACTATTTTAATTACAAATAGATAAAATTACTTCTTTTATTAAATTCTTGGGACTTACTATTCAAATCTATATTATATTTATATAGTGATAAGAGTTAATGTGTTAGAAATACAATTGAATTTACTTTGAGTTTAGGTATCATAACAACATATTTATATGTATTGATAGATTGTTTTTAATCTTGCAAACCTAATAAATTAATAGATAAAATCTAAAGATTAGATCAAATATTTTTGACTTTAGAACTTTGTAGAACATTTTTTTTTAGTATTGTCTTAATAATAGTATAAGAGAATTAAGTTTTATAAACATTGTTGTTATTTATTGGAAGTTTTAGTTAGTGCTTTTTTATTTATAAATTTAAACAAGTTGATAAATTTGCTAAAATTCTATCAATCCTCATTGAAGGGACAGTATCTATTTTTATATTGACTTCAATCATTTACTTTAATACTATCAGACAGTATATAAATCAGGATATTCTTGCAACTGTAGGATTTTTTCATATTGGATTATTGCTTTTAAGTTCAATTATTTTAGGTTTAAAATAAACCATCTTTACAATTAAATTATTTGTTAAAAAATTTTTAGATACTAAACCAAATTGAATGTTATTTAAATTTTCTCATGTGTTATAATATATATATTTAAAATTAATATATAATAAATCGTCATAGATGTCATTCTACAATAATTATTATTATTCATATTTTTATCAATTTTTGTAAATCCTTAATAAATTTTTTTATCCAGAAATCCATTTAAATATTATATTTTTAATCCCTATTTATCCTTGTCATAATTACTATCTGTGATTATACATATTGAAATCTTTAAATATACATATATGTTTATAAAAGAAATAATAAATTTCAAGTTTTAAGAGTGTATTTTTAAACATTTTGAACCTTATCAAAGAAATGAGAAATCATAATTAAAATAAGAATAGTCTATTGTCAAGGGTATTGAACATGTTGAATTATAATTCCTATATGGAATATGATATATATATATAATAATATCAATTCCCAATCATTTTTTTTTCTAACTATTCTATGGATTGTTGATAGCTTATTTAACAACTTCTTATGCCTTTTAAGTATTGGGTTATTATTATGGATTCTAAGGTTTGCACTTGGTTTTATCAGATCCATTCATCCCTGTTTTCATCTTTTGCATTTGTTTTTATAATTTAATTTACTAATAAACTACGACTAAAAGAAATTAAATAAATAGTGATATTTTATATATATAAATAATTTAATTTAATTTAGATATTTGGTTTTTTATATATTTAATTAATTAATAATATTGATCCATTTGAATTTAGAGAAATGAAATCAATAAATAACACAAAGAGGAGTTGTAATTACATTCATTTGTATTCGATATATTCAATTTTATATTTTGATTCAATATATTTAAAATTATCATAATTAATATATAATTAATAATAATAGAAATCAGTTTAAAAATATTACTTATAATCATTTTCATATAAATCATAAATATTGTAAATGATAATAAATTATGAAAATCATCATTCAGATTAGAATGATTGCTATTTTTATTATTTTAATCATTGTGAAAAATAATTAAGCGTTGATTAATATTGACGCTAATCCTACCAATATGAAAAGCCATTTATAACATTCAAAAAATAGAATTATTTTTTATAGAACAATCTAGAAAAAAAAAAGAAATTAAATTATTTGAAAAAATCAATAAAAAAATTATGCAAAAAATAAATATAATTTTATACACTATTGATTTCTACATAATACAGAGTTTGTTATTCACTTTGGAATAATACTTTAGATAACTAATCAAATTCTAAATAATTGATATCGTATCTCTATTTATATTAGACTTTGTTTGAATAATTCTCAAATTATATAATATGACGTAATAGCCAGGCTTAGTTAAACAGTAATATTATACAGACATAATTAATATTTAGGATTAATTATTCTATTTTACTCTACGTTTGGGTATATTTGAAAAAAAATCAATTCGATATTAAAATCAAATTTTGAAATAACAAGATATGTACTTTCTATTTATATATTGCTATTCACTATATGAATTTTAATTTAATTAAATGGTAGAAGTATTAAAAATGATTTTTTAATAATTAATTAAATACTAGGAAAGAGATTAAACAAATAATTGGATTAATAATTCTTATATTATTCAAGAGTAATTAGAAAATAACAATTAGGATCAAAATTATATTTAATAATAGAGCTGTGATAAAAAGGTATAATATTATAATTTATAATTAAAAATGAATAAAATAATTTAAATAAATTATTATAAAAATTATTTTATGTATAAATGTAAATTTTTCCTTTAATATAAAACATAATTTTCGGTAACGTTATATGTGAAAAAGTATGCTCCCCTAACTAAAATTACTCATGATTATTCACCACTCATAGATTATAAAGAGCAATATATTAAGACGTCAGTTAATAATATTCACCATATTCTATTTGAAATAATGATATTTTCATCAAATTTTATTTTGAAATATCAATAAAACTAGACTTTTTGCAGTGCTCCATACAAAAAATTATAAGAAATATAATTTTACTTATAGAGTAGATGCTAATATATGTTACTAAAGTAAGATACTTGCTTTTATTAGAAGAGAACATATCAAAAATCAAATAGAAATATTTAAAATAATCCAACAGATTTTTGATGAGAAAAATTGCTTATACTATTCTGATTAGAAAAACATACATCTGGAGACTATGATTGGTGACTTATATACTAAAATTATATTTTCAAGCAACTCTATTACCATATTTTTATGTGATTTTTTCTTCTTTTTTTATATTCTATAAATATTCCTCTAAACATTTAATCTTAACACTACTTAGCCTGATGTTATTGGAAGATGATATTCTTTTATTATCATCAATGAAGCTTTTTAAGCAATATTATACTAAAGTGTGAATTCTCAATCATAATGTTAGCTTTGATAATATAAATATAATATTAATGAATAAGAGATTCAGCATCTTGCTTATTTTATAAAATAACTCAAAAAAAACTTCATTTTTTTTCTTTCTTAGGATGAGAGAAATCAATTTAATAATAATAATAATGAAGATTTTAAACAGATTTGATTTTTAAAATGAAATTAACTATAAGAAAACTATAAAATAATGATTTAAGATTTAATTTTAAAAAAATTAAATATCCTTATTATTTAAATACTAAATAGAAATTATTTAATATTTAAATTACTAAATAAAGAAATGCAAATCAAATATTTGCTTCTAATAGCTATTCTGCTTACAATAACTAAGTAAGTGACTGTTACAAAAACAGATGAATGCGATGAATGCACATAATTTAAATCCTCTTCAGATTGTAAATCATCCAAACTTGGATGTACTTGGACTGAGAAAACAGTCACAACTCCAGGATCTTGTGGCAAAACTACAGCACCTCCTCCAGTTACTTATACACCATATTGTTCAACAATAGAGACAGCTAATTGTGCTAAAACTTTTGGATGTGCCTTAATTGAAGGAAAATGCACACATTTCACAGGATGTTCAGCTTATGTCAAAACTACACATTCAGACTGCTAAAACATATCCAACCTATGTATAACAAACGGAACAACATGCACAAATGCACTTGAATGTATTGGATATACTAAAGAATAATGTGAAACCACACCTAGTTTAAAGAGTCCATACAAGTGTAAATTAGAAGGAGAAACATGTAGAGAATATAATTGTACTGAGGCTGATTCCTCACTTGCAACTCATGGAGCATGTGATACATGGAAAGCTGGTTGTAAAACAACAGGTGCTGGATGTATTGATTCAATTCCATCATGTAATAATTACTAAGGAACTTCTGAAACATGTCCAAAAATGAGAGGTTCAGATGGAAATTGTGAATTTAATCCTGAAGGTAATAATTGTAGACCTCGTGTATGCACAGGTGCAGATACATCCCTTAACAGTGATGAGGATTGTGGTAAATATTAGGATAAATGTTTAACAACAGGAAAGGGATGTATTGCAATAAAACCAAGTTGTTCAAATTATACTGGAAATGCTATAACTTGTATAGGATATATTGGTACAGATGGTGATTGTGCTGGAGATGCTACAGGTACTAAATGTAGAGCTAGATTATGCAGTGAAAAAACAGCTACAACTGATGATGATTGTGGTAAATGGAAAACTGGATGTTAAACAAATGGAAGATAATGTGTTGATTCATTAGGTAATTGTAATACATATGAGGGAACAATTACTACTTGTGCTTAAATAAAAGGATTAGATGGTAATTGTAAAGGAACTTCAACAACAACAGCTAAATGTGTATTAAAAGATTGTGTAACTGATAGTAATGAAACTTTTAAAACAAAAGATTAATGTCTAGCTGTTTAATTATTTTGTAAGACAACTGGAAAAGGATGTGTGGCCACATTATCTAATTGCTCATCATATTCTTTTACTGATGATGGAACTTCTTGTAATTCATTGTATGGATTAAATGGTAGATGTAAAGCTGGAACTGGTGGAAAATGTGCAGATAGAGTTTGTACTGAAGCTCCAACATCATATACTTCATAACCATAATGTGAAGAATACAAAAGTGGATGTGTACCAACTGGAGCTGGATGTGTATCACCAACACTTTGTTAAGATACTGTGAAATAAGTTACTTGTGAAGGAACAGATAATTGTGGATGGAATTCAATCTGTGTTTCTAAAACCAGTTGTGGATTATTAACATAGTCTAAATCTGTTTGTGAAAGTGTTAAAATAAATGAGAGATCATGTAAATGGGAATCAAATACATGTAGACCTGCCAAATGTGATGATTTCACTGCAACTGATGATAATACTTGTAATACATTACTTCCAGGTTGTGTTACTAATGGTACTAAATGTGTTGATGGTTCTAATTGTGCTGCATAATTTAAGGGAACATAATCAACATGCTAAGGCTATAAAGCCAAATGTACAAATGATACTAATGCAACTGAAACAACAGCTTGTAAACCAAAAACTTGTGATGATTCATATCTCGAATATATTAGTGATACTGATTGTAGTAATTATTTAGCAGGTTGTGTAACAAAAGGTAAAGGTTGTATTATTGATACTGCATAATGTTCAAGTTATACAGGTACTCCAGAACAATGCGATAAATTTAAAGGAAATAAGACTATTAGATGTTGGAATACAAGTGCTACATCTGGTTCTTGTACTAATAAATAATGTAATTAAGCAACAGGTATGGCAGATAATAACACCTGTGAAGACTTTTTGACAGGGTGTTTATATGATGGAAATGGTAGTTGTGTTGATAAAAGTGCCTAATGTACTGCTTATACAGGTGATGCAACAACTTGCCCAGGATTTACTGGAGGAAATGGAAGTAAACCATGTTATAAAGGGGCAAGTGGAAAATGTAGAGATAAATCATGTTATGATGATACAACCAGTGATAGTGATGGAGCTTGTGATACATTTTTACCAGGCTGTGTTACAAAAGGAACAGGATGTATTCCTAAGACATCATTATGCTCTGCATATTAAGGAACAACTGATAAATGTTTAACATTTACTGGAAATTCAGCAGCTGATAAATGCACTAGATTAGAACCTTGTATATCAAAGAGTAATACATGCAATTTAAAAACTGAAGTAACCTCAAACACTGATTGTTTAACATATCATGCTGATTGCAGATTTAAACTTGGAGATAATGCTTGCAGAGAAAGTGTAGGTACTTGTGCAGAATATACATTTACTAGCACTGATGATACCGAGAGGTAGAATTATTGTAATACAATCACTACAAAAACAGGCAGTTTATGTAGTTATAATCCAACTGTTACAGGTAAGTGCTCAGCTAGAGCATGCAATCTATGGGTGAGTGCATTAGCTAATATTACATGCGAAAATTATAATGGAACATCTTCATGTAAATCAAATGGAGCAAGTTATTGTTATGCTCCTTAAAATTCTTGTGAATTATACACAATCCCAAATAGTATAACAGAAGCTGCAGCTAAACTCACATGGTGTAATGGAATGTTCACTGATGCGGTTACTCCAACTAAATGTTCATATGATTCAGCTACAAGCACAACATGTTCTGATATAGATACTTGTGAAGAGATCATTTCCCCTACTAGTGCTGCAGATTGTAATAAAAAATTAGATGATGGAGAATGCTAATTTACAAATAATAAATGTATTACTACCAAAGCAGCATGTACTGGTTATTCATTAACTGGAATCACTACAGGTTAAGCTGCTTATTGCTCAGCCTTGAAGTCTGATGATAGCACAACTGTTAAATAATGTGCATATAATTCTGCAACAACAACAACATGCGTTGAAGCAACTGCTACTACTATTCTTTCAATTCCAACTAATCCTACTTATACCGATCCATCTGCTATCACTTTTGCAGCTTGTAATACTATTACATCACCAACATCATAAGCAGATTGCAATGTTGGAACAGGAAGTTGTAAATACTATAAAAGTGCTTGTTATGCAAGAGTTGCATGTGCAAGTTATACAATTCCTGGTTCAATAACAGCTGCCGATGACAAATAATACTTTTGTTAGAATATGTTTGAAGATACAGCTGATACTTACTGTTCTTATGATTCAACAGCTAACAGTAATAATGGAGGTTGCGTTGCTGGTAAAACTGCTTGTACTGAATACACTTTAACTGGTACCGATAATACTGCAAAAGCGCTTGCTTGTTCTAAACTCAGAATCAAAACAGGAAGTGCTTGTGCCCATGTTGCAGATGCAACCACTTGCTCTGCTCCAGCTGATAATGCAGCTAAATGCACTGTTGTAGCAGCTGGCATTACAACTGATGCAGATTGTGATTTAAGAACTATATTAGGATGCAAGAAACATGCTACTGCTGATACTTGTATAGCTAGAGATGCATGTACTGCTGCAGTCTCTGGAACTACAAATGATGAAAAAGCAACCAACTGCTAAGCTAATCCTGGTCCCGATTCTATTTATTGTTCATATGAAGCAAGTGGTGTAAATTGTGTAGTTGCCAAAAGTGCATGTACAGGTTATGTAAGTGTCCCAGTAGGTACTGAATTAACCTATTGTTAAACAAGAGTTAATCAAATAGGAAAAAGATGTTCATGGACTAGTGGTTCTACTTGCGCAGATGCTTAAGCTACATGTGCTGGTTACTCTAGTCTATCTGGTACTGGTCTACTAGCATTATGTTAAGCTAAAATTGATCAAGTTGGAGTTAAATGCTCATGGAACATAGGTGCTACTGCATGTATTGCTGCTCCAAAAACATGTGCTGGATGGAGTACTCTACCAACATCAGGACAATTAGAATTTTGTTAAGCCAGAATTAAATCAGATGGTAAAAGTTGTTCATGGACAACTGGTGCTGCATGTTCTGATGCTCCTGCTACTTGTGCTGGATGGAGTACTCTACCAGCATCAGGACAATTAGAATTTTGTTTAACCAAAATTAATTAAAATGGTTAAAGATGTTCATGGACAACTAGTGCTTCGGCATGTTCTGATGCTCCTGCTGCTTGTAGTGGATGGAATAGTGTACCAACATCAGGATAGTTAGAATATTGTTAAGCAAAGTATAAATAAGATGGTAAAAAATGTTCATGGATAAATGGTACTTCATGTAGTGATGCTCAGACTCTTTGTACATCATTGACAAATCTACCATCTTCTGAAGAATTAGCTTATTGTTAATAAAGAATCAAATAAAATGGTTTACGATGTTCATGGACAACTGGTACTTCTGCATGTTCTGATGCTCCAGTTGCTTGTTCTGGATGGAGTACTCTACCATAATCAGGACAATTAGAATTTTGTTTAACCAAAATTAATTAAAATGGTTTCAAATGTGCATGGAATACTAGTGGCACTACCTGTATTGATCTTCCTGCTGCTTGTACTGGATGGAATAGTCTACCAACATCAGGACAATTAGAATTTTGTTTAGCCAGGAGTAATTTAGCTGGATAAAAATGTTCATGGGTTACTGCTGCTGCTGCATGTTCAGATGCTCCTTCTGCTTGTAGTAATTGGAATTCTTTACCTTCATCAGGATAATTAGCATTTTGTTAAGCCAAATTTAGATTAGATGGAGGTAAATGTTCATGGACTACCGGAGCATCTTGCAGGGATTATTCATGTGAAGATACATTATCTCCTTAATCATAAGCTGATTGTGATGTAATTGGAACAGGATGCACATATTAACCTCAAAATTAAATTTGTTATATTAAACAATCAGCATGTACTTCATATACTCCAACAGGACTTACAGATGATGATAAACTTAACTATTGCAATAATCTAGTAAATACTAGTAATGCTGGATGTACATTTTTAAAAAAAGGAAGTGTGACAACATGCTCAGTACTAGCTGCATGCACAGGTTATAATGTATCTAGTATAACTGATGCTGGTGATAAATTATCAGCTTGTTAAGGTGTAGAATCTACTGATGATAAATGTACATACTTTTCAGGAAATACTTGTGTTGCTGTAGGTGCTTGCACTTCATATACTGGAGCATCTTCAGCAGATAATATAGTAGCTGATTGTGCTAAATAAAAGGATGCTGCTGGATTTTTATGTTTTGGTACTGGTACTGCTTGTGTGGCAGCAACATGCAATGATGTTACAGGAGCAACTAGTATAGATGATTGTAAAAAATACGCCAATAATTGTGTGTACTCTACTCAAAAATGTTACACATAATCAGCAACTTGTAATTATTCAACAGGAGGTACTAATGCAATATCATTGTGTAATAGTCTAAAAGATACTAATGGCAACTTTTGTACAGCTGATGCTGACAGTGATGCAACTTGCAAACAAAGAACATGTAATGATACTGCAACAAAAATGTTCTAAACTCATGAAGAATGTAAGGCTTATCTTCCTACATGTAAATCAAATGGTAATGGTTGTATACTTGAAACAACAACTTGTGCATAATAAAGTGGATATCTTAATTATTGTGATTGGGTATTAGATACTAACAACAAATCTACTTGTGCCAAAGGAACTTCTGCTACAACTGACGCATCCTGTACAAATTTATCTTGTGATTTGAATGTTACTGCAACTAATGATTCAGAATGCTAATCATTCCATCCTGATTGTTTAAATAATGGTTTAGGTTGTATTCATAAAAATGAGGCATGTTCCTCTTATTATGGTACAAAAGAACAATGTTAATAATTTATAGGAAATGGGAAGAAATGCTTCGGAGATTCTACTAGTGGTAAAAAAGCTTGCAGAGAAAGAAAATGTACAGATATGACTACAGCTACTGGTAACAGCGACTGTGAAAATTTCTTACCAGGATGTCTATACAATGGAGCAGGATGCGTGCCTAAAAGTGATCCTTGCAGTGCTTATAAGGGAACTTAAACAATTTGTTCAGGATTTAAGGGAAGTAATGGAACCAAATATTGTTGGGGAGCCAGTGATACAGCTTCAGGAAATTGTGCAGATAGAAAATGCTCAGATAAATAAGGTACAACAGATGCTGAATGTTAAACTTTCTTACCCCCTATTTCTACTTCTTCTTAATAATTATGTATTACTGATGGTACAAAATGTACAGATATTGGAAAATAATGTTCGTTCTTTAAAGGAACTGATGAAACATGCTAAAAATTCACAGCTACTGATGGCCCATGCAAAGCAAGTGCTGTTTCAGCAACTCCTGTTGCTTGTACTCCTAAAGTTTGTTATGAAGCTCCTAACACATTTACAACAGATAAATAATGTTAAGATTATCATCCTTCTTGTAAAACAACAGGAAGAGGTTGTAAAAGTAATGTTGGATGTGGAGATTACACTTCTTTAACTTCATGTACAACTAATACATCATGTTAATGGGCTGGATAATGCAGATCTGAACCAGCTACATGCAGTTCATTAACTTCTTTAGGTCAAACTATTTGTGTGAATACTCCATTAACAAATGGAAAGAAATGTGCCTGGTTTAATGGTGCAACTTCTCAGACCAGTGTTTGCAGAGATTTCACATGCGCAGATTATGATGGATCTATTACAACTCATAAAGATTGTTAAGATAAAGATTTAACATGTACTACTAGTGGAGCTGGTTGTGTTACTTTAGGAACATGTTCGTCATATAAATCTCAAACTGTTTGCGAAGCTGCTAATACAACTGAAGATTCATTAAGATGTTTTTGGAATTCTGCAACAGCTGCTTGTAGATAAAGATAATGTGCTGATGGAGTATTTACCACTGATGATGCATGTAAAACTTGGCTTACTGGATGTAAAACTTCAGGAATAACTTGTATTGGACCAACTTTCGGATGTGGAGCATTTGATGGAAACCCTAAGCTCTGCTAATAGAATAGTGCTGGAAATCCATGTTATTATGTTGATGGAACATGCTATGATTATGACAATTGTACAGATATTACTTCTTAAACATTTTCAGTTTGCTAAAAATTCTCCAAATAATGTGTTCCAACAAATTCAACCTGCAGAGCTATTACACTATGTGATAAGTACGAGGATGTGTTTTCATGTACAATTGGTATTAATGATACTAAATGTGGATGGTTACCAGAAGGTAAATGCAAAGATTACACAGCATGCAGTGATGCTAATGGTGCCAACTTATCAGCATGTGCTAGTTGGGGTTCCACTTGTGTTTCAGATGGAATCAAATGTGTTGATAAAGGAACTTGTTCTTCATATCTAACCCCTTCAGCTTGTGATAATGATGGTACTGATGGAAAATGCTAATGGACTGGAACATCCTGTAGATTGAGAGAATGTACAGATAATGCTGCTACTACTGATTCTGAATGTTTAGCTTATGTTGTTAAAAGTGGACTCTGCACAACTGATGGAGCCAAGTGTGTTCCTAGATCCACATGTGGTTCTTATCAAAGTGAAACAGCTTGTACAACTGGATAAGATGGAGTTCCATGTATATTTGATTTACCAGTTGGAGCAACAACAGGAACTAAATCATGCAGACCAAAGGAATGTACAGATATCAAAGGAGTAACTAACGATGCTTGTATTGGATAGATTCCAAACAAAGCTTGTGTTTCTAATGGAATCAATTGTGTAAAATAAGACACATGTGCCAATTATAAGAATAAACTATCATGTAAAGCAGGAGGATCTGATGGCAAATGTGCATTTACTCCAGCACCAACTGTTGCTGATCCAAATAATGGAACATGCTAATCATTCAAATCCTGTGAAACTGGAAATAATGATAAGGATGCTTGTGATAGTAAATCAAAGGCATGTAAATGGTCATCAACTACAAGTGGAACTACCACTACAACTAAATGTTAACCTATGGATTGTGCTGGAGTTGCCTCAGGTACTACTTGCAATCCATTCCAAAGTTTCGATGGTGCATCAAGTACCATTTGTGTATTAGTCAATAATTAATGTACAGTTGGTGATCCATCCACTCTTACAGTAGATTAATGCTATAAAACATAAACACTTTACTCATATACTTGGAATGAATCAACAAATAAATGTGTTTCATGCAAAGCTTCCACTAACAATAACAATAATACAACCAATCCAAACACAACCGACCCAGATACTAATACTGATGATAATGGATACATATTGGGTGTAACAATTCCATTGGCTATTTTGGGAATCTTTGTTTGATTTTGATTTAAAAATTTATATAGGGAAAAATTAAGATATATTAATAAAAAAATTCATTTCTCACAATTTAATTTTGAATAGATTTTATTCATTATAAATTCCCATTCAATTGAGTTTTTTATTTAATGATAAATTAATTATTTAATTCTGAATTATAATTACATATTATTATTATTATTATTATTATTGTGAGTTTCAGACTAGATTTCATTAAATTATTATAATTAAGATCTTTCAATAAATTAACAATATATAATTGTATTTTATTAAGAGATATAAGAGATTCGAAAATTTAGTTTGTTAATGTAATCTGGTATAGGATTTAATTATAGATAAATGGAACATAATCTTAGTCAAAAGATCTCTAATAGAATGAAAAAGTGAATTAGAGGAGATCCAATTTTCAGAATCTCAAAAATTACCCAAAAAATTGAGTAGAAACAAAAATAATCATTTGAATACTTCTTTTAAGTAATTTGGCGAAGTAAATTATTTAAAAATTACTAAAATATGGATTTGGAATAATTTAATTTTGAATATTATCAATTTGTAAATGAAAATAATCTTTGGTGGAGATTTAACATATTGAAAAATTAATGTTGATAATTTTAATTTAAATATTCAATACTTTTGTAATTTTTAGGAAAGAGATTTGATAATTTGAACTTAGAAGCAAAAATAAATATTTAAGTAATAAAAATAAAAAATGTAGGAATAATTATTAAATATGAATTCAAATATGAATTATATCATTTTTTTATCTGACTTGGAATTCTTGATTTTAAAAATCCCAAGTTATAAAATATTTTTCATCTGAACTTAAAGCTGCAAAATTCCAATTAGTACTAAATGGTATAATTTATTATATTCTAAATTCTTCATTATCATCCATTTTTATGAAATATATTCTATATTTATGTCTTACTATAAGCAAACGAGAAATATCAGAATATATTGATTAAAAATAATGAAAGTCATAATTTCCTTATCCTAATATTATTTTATTCTTTAATTCAAATAGGTAATTATTAGGATTCATTTAAAACAAATATAATTATCCATCACTAGTAGGTTACCATGTTATAAGTTACTTAAAATATTTAAATATTTTAATAATAATAATAATATAAATTAATATTGTAGATTCAATAATTTATCATGATCTATAAAACATATTTTGGTTCCATAATCTTCATTTCTAATATGTTAAAACTTTTTCCATTATAATTAATTATTTGTTGATATTCTTTATTGTCTCCAAAATGTTATAATTTTATTTGCAGAACATGAAGCTAATAAGTCTGATTTAGAATTTTCAACAACACTATAAATTTATCCTGTCATACATTTCAAAGTCTCTTAACATTTCCATCCATTATTTTCACCCTAAGTTACCCAAATCTTGATTGTTCCATCTTCACTAGATGATATGATTGAATCATCTTTCTTACTTATTATAAATGCACTCACTCTTCCTTTGTGTCCAACTAATTATGTATTAATTTTCCAAGTATTTTTCTAATATTCCCAAACCAACATAGTTTCATCACTTCCACCAGCAACAAGAAAATTAGATTATAAACCAAATTTAATTATTCTGATTACCTAATTACCTTTTAAAAATTATGGATTTGTAATTTAACCATTCTTAAATTCCCAGATCTTTACATCATTTTTTGATGCAGCTGCTAATAAGTTCCCCTTCTTATTAAATGCTAATGCTCCTCCCCATTTTCTTTATTTTTATTTTGATATTAATTCATAATTTATATTACTTCCTTCAATAATTTCTTCAACTTATATTATATTTTTATTTTCCAACAATTCCTCTTAATAAACATCTTGATCCATTATATATATATTTTTTTGTTTTTAAATTAAAGTTGATTCTTTTATATTATTAATAAATCAAATATTAAAAAACATAATAAAGAATCATGTATTGAACTTACTAAATATTGTAGAGAAAAATATATAGGTTATTAATTATTAAATTAAATTAGTTAGAATTATAGAAGTTGATGAGATTAACTAAAATGATTTGTAATCAAGAATTTATAAAAAACTTTTTATTTCATTAATTAATTAAATTATTAATATTTGTTATCTCAGATTTTATATGTAAAAAGGTATATATGGTTTTTCAGAATATAAATAAATGATTATAACTGATATAAATTTTTAGATATATATACTTTAGACAAATGAATTAGGTTTTATCATTAATTGTAATATCTAAAGGTTGTGATCCTTATTTTAGAATATATGAAATTAAAAAACACATAGAATTTTTCAGAATTAATAATTTATAAACAAAATAGAATAAAAAAATTACTATTTAATAGAACAATATTTTTTTGTTTATATATCTAAATGATTCATTGTTGCATTAGTATTACATTATTTTATCTTAAAGATGTCAGTTTCTAATGTACCAAAAGGAGGACTCAATTAGGGAGTAATTGTACCTTTAATATTCTAATGCCCTGGAGATTGTGAATGTAAATCTAGTAAACCAAAAACTTGGTATCATGCAAAATGTGGAGATCCTTCATTCATCACTGAATTTGGTGATATTCTCTGAAAAAATCACTTAAAGGAATGTTCAGGATATTTTTTTTAAAGATGCCTTCTTTTAATGCTAAATGGCAAATAAATCTAACACCTGGTATTAGTATAAATCTCAGTCATATTTTTTGTTGGCACTATCATTTGTTATAAATGCTGCAGAATTTATTCTTGAAAACAATGATTTAAATAATTTTATTAACCAAATACTTAAATAAGTACATAAGAGATGGCATAATTGATAAGTTAGTAATATATTTATGTTATTATCTTTTAATTATTAAATCTAAAATTAATTTGATGTTATTTTATTAATTCAACAAGAGTGTGTTGTTATTAAATGATATTCTTTTAACTAGAACCATTATATTACTATTATTTATTATGTAAAAATATATATCTTTATGTGTCATGATGAAATCGGATATCTTAAATAAATAGAATAATTTATTATAGAATTAACTTGTTTATATTAATATAATATCACAGTGATTTAATAATGAAAAATTAAATATGCAGAATATAATTAAAAAAGGTATAACAAAAAGAACTTAAAATTATAGATCAAATTAGAATATTGAATAATATAAATATTAATCAGCTCTTGTTTAGGAATGAGTATTAGATATTAAGAAATAAAACCCTTAATAATATAATTAAATTTATCCAATAAATTATTATCTTTATGAATAATAAAATTAATTATATTATATTTCTTGATATCCTTAGATATAGAAAAAATAAGATTAGATATTTGAATTCAAATTAATAATTTAATATCGTAATCTAATAAATTTAGGTTCAAATAATTATTAATAATTTTCATTATTTTATTAATTATGAATTAATCATAAAAAAATAATAATTAGTTTGAGAAAAATATAGAAATAGAGATACCTAATCCTTCTAAAAGTTAATAAAATAATTCTCTTTAAAATTAATTGTAAAATAGTTAACAGGACTAAGAATAAATACAATTTTTATAATCATGTATACGATAACTATTGTTACAACCAGACTATAAATAAATTGATAAAGATGATGATTTTTTTGAAAGAGTAAAGTAATAAATTAGTGATTTTTAAAATATCAAGAACAAATCTGATTTCATTAATTAGTTAAAATAAGAAATAAGTAATAGAAGAAAGTAATAAAATTTGAAAGAAGTATAATAACAAAAAAATTATGAAAAAAAAATCGAAAAATTAAAACACCATTTGAAGAATCTGAAGGAGAAATATTAAGAATTATACTTATAACTATCTTAATATAAAGATAAAAATTATAATTTAGTGATGGAGTTAAAGACATAATAGGATTAATTTCAAGAAAATACTATATTGTAGTAAATAGAAAATATGAGTAAAAACTCTATAAAAATTGAAGTAGATGTTGCATAGTTTAAGGAGAATATCTAAAAACTTAATACGTAACGATAGTAAACAATTGATAAAATGAAAAATTTATTAAAAGAGTTTTAATCTACTAATAAATAATCGAAGACAAAATAGGTCAATAACATAAATGAACAAGGAATTTAAAACATAATAAACTTAATTAAAGATTCAACTAAATCAATTTCAAATATGGAATAGAGCATAGACAGTTATAAAAAAGAATTAAAATAAATGTAATAAAATAAAAATAATAAAGATTATAATTTAATGGAAAAATTAATATAGTAATTCCAAAATAATTAAAATTGTTTTATTCATGTTAGACAAATTTTTGAAAAAATATTAACTATCTTAATGTTATTTGGATCCTTGAATTAAAACCTATATAAACATACTTAAGAGCTTGAAAAATAATTGTTAAGTTTATATCATAAAAATAATGAATTTGAAAAATAAATTGAATTATTATTGAAGGAATTGAATGAACAAGATTAAGAAAACAACGATATAATAGAAAAAGCAACTTATCCATAATCAAGTAGATTAGGGATACAATCTACTAATTATTAACCCAAATTCTATAATTAATTCATTGATTAAATAAGGGTTAATATAGAGAATATGGTTCGTATAAATTTGCAATTTTTTTTTGATTGGAATTTCAATAATAATTTTCAGATAGCAAATTCTTAATTACTAGAAAGCACAAAGAGTTTTAATATTAGTTTACAAGAACCAAATAGATAGATTGAAATAGATAGTATGGAAAATTAGTTGAAAAAGAGTTTGGGTTTTGTTTAACAGATATATTCATAATATCCTAAATAAACTGTAGTTAATTAGTATAATTAATAAAGTTTATAATCCTTATTGAAAATTTTGTAAACGATCTAAAATTATAAGAAAGAAATTGAGACTCATAAACAAACTAATTAAAATACCTATTGAATTAATTTATATTAAAAAATTAATATTATTATTAACTTATTTTATAGACAATTGATTAAGTTTAATATTGAAATAAATATTGTACATAAAGATTATTATATAATTAATTAATAATTAAAAACAAATGATGCTCATAGATCCATGGAATAAGCTACTTCAAACCTAGATTATGGATTTGATCATGTAATTATATATATAATGACTTTAGGAAAAAGGATCCAAGGATTGTGGTTGCAAGGGATTACAGTTACTCATGCACAAAGTTATAATATAAGGAACTTGTTTTAATTTTAATGAGATGTTCAGTAGAGCAGGTAACTACATGATTGACAAATATTATAAGGGTAATTACTTATTTATAAAGTATAGATTACACTAAAGAGGCTACAGAGGTTGGATTTCATTTGACATTTTCATTTGATAAGTAATATGCCAACGAAGAGCCTAAGATTCCAAAGAATGCAACTGAAGCTGAAAAAGCTGAAATTTAAGAGCTTAAATTATAGATAAGAGCAGAAAATCAGAAATTATTTGAGAAGGTCATTAAGGATTTCTCATAAATAAGAAGAAACTTCTATGCAGCTGTATTTGAGTAGGCATTTGATCAAATCAATAAAGGAGAAACTGCTCCTAAGTTTAAATATCAAAGTAGAGAGAATGAAGTTGTTTATGCTATTCCTGATAAAGATGCTTTGAAAATTGCTTATGAAATATCATTTTCTGATAATGTAGATAGAACATTAGCTAATCTTATAATTACAGAGATAATTGATGCTAAGAAAAATTCAATTTTATATACAAATATTTATTCTATTTTAGTTGTAATTAATATTATGATTTTGATTAATATTCAAAAAGAGTTTTAAATAATATCCCTGATGTAATAAACATGGTTGATAATATTAACTACAAATTGATGGGTTTTTTAAGACCCTTTTATATCATAACTATTCAGTATTCAAATCTAAATAAGTTGTTTTAAACAATTGATGGTATAATTAGATAGTTGGTTAATCTATTAATCTATGTGAATTACCTACCATTAAAATCAGTTACAAAACCTTCCTCTAATATTACTTATAAACAAAAGCCTCTTTTAATATAGTAAACGCAGTATATCATTAATTTTAAGTCATAAATTTTTTGAAAAATTAGAATTTTAATATCCATAATTGTTAGGATTAATTATACACCCATATTAATACTATAAACATAAAAGTTGGTACAGTATTATAACTTTGATTTTCAAATAAGTTACCATTTAATATTACATTGATCACTATTAACTTTATTTGAAATACTACCTAAGTACATCATTATGATCTATTTCTTAATATCCCTTGACTTATCTGTTAGAGTAATATTAAAAATAATCTTGATTATAAAATTACATAAACTCTAAGTTATAAGAATTATTTGGATTATAAAAATATTGTCAATTTAGTTATTGAATAAACAAAATAAATATAAGATTAAATAATTATTTTGTATTAATATACCTTTATTTAGTAATCATAATCTATCAATATTCTTGAGGGAGTAATATATCATATTCACAAGCTATATCAATACATATCTAACAAATAAATTTATTTAATTTATAATTATTTCCTTTGCTATTTATTTAATAATAATATACTTTTAGTAAAAATATATGATTTTCATAAGTTTTCTTATAAAGTAAGGATTAAACAAGATAAATTAATAAATGATTCACTATATTTAATCTATATGTATTTTTGACATTTATATATGTATTAAATTTCCTTCAATATATAGAGTAATTAATTAATTGAATAAAATAAATAAATATTTTATTCACAAATGATTGTAGTATATCAGAACCATTTCACTATTAATTTTTATATGTTATCTAATTAGACACAATAAAATTTACAATTATTTGTAAAATAAATATATATTAAAATAATTAATGTTTATTGATCAACAATTCACTATCCTACCAATATTATTAATTCTGAAGTACTTAATAAAATCAAATGTATCATCAATCTTGATAAAAGTATTTTCAAGTTGCCATAATTATTCAAAAAAATTTGCAATCCTTAATAAAAGGATTCTTGAGGTCATAATAATATATCTAAAAGACAAAAGTATACAATATTAATTGGATAATGTTAATCCTTAACTTTTAATATAAGACATTTTTGATGTTATTTGATTTCAGATGCTTATGCTATTTAAAGGATTTAAAACTTATTCTATATAATTTACTGATCATCCACTGATAAAAAATATTAAATATTACTTTAATATATCAGATTTACCAAAAAGGATTACTTAATTAATATAATTACTAGTAAATAAAGCAAAAGTGTATATAAATATTTAATCACAATTTTAGAATATAATATAAATATTATGGAATTAATTATTAGATTAATCTATATTATTAATAATTTTTTTCAATTCCAAACAAAGAATTGAATTCCATAAAAATATTGAGATAAGTGAGTGAATTATTTGTATATATGATGTTCAAATATCTTAATAGAATTTTGAATAAAAAAGAGACTTTTTCCCAACAACACATAAATATGTAATCAGTTCTAATGAAAATCTTGATCTAGTTTTCTACAAAATTCTGAAATGAATGTAAGAACACAATTCTTTATAACGATTCTTCATATTAATTGTCGCATTTGCTAATGATTAAGATAATTCCTTTTTAGCAACTATATTAAAATTATAAAATTTCATCTAACAAAAATGAAATAAAATTAATAGAAGATATAAGTCAGCTTTTAACATTTTTTCTTGACTATTTGAACTTTAAGTGGATAAGAAAGAATGTTATTTAATTTAACTTCTAGAATTTTGATATAATTTTCATGTAAAACATAATTTTGCAGAATTTCGTCATCAAATAATTTGTTAATGACGGATTCAACATAATATAAAAATGTGAATAGATTACTTCTAAAATAAATATTAAAAATGAAATATCTTCCATTAGTGATAACATTGTTGTGCTTAACTGCATAATCAAGTGTAGAATCTGTATAAAAGTTATTGGAATAAAATAATGATTAATATCATATAGAATAATAAATTGATACTCATTAACCCATGTATGAAAATGAATTTGACATTAAAAAAGAAAAGGAGGTTAATACTTTGTTCTAAACTATTGAAAAACGTATATTATTATATATTATTAAGATGATACTATAGAACAGTCTGTTTTGTTAGATGAATAAAGGAAACCAAATTACAATTTACTTAATGTTACTCATCCAAATACAAAATAAGACTATACATCTAATAGTTCTAGTATTAAAAAGATTGATAAATATATTCCATCTAGACTTAAGTTAAAGATTAGAAATAATTAAAATTTAGGATAAGGATAGATCAAAAATAACACTTAAAAGGTTGTATATTATAATCCATAAAATGGAACTTATGAAAATGTAGTAATATATAATAACAATAAAGTCAAATAAAATTACACTGATTCTTATTATTATTATTATGATAAAGATATCTAGATTAATTTAGAAAAAGATTATGATGATTATGGTAATGTAGTTTACAGAAACTTCAAATATAATTATTCTTTGGTTATAAACTCAAATTCTTCCGATATAGCTTATAATAGTATTTAAGAAGCATTTGGAACACTTGTACTTAACAATAACATATTTTCTGGACAATATAATAAGTAAGTAGTGGATAATGGAGGTATATAATACAATTGGAATGATTATATTGCTTATAATAAAAACAATTCATTTAATGGATAAGCTTAATACTCTAATAAATAAGGAAATTATTCATATGATAGGATTGATTATGGAGGATCTAATTTAAATCAATAAAGTAATTATGATAGAGATAGATAAAACTATTTTAGAGGTGATTATGATTAAGTAAATGGTTCTATGAACCTAAATTATGATAACTTTTAAAGAAATGAAAATAAATCATCAGAATTAAATTTAGGATCATAATCTGAAATTTAGATTGAAGGAGATAACTTATTTATTTCAAAGAATGGTAATGAATATATTAGTGTATAAAGAAATCAAAGTAGTTCTTATTTTAGATAATAAGATTCATTTTCTAACAATTAATCTGCTGAAGCTACATATTAATAAAATGGATATTATAATAATAGGATAAGTGGTGATCAATATTCAATCTCAAACTATAATACTTAATATAATTATTTAGATACTTAATATGGAAACTATTCTGAAAATTATTATGATAATCAAAATAAAAACTAAACTTCTTTTGATTATAATTTGACTGTAAACAATTAAAATACAAATTCAATCTAAAATTCTACAAATTCTATTGGAATCGAAAACATCTCCTCTATAAATTTAATTGGAAATGAACAAAAAGATACTAATATTTATTATGATTAAATATATTCATAAATATCTGGATAAATTGATACATAAATTAATAATACTAATGCAAAATTTGATAGTGAACCAAAAACTACAGTATACAACATTACCGAATAGGATTCAATTGGTACCATGAATCATTACAAAAATGATAATGATGAATTTGAATTTTAAGGTGTTATTTAGACAAATTAGACATAATCAGTAACAGAATAATAAAGATAATAATTTAATTAATTAAGAGGATCAAAGAAATAAGTTTCAGGTTCATGGACATAAATTGAAGTTGCAGAAATTTAATAATTTAATTCAATAATTATTGAATAAGCAATTGATGAAATTAATACTAAGTTTAATCCTTAATAATTTGGATATTATTTTGATTCTATTCTAAATGTTTAAGAATAAATTGTTTCAGGAATTAATTACAAGATTTAATTAAGTTATACAAATCTTGAATTTTAATAATAAATATATCAAGTAATCATTTATTCAATGTAATTTTACTTATTATATTCATTTTTAGTCCTTGGTAAAACTAATCCAATCAAGTTGTCAAATCAATTAGATTCGATTAATTTGAGAATTGAGATAAATTATCATCATATCAATAACCATAACAATATAATTATAACTTTATAAAATTATAAACATTCCAATCACTAAATATAGAAATGTTAATTAAATATTTGTTTTTTATAGTTATTTTATTTCTGTATATTGCAACTAAGTAATTAGTATGTAATTTAGCTATTCTTGTTATAGTAACTTTATATATTTTAATAATTTTATATATATGGTTTTCAAAATAAATGAATTATTAAATGTATTATTCTGATCATTTATAATACAAATTCTATATTGATATATATATATCAATAGAAATCTTTATCATATTAGCTGTTATTTTATATAATTTTTTAAACATTAAATTAAAATGTTTAAAGACAGTAGAATATATATAATTAAAAAAATAGAATATTTTATAGCCTATTAAAAACTAGTTTAAATATAGTCATATTTAAAAAAAATGAATATTGTTTATTGATTTACATTTTTCTAATCTTAATATAATACATAGAATTGAGACTCATATTATTTATTTTTACATAGAATAGACCATTATAAATGTTTTAATTATAATCAGAAGAAAATAAAAAAAATAGATATTGTATGATTATTTAAAAGTATTAAGCCCTAATTTTTTTGATGATTTTGTTGACCAACAATTAAGAAATTTCATAGAAATGTGTTTGTGGACATGTTCGAAGTAAAGCTGAATGCTAGCAATCTGGATTTTGTACTTGGTAAAATGAAAGTTGTTTATTAAACTATGAACGAACAAAAATAATTTTGGATGAGAAAACAAATGATGATTGTAAATATTTTGCAGAAGATGAGTGCAGAGAATAATATGAATGTAGTTTTTATTTGGGTTTTTGTGTAAACTTTGTAGATTGTAACATTTTCAACAAAGATCATTGTTAATAATCTTCATATAGATGTGTGTCAGATGGTAGAAGGTGTGTAGAAAAATAAAAATGTAGTGATTATAAAACAGAGATAGGATGTGCAAATCAAAATAAAGATGGTGGTTATTGTTTATGGGTTTAAGAAATGAAAGATAAATGTCGAGATATTTAGAAATGTGAAGAACTTCCAATATATTTTACAAATCATATTATGTGTTAATAAGGTTTAGATGGATGTACTGTAAATGATAAAGGTTATGGATGTATAAATTAAAAAGACTAATGTATTGAATACTAGAATGATTTTCAATGTTTTTAAAGTAGATAAAACAAAAATAATTGTTTTTGGGATAATAGAAATAAAAAATGTTTCTAAAAAATTTGTGAAAATCTACCATTTTCTTAAGATTATGAATGTAAATCAATTTTGAGTGATTGTACTACCAATGGAACTCATTGTATTTTAAGAAAATAATGTAGTGATGTATAGAATAAATTTGGTTGTATTACTGATATTTAAGGAAATAAATGTGTATTTCATTAAAATTAAAGTAAAATAAAGAGATGTGATACAGCTTCAGATACATTTACAAATTATAAACAATGTTAAGATTATGATAATTTTTTGGATTGTGTTACTTCTGAAAATGGAGGATGTAAATAGAGACCTAATTAATGTGAAGGTTAAGTTGGTTAAGATGATTGTAAATCAATAGAATAACAAAATTGTATATGGTTTAATAATAAATGTGAAAAAAGAGGATGTTAACATGCTCCAGATCATTATAATAAATAAGATTGTTTAGAATATGGAAATTGTATAGAAAAAATAGGTGGAGGATGTTAAGTTAAACCAAATAGTTGTGAAGAGATTTTATAAGAATAATATTGTGAATTTAATTTTAATCAAGAAAGATGTATTTGGTTAAATAATAGATGTACATTATTAGAATGTAATAAATTAAAACTACCTAATTACTAAAATCATTAAATGTGTTAAAAAGCTAGTACATTTTGCACATTTAATATAGAGTAATTTGGTTGTGCAGATTATAAATGTGAAAATATTTCTGAAATTGAGTATTGTAGAATTGATTCAATTGGAACAGTTTGTACAATCAATAAAGGATGTATTGAAAAAAAATGTAAAACTGCTCCAATAACTTATAATACTAATTAAACATGTGAAGAATGGTTATCATATTGTACTGTTAATGTATAAGTTTTATAAAATTCAAATATATTAATTGGATGTGTTAATAAATAAGATAAATGTGAAGATGCACTTGAATAATAATGTTATTCTACATTTTCAGGTATTAATTGTAAATGGGATAATATTAATAATAAATGTCTTTATAAATTATGCACAGATGCAGATCCTAATATATATTTAAATAATTAAGATTGTAAATCATATCAAGTTTTAGAGGGTAATTGTATAATAGCATCTTCTGGTTAGGGATGTTAAGTTTGGCCAAATAATTGTGATGAATTGATAAGTGAAATTTAATGTTAATTAAATCTATAAGATGGAACCAAATGTTTCTGGACTGGTAGTGTATGTAAAATATTAGAATGTTCAGATGCTTCTATAATTAATTATACTAATAATATTGAATGTAATTCTTGGATTGATTATTGTATTTATAATTCAATTTTAGGAGGATGTATGAATATGGAGATTTATAATAAAAATATATAATATATATATATATTATAACACATCAAGATTGTGAAAACTTTTTATCAAAGTGTACAGTAAATCACATTATTAGTTCTTGTTAACCTCTTTCTTATTATTGTGATTATTTATATGAATAACAATGTGTAATCACAATGTATTAATTACCTTGCAAATGGGATATAGTAAATGGATTATGTAAAGATATATTATGTAATGAAAATATAACAGCTTAAACAGAAGCTGAATGTTTAAATTTTAGAAAATTTAATTAATGTCAATTAACTATTTAATCTAATGGTTCATTAGGACCTGGATGTGAGTCAAGACCATATTATTGTGAAGAAGTTACTAATCCTATTAAATGTAAATTAACTCTAACATAATAGAATCATAGATGTTATTTTTATGATTATTATTGTAGAGCTGTACTTTTTGATAGATGTGAATTTATTAAAGATAGTAAAAGCAATGAGGTTTGTCAATTTTACCATCCATCCTGTATTCTATAACCAAGTGGATAAGGATGTTATACTTTTGAAAATTGCAAATATTTGTCTAGTAATCTTTGTAATAGTGCAATTACTAAATACAATTATAAGTGTTATTATTAAGACTATTGTCGTATTGATGATAAATGTTCTAATAGATACCTATCAGAATTTTTTTGTTAAGGCAAGAAAACCTCATATGGATAAATGTGTTACTTTCGCTCTAATTGTTCTACTTCTTGTTATTAAGGTTATTGTGGTACTTTTTGTGATAATACTTGCGAATTATAAATTGAAAAAAAGTATCTTTCATTTAATACATTTGCATCATTTTCAGAAAAGAGTTAAGCATGCTAAAACTATTCATCAAATTATAAATATGATACTTATTGCAATTGCTGTTAAGCAATAACTTCATGCATTTAATAAACTGGTGAATAATAAATATGTAATAATACAGTTGCTAATTAATAATGTGGATATAATTTCTCCAATAATACTTGTGAATCTAGAATATGCAGACATTTAACTTATACAAATTATTCTGTACTTACAGATTAAATTTGTTATAATTGAATATATAATTGTATTCTTGATACAATTGGTTGTACTAATTATACAGATGATTGTACAACGATAAAATTAATTCAATAATGTTATTAATTTTCATGTCAATGGTAAGCTGGTAAATGTGTAAAATATATTGATTGCCAAATTAATACAACAGCTGTTACAAATTATGAATGCCTCTTATTTAATTCATCATATTGTAGATTAAATTATATTAAAGGTTAAGGATACGCTTTTTATAATTGTGGTTAGATTTAAGACTAAACAATATGTAATTAATCAAATCTTGTTGATGGATAAAATTGTATATGGATAAATTATTAATGTAAGCAAAAATTTTGTTCAGACTATACAATAGAATCTGACTGTGAAAATTCTTATGGTTTTTAAGGGAAAGTAGTAACTAAATGTTTTTGGTGTATACATAATACTACAAAATGCTCCAATAACAAATATTGTAGTTTAAGTAGTTTAAGTTCTCCTTAATCACATTAAGATTGTTAAAATGAAAATATAGAATACACTATTTCTTTTTAAACAGATTATAAATGCACAATCAAAAAATTAAATTGCGAATTTTACGATTACAAAGAAGCTTGTGTTAAAAATATTGACGGTTTACTTTGTGAATGGATGTCTAATTTATGTGTAAATAAGTGTTAAGCAGTTAATATAATTCCTGCTGTAAAATAAGATTGTTTTAATTGGCATTCTAATTGTATGTTAGATCCACTCTCCAAATGCAAACCCTTAAGTTGTTCATTGTTATTATCATATGGTGACTGTAATATTTACACTGAAAAATGCTTTTGGAATAATGGATCATGCTATGCTATTGGTACTTGTAACGCATATTAGAATAATATTGTATGTTCAAATACTTCAAAAAATGCATAAGGTATTCCTTGTTTTTGGAACAATACATAATGTGAAGAAAAAACATGTTCCAATAATCCTACTGCACCATCATCTCACTTAGATTGTAGTAATTGGCTTCCTAATTGTTATTATGATATCAATTTACATTAATGTATTGAAGATTGTACAACTGCTGATAATTCATATATTACTCATGATTTATGTTAATCTTACTATCATAGCAAAATTTGCACAGTAAAATTAGATGTAATTTAATGTGTTGATCTTCCTATTTCATGTGATTTAGCACAAAAGACATAATGTTATAAAGATAGAGATGGAAACCAATGCTACTTTTAAGTATCATAAATTAGATGCATAGTTTTAACATGTTCAAATTTGGAATCAGATTTTACTAGTCATGATAAATGTAACTAAAAATTATAAGAGTGTACAGTTAATGAAACTTTGAATGGATGCTAATAATTGAATAATTGCAGTAGTTATTTAATTTAAGAATAATGTTAAATTGATTAAAATAATATTTAATGTGAATGGATTAAGACTCAAAATAAATGTATGATGGTTGTTATAAATGTACAATTCATTGTCCATAGGGATGTAATATTTGTATTGGCAAATAATGTTAGGAATGTTATTAGAATGGATGGTAATTGGTTGAAGGTATTTGTAAATCAAAATGTGGAGATGGTTATGTAAGAGGTAATGAATTATGTGATGATGGAAATGATATTCCATATGATGGATGTTTTTAATGTACTTATTAGTGTCATCAGAAATGTGTTATTAAGGATAATGTATTTAATGTGAAATTGGATATGTAGAAGATGGACCTTTATGTTATAATATTTGTGGAGATGGATATTTTGTAGATATATTAGAATAATGTGACGATGGAAACCTTCAAAATAATGATGGATGTAATGAAAATTCTTTGGTTGAAATAAATTGGCAATGTTAAACAGAATATGAAATTAGTTTTTGTTTTTACTAAATTCTACCTAAAATAATTCTAACTAGATTATCAAAAACAGATACAAGTATTCAAGAGTTTAAATTATCATTTTCTGAATTAGTATGTTTAAATTAAAAAGGTATAAATGAAGAATAATTTCTATAGTTGATTTTTATAGAAATTATAAATGCCTAATCTAATCAATATGAAATTGAAATCAAATCAATTATTTCCATTTCTACATAATTGGCAGATGTAACCTATAAAATAATTGTCAATTTTAAAACTAGTGTTCAAAATCCTATTTTAAAAGTTAAATTATAAGGAGATAATATAGTAAATCACTAAGGCAAAACCTTATTCTCAAAAGAAGTAAAATTGCCATTCAGGTCTCCTTATGAGATCTCAGAAGAACAATAATTACTTATGTCTAAGACTTCCATATTTAATAAATTAATATTGTATATCATCATTAGTATAAGTGGAATATCTTTTTTATTTGATAATTTAGAAATTTTATGGAATGTTCTTGATATGCTTTAATAATTATCCTATATGAAATTTCACAATATTTAATTTCCAGAAAACTTATAAATGTATTTTGAAATCTTTAGTTTTGGTTCTTTTACTCCAATCATTGATTAATTGTAAATAGATCAAAAATTACAAAATATATTTAATTTTTAACCTCCAATTATTTTTGCTAAATGGAAATTTGAATTCTATTAAATCAATTTAAACTTTTTGGAATATTTTTAAACATTTGTAATTATGATGATAATGGGATTTACTTATTTGATAATGTCTTATATAATTTATAAAATTTTAATTCTTTTTAAATATTAAAATTGGCCAACAATTTATCAAAAAGATTTTTTATTTAAAATAGTTAAATTGATATTTTTAATTTAAAGTATTGCACGAAAATATTATTAATATTTTATTTACTCTGGAATTATTAGAATTTATACATCTAATTTTTATGAATTAACCTTTGCATCTATTTTATAGATTGTAAATTTTAATACATCAACTACTACAAATAAAATTACTTCATATTTAGCTCTTTTTGTATTTATTTGTAATTTATTCGTGATTGCCCAATTGTTCTATTATCTTAGCATAAAAAACAGAATTGCTAAAAATTTATCAGTGTTGGTAGAGGGAATTAAGAATTAAGCAAAATAAGGAGCTAAATAATACTTTACAATATTGTTGATGAAAAAAACCTTATTTATCATAAATTTAGTTGTTTTTTAAGGTCTTATGGGAGTTTAAAGCCTAATTACTGCTTGTCTATCTGGAATATTCTCCTGTTATTGTTATATATATAAGCCTTTTGAGAATAATTTTGAAAATATTAAAATAATCATCATAGAAGTCCTAATTATGTTGAATGCTCTTTTTTTTTCTGTATATGAAATTTTGCAATTTAATCAAGATAAAGAGTTAGCTTAAAATTTAGGTTGGATTAATATAAGTGGTTTTCACCCTTATTCTTTTTTTAACCTTAGTAATTGATATCTATCAATAAGTTTTAAAATATAGGAAAATAGTGATTGATAAAGTCAGGTTTTGTTTAGGAATCAATCAAAAAGTATCAAAGAAATCAGTAAAACTGTTTTTTTGAGATATTATTAAATAAATTATAGTTAATTTTATAATTCAATTTTTTGCTGTTTGGTTTTATAATTATATCTTAAATTAGTATTTTATAACAAACTCATAATCTATATGAAAATAGGTTAGTCTATGTAATAATTATTGTATACTATTTATTGTTTTATCTAATAAGTGATTCTAAAGGTTGAACTTACTAATTTAACTTATATTATAAGAAATAAAAATAACAATTAAAATTTCAAATATTATTAATCAATTTGCTTTTAGGTTTTTCCAAAAAAAGAAAATGTATATATAACAATATAATTCCACATCTTTTTATTTGAAGATCAAAATTCGTTTTTTATATTTTTACTTAAAATAATTAAATAATATAAATCCTATTTAATTATAAAATTTTATTAAAAACTAAATCCCCATATTATGATTTTACAACTTTAATTGATATTATTTCCATAAGACTGAAATAATGCATTATTAAGATATTGTAAAAATTATATGCAAAGAATGATATAGTTAAAAAATTAATGATCAATAAATTATTGGATTCAAAAATTATTATAAGAAATTTTCATTATTCTATACTGAAACTTTAAGTATAGGAAAATACTTTTTATAGCGATTAAAATATTGAAAATTTCTTTAAAAAATAAATTTTCTAATCAGAAATTACCTAATGCATCTGCTTTCTAGATCAAAACAAGAATCACTTTGGATTACATACTAACATTTTCTCATATTAGCCATTGAAAAAAACTATAATAATGAGAGCCACATCATCAAAATTTGGCTTAATGAACAAGTTCCACAATTAAATAATATTCCTTATAGATTTAAACATAAGATTTAATTATATAAGGATATTTTTATTTAACTATTTTCGTATGATATTCGATAATATCTTAAGCAGATATTAGGACTCCTTAATATTTAAAGCAAATATTTCCTACTACTCCTTTCCTATCCTAATTTTCCTCTGCTTTCTTTATTTGTAACATAATTAGATTTAGAGATATTTTAGGGTTATACTTCTAAGCCAATCAGATAAATTTATTCATCAACCAACCAACAAACTTATGGACTAAAAGTTGAATAACTAATTCATATATATATTCGAAATCTTTGTTCAAAAAAGTTATTTAAAATTAAAGTTTGATTTAACTTTCTCTCTACTTAGTTTTCTAAAAAATATACACAATATAATTTTGTACTCTAGATTCTCTATGAATTAATCGTAGTATATATCAAAAGAAGAAAGGAGTTAAGATCGATTCTAACGAACTCCTTTTTAAAAGATGATCTTCTTTCTTTAATGGGATCATAAATACAAAGCTGATCATAAAACCATTCAAGAGCTTATAATTCATTTGGATTTAAGTAATCTTTAAATTTTTCTTCCTCTCTTAACACCCTATATTATATGAATTCCAGAATTCTAAGAAAATAGTTAAAGTACCTCACTGTTTTTTCTTGACCTAAAATTAGAGTCCCCAAACCAAAGAGTAAATATGCAAGGAAACTTAAGGAAAATTGGTTAGAATTATCCAGAAGGAGGATAACTTAATACATTTTGCTAAGAGGTACTAATCTCAAAGAGAAAAGATAATCTAGTAAAGGTATCATTTCAAAGTTGAGATGCAATTAAAAATCTTCATTAAAGAAGCTTGTAAAATTTAGATCATAAGATACTAATTTCTTGTTATTTCTTGTCTCCAGTTATAACGTAAACAATCACATTTATAAACTAGCTATTCTTTTTGTGTTAATTTAGGCCTTGAATTCACAAAGTCAACACTTTCTAATGATCAAAAACTAGATCTCTTTTGTAAACTGGATAGAATTTATTATAGAACCCTTCTTTTCAAAATTGATATAATAGAGGGTGAAAATATAAAAGGCTCTAGAGTTGCTTCCAAATCTCTATTAAATCCTTAAGCTTTTTTATATTCTCTGTTGTTAAAGAATTCAGGAAGGACACATAAATAACCAAATTTTTCATACTCTATAGATTTAAGATTTTTGTTCCAATTTTATAGCATTTTTATTATCCACCATCCCTTCATATTTAAATAAATACACATTTTTTAATAGTATAAAGTAAAACATAGATATATAATGAAATTAATTTACATAGAGTGAGTTTGATGATATTTTTAATAGTCTTCAAAAACAATTAAACTAACCAAAATCTTTCCTTTATTTTAGTGAAAAAAATTAATTTTATCATTAAAATTTAACAATAGATTCCTTCTAATTGAATCATTACTACTAATATAAAGTATTTCTTTTTTATAATTTTTGTAGAAGATAACAGCCAAAACCTTTTTTTCAAAAAATTTGCATTACAAAATCTTAATTACTCAGTAAAATACTGGGATTTTTTTTAAGTCTATTGAAAAATTCTAATTTAATATATCCATAAATTTAGTAGATGGCTTAAATTATTAATCACTACATTTAGTAGAATGTTATGGATGAAATTATAATCAAAAAAGACTTAATTCAAAGAAATAGCTTCAATGAGGATTAGATATATACATAAAATTAATAGTAAATATATAAAATCAAAATGAAAAAAAAATTACTTTTATAGTTAATAAATATTGATAATAAAATAAACTTTGGAATAACCTCATTGAAATTTCTTTTATCACCTTAAACATTGAATCCATTAATTACTTTCTTAGTTTCTAATTTTATAGAAATCTAATTGATTATTACCATATTATATTTTTAAAGTAAAAAGTTTTTAGATTTTTTAAATTAATTCATTCTTGATCGTTTTATGTTTTATGAAATCTTATCTGCTTTTCATTTCACTTATAGATATAAGAAAATTTAGGCCAAACCCAAGTCAGACTCCATTTTTAATAAATATTATCAATAATTTATAAATAATTAAAGTTTATAACAAAAAATTGGATTTTTTTATTTGAAGAAAGCCTTAAATGTAATAATTACTGAAAAAAGTAAATATTCAAAAACATAAAATACTAAATAATAATCAATCGAAATTATTTGTTTAAGTCATTATACAAAAAAACCCCAAACTTGATATTATAAAAAAAATTAAATGAAAATTATTATATTATTCTTTATTAGTTAAAATATTCAATTATGATATTAATAATAATTATGATATTTCATTTCACTACACTACTTATTTTTTTAAATATCAATTTCAACCCATAAACCCTATTTTTTTCCATTTTTATATTGACCTTTATAAGTAATTTATTTAGAATCACAGAATCTATCATCCAAATCTATCCACTTTCCTATCTTCATTCCATCCCCTTTCTCATCATATGAGCCGCCACCACTAAAAAATTCAAATTAAGCAATAATATTGTTTACATTGATTCATTATTTCCGGCTAAATCCTTATACAAAATATCCCATTTACCAACTCTTTTACCAATTTTATATTCACCTTTATATGTTACTTAACACTCCCTACAAAATCCATCACTTATATCAATCCACTATCCAATCTTAATGTTATCACCTCCTTCTTTATATTCCCCTCCACCGCTAACAAGTTTGAAAGTTGGCTCTTTATATTACTCTTTTTACATAATTTAATCACCATTTCCCTTATTGTAATATATATCCCATCTACCAAATTTCCTACCATTTTGATATTCCCCTTTTTAAGTTACTTTAGAATCTTGTTTAAAACTATCACTAATTTCAATCCACTGCCTGTTTTCATTCCTGTCTCTTATTCATCATACGATCCACCACCACTAAGAAATTTGAGAGATATATAAAGAATTATTTACATCCTTATATTTTATTTGTTGTCTCCATCCTCTTTAAACCAAATATCCCATTTACCAACTCTTTAACCATTTAAATATTCACCCTGATAAATTACATAAGAATTCCTACAAAATCTATCACTTAAATCAATCCACTTTCCAATTTTGAGATCGTCAGTTCCTTCATTATATAATCCCCCACCACTGAAAATTTTAGTTTCACCTTTTGTTAAATATTTGTTACATTATTTGATCACCATTTCCATTATTATAGCAAATGTCCCATCTGCCAAATTTTTTACCATTTTTATACTCACCATGATAAGTAAGTTCAAAGTTATCACAATAATGTTCACTTAATTCAACCCATCTTCCCATTTTTTGACCAGTTCCCTATTTATCATATTCTCCTCCTCCACTAAATTTAAATTCTATATCATCATTCCAATGTTTTGATTTTCTCTTCTGTTTTTTAAAAGGTACTACATTTAATTAAATTTTCATACTAAAGATTATAAATTTCTCCAATTAAATGACTAGTTTTAAATAGATATTGTATAAGCTCTTCTAAAAATTATCCTGCTTTTTAGATTACACAGGAAATCTTTTTTTTTATGTTAATCCATTCATTAAAAAGATTACTTTATAAAAAATCTACAAGAAAATCTAATTCTTATTAAGAACTTTCCATGGGATTCAAATCTTTGTTTATTAGGCTAATAAATTTATTATCATATGATGTTAAATCGTCAGAAATTCTTTTAATAGAATCCCTCTTACTAGCGAATATCAAATAGATATCTTTTTCACTTTTGTCAAGTTTATGTAAAAATGGTTTAAAAATTGTTTTTGATTAATTTTAGTCTAGTTCATTATATATGTTTAATTTTTCTGATTTTTCAAGCAGTTATTTGACGAATTCATTTTTAGATAATATTTTATCATATGATTTTGTGTGTTATAATGCATTCTAAACAAACTTTTCTCTATAAATCTCGAATTTGATTGCCAATATAAATTCCTCCAATTTAGGAATTTTAGTGCTCTTAACAAAATTCATGATTTGAAATCATGCAATAAAATTATAAATGTAATTCTTTATTTTAAAAATAGACAATAAATTTAAACTAAAATTATTATAATAAATGATTAATTAAATATTAAATTTTGCATAATTTCGAGAATTAGTATAATATAAATCAACAAAGCCTTTAGAGTTAAATGATAAAACTTTACTTAATGTATTATTTTCTATTAAATTTTTCATTTTATTGTTTAATGATCACTAAGTCTTATGTTGAGGAAATACAATATAATTATAAATTATATACTTTAATTTTGACTTAGCGTGAATTAATTTCTAATCCATTATTCTAATCATTAAAATAAATTATCTTATTTTATTATTCTTCAATAAAAATCAAATAGCACATAAGATATTCTAACATGTTTTTAATTTAAAAAAGTGAACGGTTATATATTATTAATAAATTTTGAAATTAAATAAAGCTATAATATAGATATGCTCTCCAGTTTTAGAAATATAAATATTATTCTTAAATAATTATCATATTACATAATCATACTTTAAATAGCAATCAATAATTGAATCTTAAAATAGATAAAATTTCTAATTAATAATTTTTATAATACTTATTTTTTTCATACTTCTCTGTAAATCTGAAATATTTTTAAATCCATTAATTTGAAGACAGACAATAATTTTAATACTATTCTAATTTTTATTGATCTTGTAAAATATTTTATTTTTATTGATATATTTACTATGAAAGTGATTAAAATTAAGATATATATAAAAGTTAATATATAAATCTTTATTCACTATTCATTATTTTTTAAATGATATTAATCATTACTTTAGTTTATATAGCAAATCAAAAGGTGATTTATTAGTTTGATGCCAGAAATAAATAAAAAGATGGTAAATTTAGATGAATTATTTCTATTAGATTGGTAAGGCTTGTCAGATTTCTTTGAATGTGAATAGTTTAAATATTTTGGGCAAACTAGTGATGATCATGGAATTAGCAGATTATTTTTGGATCTAGAATCTCATTAACAATATAGAATCGATGCATTAGTTCTAAAGTAAGTTTAAAAAATAACAAAAGTATTGACGGTTTAAATGTTCCGTAAGTTTTTATAGATAATATTTTGGAAAACCCAGATTTAGAGAGTTCAGTATCATCAATGAAATACTGTGAAGACCCGGCTCCTGAATTATTTCATAATATTACTATAATTCGGTAGCATAGCAGAAGAAGTTTGTGGATGAGAATAAAATTACATTATGGGGGATTATTATCATTAAATTTAAGTATCATCTAATGCTAATATGGATGTATTGGATGTATATAGGTTGATCCAATACATTGTTTAAAATGGGAACTACACTAATTTTCATTTAACTAGAAATTGATAAGAAATTATGATGGATGGAACGAAAAATTAGATAACGAAAACGATATATATTGTGGATTTTTATAATATGTAAAATTTGATACTATAAATTATTTTACTTAACTTCCTCCTCATTAAGATTTATTAATCAAGTTTTTTAAAAAAGATGATGGAATTATAATAATAGATTATATATATGGTTAATAGATGACTACAAATTAATAAGACCATTAAGTTGAAATATTAATAAAAAATCATCCAGATCCTATATTCTAATTGATTTTAAGAAATTAAGATCCTTCAAAATAAAGTTCAATAAGAGATTTTGAACTATTTTATACTTAGCCAGAAATAATGTTTCCTAATTTTTATGAGGGTTGTTAAGATTTCATAGTTGATTAATGTTTGAAGTGTCAAAAAGGCTGGATTGAAGATGAATAATTTTTGAGTTGTCATCCTATATGTGGTGATAAAATCATTCAAGGATAAGAAGAATGTGATGACGGAAATCAAATATCCAAAGATGGTTGTTTTAAATGTTAATTTTCTTGTACTGATTTTTGCACAAAATGTATATTTGGAATCTGTTATTAATGTGAGGATGGATTTTTAATTAATATTAATCGTACTTGTGATCCTGTATGTGGAGATGGAATTTTAATTCCATATTCAGTTGAATAGTGTGAGATTTTTGAGGATAACAATTAGAGTGGTTGTATAAATTGTAAATATTCAACAATTAATAATTGTAAAAATGTATATATTTCATAATGCCTTGAATGTTAATCAGGATATTATAGTTAAGGATATGGATGTAATCCTTATTGTGGAGATGGGATTGTTCTTAAATAATTTGAGGATTGTGATGATGGGAATTAAGTACCCTTTGATGGTTGCTATGAATGTAAGTATTAATGTATAGAGGGTTGTAATATTTGTGATTAAGGATAATGTATATTGAAATGTGATTTGGAATATGAATTTGTTAATAATAATTGTCTTTCTATTTGTGGAGATAAAATAGTTACAAAAGAAGAAGAATGTGATGATGGTAATACAATTTAATTTGATGGATGTTTTAATTGTAAGTACTCTTGTCCCCTTAATTGTTTTGAATGTTATCAAGGTATTTGTTTAATATGCAATTATGAATATTAATTACTTAATACAAATTAATGCAAAAAATATTTGAATTGTGGAGATGGATTACTTCAATTAGAAGAGGAGTGTGATGACGGAAATGATTAAATAGCTGATGGATGTATGGATTGTATGATTGAATAGAATTGGGTATGTTCGACAATATTAACAAATTCTCCTACCTAATGTTCTTTTGTGAAGTATCCAGACTTAATAATTGATTATCTCAATATGACACAAAATAAATAATATATTAGTATTAGGTTTAGCCAATAAATAAAAATATTCACCTTATAACCTTTATCTGAAACTATTACATTTGATTTATTAAATGTAGAAAAGAAAAAATGGAACAGCAAATTATCAATAATATAAGATGTTGGATCATTTGTGAGTGTTGGAGAATACGTTTTGGAAATAGATGTGCTTTAATTACTTGAATATAGACCAGTCATGAAAATTTTAATTAATCAGACTGTGGCTAATAATGATAATGCTGTTTTAATCAATCATTTGAAATAAATAATTCTATAATATCCAAAATTTCTAGATGATAAGCAAAAGGATTACTCATAAATGTTTACAAATTTAAATAAGTATTTAATTTTTGCTCTATCTGGTATAACAGGCTTATATTTATTATTTGGAATTGGTGAATTATTTTTTGAAGTTCTGACAATCTTATAATTTCAATAGTTCTTAAGATACATTAATCTACCTTTTCCATTAAATTTAGAAATATATTTTTCTATTAATGATCTACTAACTATTCAGCCATTTCTGAATTACATTAATTATTTTCATATCTTTAAGTTAATAGATATTTACGAATATTCAATATATTCAGAAGGCAAATTTGTTAGTTATAAACAAAACTCAAATTTAATTATAAATCTTTCATTCCAAATTATTCAATGTTTTATGTTTCTATTAATTATTATTATTTTAAAATGGATCAAATATGGAGTTTATAATTGCTTGTTTTGTTCAAAATGTTTTGAATACATGTAATAGTTATCATTATATTTAAATACAACTATAGTTTTTAAAATTAGTTAAGCCATTTATAAATTTTGCCTTAATTTATTTTAATTAGAACAATTTATATCATATAAAGGATTTTAAAAAGTCTTGCTTTTAAATAGTTGGGATGTTCTCTTTAAAGTTTTACTGTATTCTCGAAATGTATAGATCATAAATTGGATAGATATTATTCAAATTTCATTTCTAAGCATAATTGTTGTATTATATGGTGGGATAATGCTGAATGTATTTAATTATTAATTAAAATTTAAATTTTCAGTAATGAGGATGAACAATAATCAAAAATTAGCAATTCTACATTTATTTAGATAAGGATTCTTTTTATTGTTTTTGATTTATGTTTAAAAATCATAGATACTTTAATTAGGATTATTAATTTTAACAAGTATTTTTTAAATTATCTCCATTTATTACTATCGTGATGTTATTAATAAATCAAATTTTATTGTTTAGATGGTTGTTGAGATTTCAGTAATCATGTTTATGTTAAGTTCAATATTATATATTTAGGAATTTGATTCATATTTTTATGAAGAAAAAAAGATAATATTAGGTTGGATTTAGATGGTGATACTATCTCAAGGCATAATAATATAATTAATTATAATTTTTAAAGGATTAATTAGACAACTTAGAGAGAAATGTTAAAAACCATTATAAAATACAACTAATGTAGCAAATTGATTTCTAAATATAATTATATTGAATATTTATAATAATATTTTCTGTTATTTATTAAAGTTGGATATTTTAATAAACAACCTTAATATAATGTAATAATTATAACAAGATTATTTATAATTATTCTATTATATTTAGTCCTAAAAGGCTATTTCTTCTAAACAACTGAATTTAATGCTAAATTTATAAATATTAGTTTATTCAATCATCACTTTTTAATTTAATTTTCGTAAATAAAAAGCTAAATAGAGTGAAGTTTAAATTCAAATAAAATTGATAAATCTATTTTGAGAATTTGAAAGAATAATCATATCTTCCTAATTGTTTTTAAAGTAAAAATTTATCATAATTAGGACTATAATTTTAATTTTACAAAATAATTATCAATTAATATTTAATTCCGAGTATTAAATTAAAAGTATTAAAAATAAATGATTGAAAATAATAATATACAATATTTTAAAAAATTAATAAAAAAATACGATTTCTAATGATTTTCTATTTATTTATTTGATTTATATATATTAAATAATTTAATAAGTATATTATCATTATAATTATATTTTATTTTAAATTCCTCTATTTTCTATATTTTATGGTTATTTTATAATTTCTTATTCATATTGTTTTCCATCTTAATTTAATTTTTATAATTATTTCTTTTTTCTCTCTTATGTTATAATTATTTTTCGTTCAAAAAGTAACCATTAATTGATATTCAATTTTGTTGTTATTCTGATGATAATGGAATATATTATTAAATAGTAATAATAAAGGTATAATTATCTATTTTGTTGATATCACTTAGAGTGAGATAGAATCGATCCCAATTTTCATTTTTCGATATTTTCTTTTAATCATAAGTTTAATAAATTAGATTTTCATAGTATCAACAGCAACTTTTTGAATAAACTCTAAAGTTATTAATATTGCTCCCATTTGGTCAAATGAAACTTTATCATCTCTTAAAAATTTCTCATATTATTTTTTATAGATTCAAATTTTTTGATATCATATGAATGTTTCATCTTCTTAAATATATTTCTAGCCAATAATTTAATAGTTTTTCTAGCTTCCATAATAGCCATATATCATGTGTGTTATTTGTTTTGCAATCCTTCCATTAAATTAAACTCAGTTCTTATTCCATGATTTAACAATTATTTTTTATAATTTTAAACACTTCTAGAATATACTAAGTATCAAATGATTTTCCAATCATTACACTGGTTGAATTTCAGGTATCTTCAATTTATCTCTCTTTTATCCATAGTTTATCCTTTCTATATTAAAGATGATTTATAACATTTTCTTATAATTAATACATTAACATGAAATCAAATTATATATTTTATGATATTAAATTATAATACACATATGAATTTATAAAATACAACTTCATTTTTTATGAATATATTCTATCAAACAAATTTGTAAATATAAAGATTATTGTAATATACATCATCATATAACCGTATTAATATATTATTGATAATTTGTAAGAAGTAAAAAAATAATTTATTCATTTTCTATAAAATAACAAAGTTAACCAATCAATTTCATCGAAATATATTATTGAAAAACATACTTTTATGTGATTTACAAGATTTAAGCTAATTTAAGGAGTATTTTTTGAACTTGTAAATAAATAATAATAAAAATTTTTTTTTTTGATAGAATTAGCACATTAATATAAAAGTCAACAATCTTTGGCCATAAAAAACATCATATGGAATAATAAATAGCTTAAAACAGCGAATAAGACATTAAAACTGTGTTTGATAGATTTGATTACATAAAAACCAAAGTTAATAATGAATTTGAATAAATTTCTAATGGAAGAATAGTTCTTATATTTCTAGGAAAATTTGAATAACAATTTGATACTTTCTATTAACATTTTATCATTAAGCAAGTTCTTTTAGACACCGAATATTATAAATTAATTAGAATAGAAAAATAAGGAAAAATTAGTTATCTATTGAATTTTCCTTTGATCTTATAATATAATTAACAAGATAATTTAATATAATAGAATCTATGTATTTCAAAAATATATGCTGAAAAAGCTTTTCAGAAAATGCAAAAATGCAAATTTCATTTAATTGTAGATGCAAATTAAATATTTGGATAGGATACAAGAGAGAAGGTAATTATTATTAGTTGTGATTCAGTTTTTCAATTTGGAAAATATTATTTTTAAGAAAATTCATTTTCATTGCTGATACCATCATAAGATAGGTGGAATTTATGTAAAGTTACTAATTAAAATGAATATAATTCTAGAGTAGTTAATTATAATGAAGTTTTAAAGAATATCTTTTAAATTAACTCTTACACATCCCTAAAAATAATTTAATCAGATGATTTTTTGAATTATGGAAAAATGATGCATTACTTAAAAAAAAATTAAGATCTTTTAATAAATTTATTTAATGGTCTATTAAGCAATTTTTAAAAGCAACTTTTGTTCTTATAATAAATGCCAATAATACTTTGTCAAGATGACACCAATTAAAAAGTTGAAAGATATTTAAAAGAATTAGAAAAAGATCTTTTGAATATTCAGAATCCTTTAACTCATAGTTTTGCTAACATGAAGAAAGTTTTTACCTTAATAAATAAAATTAATAAAGGAAACATAGCATTAGAGTTAAATGAAAGAATTAAAAGAAAAAACAGCATATAAATGAAATAGTTCTTAATTGACAATAATATTTAAAATATAATTATTCAACCTATTTTTAATGATGAATTTGAAAATAAATTAAATGAAATCTTAGCTTTTTTTGACAAATATGATATAAGTTCATAAAAAATTAATAAAATTACAGAATTTAACAATTTGAAAATCAATCTTAAATTTTGGTGTGAAAATTGTGAATAATTAATAGAAAATACTCTTTATGAACTTAAATATATAGTAAAGAGAATACAAGAAGGACCGAAAAATAAAATTGAAAATGGAATCTATTTTATAGGAGTAACAAAATCAGGAAAATCTACAATAGTTAATTCAATTATTAATCCTAATAAACTTTAAAGTAAAAAAATTTTAGGTTAGAAATGTAACTTAATTTAACAAGGAATTTAAACCAAATTTAAAATTGATTAAGGAGAAATTAGTGAGACTTAAAAAATTAGTGGAATTTATACAGGTTAAAAGGAAGAGCTTACTCAATTCTTTAATAATTAAGGAAATAATGAATAAGAATAAGATGTTATAAGTTGTGAAGAATTACTAAATGTTGGATTCATTAATTAATTACCTTAAAATTTGTTTATTTTTGATTGTCCTGGTTTTGATGATAATAGAAATGAATTAATGAGAATTGCTCATAGAATAAGTTTGTATAACTATTTCCATTAAACTAAAAATATCATTGTTTTTTTTGTGATGGACATTTCAAACTAAAAATTTGAACATATTTAGAATACTTTTGATCCAATATGTTGTCTATTAAAGAATAAAAATGATATAGAATAAAAATTTAAGAGTTGGACGAATCTCATTTTAACAAAAGCCGAAATAAATTAAAGATAAGAATATTTAGACGATTGGGAAATAGCCTTTAGAGGATAATTAGAATAAAACTATAGCTTCTATAAAAAGCTATTTAAAGATGATGAAACTTGTTTAGAATTTCTAAAACCAGCATAAGATGTTAATTAAGATATTTTTAGATTAGCAAAATCTATTACTGAAAGAGTGTAGAAGTAACTTTAGTAAGTAGAATGCAATCCTGACTTTGAACTTATCCTTGATGAAAAACTCTGGATGCTATATTTAAAATGTATGCCTAAAATACAGAAAAGATTAGAGTAAATATTTCAATTATTTTTTTCGTAAATAGATTAATACATTTTGAATAGTAATGAAAATCTAGAGATGATAAAGGAATAAATGTTAAGACTTAAATATTGTTTACTTAATTAAGAATAATATAAAATTATTCATGGATTGGATTTGAATAATTGTATATCTATACTTTAAAAGATATCATAATGGATCTAGGGTAATTAAAATATTAAAGAAATTTGTTTTTTACTTGATGCATATATCAATGATATATAGTCTATTTTTAAAATATCAGAATATTGCAAGAATACTTTGATATTGCAATTTGAAGTCAAAATAGATAAGTTAGTTAGCAAGATTGAAACTATCCTTAAGATGATTGAAGAGACATATAATTATTATAGAAATCAATAAAGATTCAAATCATGCGCATTTAATAGCATAATTATTATAGTACTGCTTAGTGGAGCTTATGCAAGTGTATCATCACCATTTATATAGCGTGAAATTTCATTAATTTTAATTCTCATGTCTAGTACATTATCACTAGAGTTATTTACATTAAAACAATTATTTTTATTTCCTTAACCAGAACTAGTAATTTATTTATTTAAAAGCAAATATAAGCTGTATTTATAAAATGAATAAGAAATGGAGAATTAATGAGACAATTAAAAAAGTGAAATGAAATTTTAATTTATATAATTTTATTCCAGAATTTTAATTTATATAATTGTATTACAGAACTTTAATTTATTATATTCTTTTTATTATAATCATAAATTATACCAAATTTAGGACAACAAATTATTGGTATATGATAAAATTACAGTATTATTTATAACTTTATTTTAACGAATTCTAATAGTAAATTTATTGAATCAATAATAATCAAAAACTTATAGTAAAACGTTTAAACATATCAAAATTAATAAAAATTTGATTAATCTAACGTAAAGAAGAATTATGATTAGAAACAATCAATTATGAACAAAATTCTCATCTTTATTAATACAGAGCCAAGTTTCAAATAGTTGGATAAACCTTATTAATGATCCTATTATTAGAAATATATATAAAATATTTGTTTAAATTAAAATTTATAGATGAAATAATTTATTATTGAAGCATTCTTTAGAAACTAGATATTCAGTTTTTTAAGAATTAAATGAAAAAGAAAACTATAAAAAAAAAAGGTAAATCAAGTCTCAAATGGGTTTTATCCACTCAAAAAGTAACAATAGAAAATCTAAACTTATTTCACTTTTTCCAACAGGATAGAGTAAAGAATTTTTCAATAAAAATGATTAATTCATAAGTAAATCTGAAAGCCTGTGTGGGTGAATTTAATAATTATTTATTTGAATTCTTCTATGGTTTGAGCGTTTAGAATAAAAGAAAAAAATCCAATAGAATCAAGGGTCTATGAATATATAAATGATAATATTCAAATTAGTAGGAATGATCATACAATGTGTTCAAAAATGAGATAATATTTTGATGAACATGATTTAAAAATTATCTATAAATATATAATTAACTATAAATCTAAACCAATAAAAAATATGAATCTGAATATAAGAAAATTTTAACAAGTTACATTCTAACATTGATTAAGGCGATATAATTAGAAATAATATTCTTGGGATTTCCAATAGGATATCTAAAAAAAAAGAAATGAGAAGATTTAATAATATGATGGAAGCACTAAAATAATAAAATAATTGATGAAATTGTATGACCAAAACTGATTTTAATAATTCTGTTTAAAAATTTAACATAAACTATTCAGAAACAAGGACATCAATTCAATTTTATTTGGCAATAGTTATTATGTAAATTAGTTTGTTTTACTTTGAAATGTAAAATTAATCATGCAAAATTAATTAATAAGAGAAATAGATAGAGGTCTCTCTGAATATATTTCGACAATCTTATTTTCCAAATACTTTGATACTGTTCATGATGGTGAAGTCAGCATCTACTCATTGAATGTATTAATTACCTTAAGTATTCTGTTCCTTTTTTGATAAAAAGGTTAAAAAATTGATTATTTATAGAATGAATAAAACTAATGCCCAAAGTGTTAAATTATTTGTTTTATTAAATTTATATTATCATTTAATGCTGGTATATAATTATTGTTGGTTTTTAATTAGAATATTAAAATTTACCTAGAAAATTTATGAATATAAATATTAAAATCAACAAAATGTTAATGTTAAAAAAAAGTTGTAATTAAGTAAAAATTACCTCATTTCTTTCTGAATATTTTTTAGATCTCCAAATTTTGGATTTCATTCGTTTTATTAAAACATCATTTTTATTTAAATATCCTATTAATTAAAATGGCTCATGTAATTTCCTTTCTAAAAATACTTTTTTTAAAATCGATAATATACGAGAATTGTATAACAGACAATATGGCTGATTGTAGATATACAGACTTTTCAATTGTTGGAATAAATAGTGCCACTTTAGAAAGGTGTGGCTCATAACCTTAAAATTTATTTATGGGACCTTTTGGATTTTAAACAAGTGTGACCAAGGCATTTACAAATATTCCTCCAAATAAAGAATTGGAATTTTCAGTAAATATTTGGAAATTTGACTCTTGGGATTCAGAAGGATTTGAGATCTATGCAAATAATGTATTAATAAAAAATTTGATTTTGGGAAATGAGGCTGGTACTTAGATATGCAGAAACAATATATTTTCAGATTTTCTTTACACATTTTCATAAAAAATGATATTAACAGGAACTGATTTAACCATTAAGTTAAAAGACAATTTAAATTCTGCTAGTTATTATGAAGATCTTTTGGATGGTATAAATTGAACTATTTTTAGAATCTTGGGGATTTAGAGACTTTATTTTGAGACTTTCTGTTCCTTGTGTTAATTTTTATGATGAATGTAACTATACTGGAACATTATTTTAAATATGTTAAGGAGAGTAGTCAAAATTACAAAATTACATTCCTTTTGAAATTAAATCAATCCTTATGGGTCCTGGTATCATTGTTAAATTAAAAGACAAAAACTATTTTGCAGGAGTATTATAAGAGTTCACTACTTCCTAATCTTGTTTGAATGGTTATAAGGTATTTAATTAACTATTTTCAGTTTCCAAAGGTTCTCTATTCAGAATGAAACTTAATTAAAAGATTTGCTACTAAAATCAATTAGATCTTAACAAAATTTATTTTTTTGTAATATGTATTTAATTTCAAAGATGTCTGCCTACAAATTTTTGAAGTTCTTATTAGATCATACAAATTCTCCTACACGTATATCAATTCAAAAATAAATAAACTTTATTAAAAATAATAGTATAATATGTTAATTTTTTAATCATTTTTTGATCAAAACTAATTTAACATCTTTAATGATTAAATTAAATTAAATATTATTAATAATGAATATAATTCTAAAAGTCGATATCATATTTGCTTGTAAAAGTTACTTAATATAATCTCTGAAATAATTAGATTATCTTTCGTCATCATTTACTAGAATCCCAGACAGCATTATGAATGTTAATAAGAAAGTTACTATTATTGTCTTGGTTTCTTTAATAGAAATAAGCTATCGAGCTTTTAACCGTTAAAATTTGTTCCTAGATATATCAAGTTAATATTTTAGAGGCTATTTCAAATACCTAAAGACTAAATATTTTAGCTTTTAGGTTTTGGAAGGTGCAAAAATTAACACCTATCATTCTTTGAAGTATGGTTTACTTAACTTTTCTACTAACGAATATAAATCCTTAACTCAAAAACTGTTAATGCCAATAAATATACCTCAAATTCTATTTCAACTTTCATTTTTAAATATTTACAAAATTAATTTTAACACTTTTTAACATCACCCTTTGAATTAATGATCAAAAAGTATTAATACATAAAAATTATTATAATGTATTACATTATTTTTATTCATTTTCTGTTATTCTCCTGTTAATCATTGATTTTTCTGTTTTAATATTGAATTCTATATTTTTCCTCTACTATTGATAATATTTAATAGGCAATTCTTCTTCCAAAAATAAAGAAAGGGAAATTAGAAAAAATTGTTTTGAGTTTGATTTTTACTATTTACTACCTACTTTTGCCACTTAGTGATAATACTTATTTTCTAATTATTTTATAGATATATTTATATTATATATATTAGTGTAGATGCATTTATAATACTTAAAATGCCCTTTTTGTCAATTACACATAGGAGAAGCCAAAACTAGAGCAAAAACAAAAATAAGAGAAAGAGAAGAGGCTGGTGTAAGACTTCTTAAATAATTCATTCTTCTAGTCGATAAAGTTAATAGAAAATATTATTTATATTATTCATCGAGTAATAATCTTGATCATTTAAATGAGTACAATTTCACTCCCTTATAGATTTGAAATAAGTAGCTAAATATGTTGGGTTCCTCTGAGCGTTTTGAATATTATATGTAATTAGAAAAATTGATGAAGAGATTATCAATTATTTAGGTAGAAATAAAAGGAGGACTGAGTATAAAAATAATGAAGAGTTGAAATGAAAAAAGAAAAAATTAATGAATGATGTAAAATAAGAATGGCTTGTATCGAGTATTGTACTATGTAAAATTGAGGAGGTCATAGAAGTATGAATCAAATTATTTTAGCCAAATGAGAAGATCGGTGTTATGTTTTCCATAAATAAATTATAAACCTACAATTAGAAAGCTAATTATTAAATATTCTTTTTATTTTTTCTTAAATAATAATCTTATTTTTAACATATATATCACCTGTTTTTTATATTATTTGGCTATCTACTAACAATAAAACAACAAAAATTGGATTAAAGAAAATGCACAAAATTTGTGATATTTTTAGTTTATGTTAAATCCTTATATTACTAATTAAAAATTTTATCTTAGCAATAGAAAAATAAAGCATTCAAAATTTATTACTAATATAACTATTTATTTTAAATGTAAACTTCTAAGAATCTGAATTCGAATTATTAGTCTAAAAGTATTACAATAGTTTCATTATTTGTCTTTTAATTCAATTACTTTTAAATAGATAGGCAATATCACAAAAATACATACTTTGTATAGTAATAGAGACTCTAACTCTTAATTTTAAAAGTATATCTCTTTTTGGATGTGGATTTAAGATAATTTATCAATTAAGTTCTATAATGTCTCAATTAAACCCAATTTTTTTCATACTTATTTTCTCAAATTTTAATTAAATTTCTATGACATATTATTGAAATAATTTATGGGGTTTTTAAATTAAAAAAAATCTTACCCAATCCTCAGGTTACCAACCTGGTAAAAAATGTAATTATAGGAATAGCAAAGTATTAAACTGTAAGATTTTATCGGAAAGTCTAAGATTTTTGTTGATAAATAATTAAATTATTATTCTCCTTAAGAAACAAATTTACTTTAAGGAACTAATACTTAACAAAATAAGAAATTATTTTATTATTTAATAATATATATTATAACATAAGTATTAATAAAAATTATAAAATCATATAAACTAAAAGTCACTCTATTAATTATGATTACACTAGCAAATATATTAGTAAAATGTATTTTTTAAATTATTCAACAATTAAGTCATAGAATTGAACATTGCTTTCTTTTTCAAAGCAACCAAATTTATCTATATTCCAAACTATTTCTGATTTTTAAATTTACCTATTTAAAATATTATAGAGAATCAAATATTAGTAACAGATTCGCAAATACCGAAATAAATAACTCTAATTTGATAATTTATAAAAGATTAAAGTATTTTATTTAACTCATTGATTAAATTGATTTTTTAATTGGTGTTGTTTTTTAATTGATTCATTAATAAAATTATTTTAACTATTTTTAATTATATTATTATATAAGGGTTTTAGTGTTAAAAATAAGAGTTAGTTTTTTTTTTCACTTTATGTGATTAAATTCCACATTTAGTTTTATCTTAGGTGATCGAGTAAATAAATTAACGCAAAACGGGTGTAAAAAAATATTTTTAGATTATACGATTTTACACTAATGTATATTTGATGAAATTCTTATCTTATTTATTTAAAGCAAACTTGTATGCTGTATTAATTTTGATGTCAAAAGAAGTATTAGTTAATAAACATTCCTTGGAAAAAAAAGTTTAGTTTCTTTTTATTTAAATAATTTTACTTTTTTTATATGTATAAACACTCAATCCAATCACAATAAATTTTAATATTTAATTAAATGTTAGAAGTCAAAATGATAGAAAGTCTAACAGACTTTTGTTGTTAAAACAAACATGACGAACCAATTCATTTGGTTGTGCTTGATCCAAAGCTAGACAAGAAACAAAGACTTTTGTGCAATAAATGCATGGAAAGCTTCTAATCAGATGCAAAGACTATAGGATTTAAAAAAGTAATTTAGATTATTGAGGAAATTATTGATAAAAATATGAATAACTTAGAAAATATTACATAGAAAACAATTCAATAATTATAAATTTGTATAAAAAGTTTAGAAGGATTAAAGACATAATTTATCAATTTATTTGATTCTATAATTAGTATATCTGAAAATTGGACTCAAAATTTGTTGACATAAAGATAGTAATACAATTAATACAGTTTTTATGATGAATTAGATTCGTTTATTAAGAACTAGAATACTAATTATGTTTCAAATATGACTCTTATCAATAATATAAATAAATCTTGGATGACTAAACTATCTTAGACCTTAAATTAATTTATTCAAGATTAAAATAAAGTTAACTTTGAAGATATAAAGGAAAAATTTCTAAACATCATTTATTCAAATTTGCCACAAAAAGGTTAAATCAAATTAAAATTAATTGGTGAATCTGTCAAGTAAAGTGTGAGATGTAACGATATAGTTTTTGATTCTTCTGGGTCAATTATGTTATCAACTGAATAGAATAATATTAAAGTATGGAAGTTTTTAAATGGAACCATCACATTTATAAATAATTTAATAGGACATACTGATTGGATTCAATGTTTAGTTTATAGTAAGAAATAGAATTCTTTTATTTCAGGTTCTGGAGACACAACAATAAGATGCTGGAAATAGATAGATTAAACTAATTGGATTAGTTCGTAACCTTATTAAGAACATACACGTTTTGTCAGATGTATTATATTAAATTCAAATGAGGATATTTTATTTTCTGGTAGTGATGATGAATCAATTAAAGTATGGAATGTTGATTTTAAATAAAATAAATTGACTTACATGTATTCATTAGATAAACATGATAGTTATGTTATGGCATTAAGTTTAAATTAATCAGAAACATAATTAGTATCATGTGCATATGCTAAGAATTAGATTATAATTTGGGAAAGAGAAGAATAAGATAAGTTTGAATTCAAATATGTTGTTAAATAGTCAATTTAAGAATACGGGCTTAAGATTAAATTTATTAAAGAGAATTAATTTATTTGGATAACTGGTGGTAAGGAAATAGACAAGCTCTATATATTTGAATTAAAAGAAGGAATGTTTTAAGAAAATTAAAAGAAGACAATTCAATTAAATAAAAATAATTAGATATCTGATGAATATCATTTTCCAATAGTTTACAATAAGGAAAAGAATTTAATAGTACTCAGACATAAAGCTTATATTTATTTTATTAAAGAAATAATAAATGGGATTTTCACAATAGTTCATTAATTTAATTGTGATACAAATCAAATTTTTGGAACTTTTACAAATAAAGGATAATATTTGGTTTATTGGGATGAAAAAAATTAAGGATATTCGGTATATGAATTATTAAATAAATGAATAATTATGATACAATTTATTTATAATTTCTTTATTAAAAGTGTAAGATATTTGAGGAAACAATATTTGATAAATTAATATTATTCTTGTTATTTTTATAATTTATATTATTATAAAATATATATTTAATTTCTTTTAAATTAATCAATTATAAGTAACATAAATTACTACTTCAGAAATACTCGAAATTATATTTATCAATAGAAAACACTAGATTGGGCAGTTACTTTATTGTTCTATTAAAATACTCCAAGAATTTATTAAGCTAGTCTTTTAATTTGCTTATACTTCTTAAAAAGAAACTTCCACTATTAAAAGCCGTCAATCCCTAATTGAATGCATAATATAGATGACATAAAAAATATGCAACCCCAACCAAAATATTATCTGATCTCATATGAAAAATATAATAATTCAAAATCACATGTAAGAATTGTAATACTCAATAATGTAAAAGAGATGCTAACTTCACTAAATAACTATTTAAAATACTCCAATTTATCTTCTAATGGATTAAATAAGATGTAAAATAGACTCATCGAGGTTGATAGAAGTGTAATACTGACAGTTTAAAAAATTGGAAATTCATATGCGAAAATTAATAATAACATAAAGATAAGTTTTTTAATTAGAAGAATAGCATTAAGATATTTGGAAAATTCAGTAATCTTAATTCCATCAAAAATAGATCCATACTTAGTTTAGATAACATTATTATTAAAAGCATATTTCTTCATTTAAGATAGTTTGATTACAAAATATATGCTAAAAACATATAGTGCACTTGCTACACAAGCTAATAATGAACTTAATCTGATAAACATATTTGGTGAGTTAATTTCTAAGGCATACAATTACAATACTAAGCTGAAAGTAAAATCATATGCAGTGGCCATATGAGCTCGTAAGATTCCACTATAAAAGAATTCTGAAATAATAGTAAAGCACAATCTATTTATAATATATTTAATAGTTAAATAGTATACTCCAACTTAGACACGCCAAGAATTTTCTGATTAAATCTCAGAATAAAATTTAAACTTAAATGAATATAGAATTTTAGGTATCACTTTTGCAATTGCATAGATACTAAATAGAGAGATCCAAACTGTAGTAATTGTTGCAGAATTAATAATAAATAGTGATGTTATCTCATCACTTGCAACTTTAGTGGGTATCTTCTTTTAATGTTGCATATTCAGCATTTAATCAATATATCCTGAAAAATCAAAAATCTTTTAGATAAAGTTAAATTAAGCAAATCCAAAAAGTTCAAAGTATGCTTATAAATTATATGGTAGTTGTGTGTTAATGTATTTCAAATATGATAGCATTTAGAGAGTATCCAACAAATTAAAAAAAACTTCAACTCCTCCAAATAACACTGATCCTCCGCACATTGCCCCAATAAAATATAGCATATAAGAATTACTCTTCGTTGTTAATTGCACTTGAGCAATGGTGACATCATCTATGTATATCACTTTTGGTATAAGGCAAAAGACTTCAGTTTCAATTTAGGAGTATCCTTCATTTGATTAAATAACTGAGTTGTTTAAGAATTTGATCAAGAGGATTTCATCTTGTGAACTTCTCAAGAAAGTGATATTTATCATCAAAATTAACTCAGTTGAATTAAACTCATTAATTTATGAAGTATCTTGATTGAGTTTAATGGACTAATCCATTTATGTAGTTTCAATATTGTTTTTTATATGAAAAGTCAGATAATCTTTAATTTGAAAGCCATCAGTTATAACAATTTGAGTGGTGAAAGATAATTTAAATATTCTTATAGCAGAGTAAATCTAAGAAGTCCCTACACTCTATAATTATGGTTTTGGATAATTTGGTACGATACTTACTCCATTCAGAAATATGTACTTATTTTCTGATTTACATTAATCATCACACCCATCACCTTTAATAAGATTTCCATCATCACATTCCTCTTCGTTTACTTTAATATAATCTCCACATTTATTTAAACAAGTTCCATTTATCTCGTCTGCATAATATCCTGATTAACAGAGCTAACATTTTTAATTCTTCTATTATGGAAACTTACAACTTATACAATTATTAGCTTAATCCATACATTCCAAACAATTGATTGAGCATTCAACACAATCATTTTTATCTAAAAAATAGCCAACTTTGCATTATATACATTAAGATTTTTTTGTTAAAGGATTCACTTAGCATTTAATGCAATTAGTTGAACATTAGAAACAAATGGATTATTGTAGTATTTCATTAGAACAAGAGTAGTTATGATCAATTTTACAATTAGAACAACCATCTCTATTTACATAATTTCCATCATCACATTCTTCTCCATATGTCCAAATTAAATCTTTACAATCTTAATATTTGCAACTTTCTTAAGATTTCCCCAATTAATTTAAACATGAAATACATACTCCATCTTCGCTTTCAAAATAATTTTCAATACACACACATTTTTTATTGTTTAAAATTCTATTTAGTCTTTTATCACAACTTATACAATGAAATTAATTTTCAATGCAATTAAGGCAAGATTAATAACATTAAGAACAACTATTTTAATTCCAGAAGTATCCTGGACTGCAATTGCATTGAAAATTCAAATCTAAATGTAAATTAGATAGCATAACACATTCTTAACATAGAGTTTTACTTAAACATTTTTTACATGGGTATTCACATCTCTAACATTGATTTTACTATTCATAATATCCAACTTTACATATACATTAATTTTAAGGATTAATTTCGTAATTAGATCTACAAGTAAGACATTTTTCAGATAATTCATTACAAGTTAAACAATTTTGATTGCATTACTCACATTTCTACTCCAGTTGAAAATAGCCATCTAAACATATATCACAATTAAATTAATTTCCACATAACTTACAATAAGGAAGACATTTTTCACATAAACTCAATTCATTTAGAAAGTATCCATCTTAACAGATTTGGCAATTGATTTGATTTTAACAAATATCACAGTGATCAATACATTTAAAACATCTACTAATGGAGGTTAAATAGTATCCCTTCATACAATTAATACAATTATCGAATCCTTAACAATCTATACAATATTAATCACAACAAAAGTCTCCTTTTTTCACAAATCCTTCTTTACATAGGCATTAATAATCTTTGACAATTTAATTAAGATCCACACATGTCAAACATTTATTAATAGCATCAATACAAGTAGAACATGGATTTTAACATTGAATACATAAAATACCTTATTAGAAATATCCAGGTTTACAAACACATTATTTATCGGAATCTAAGATTTGATTAATATCTATGCAATTAATACACCCATTAGAATCACATTCAAAACAAGGTTCTTAACATTTTGCACATGTGAGTAGAGTATTAGAATAATAAGTAGATTAGCAAACACATTAGGATAAATCATTAAGTTAATGATGAGGATCAATGCATGTCGAGCATTTAGTGGTAGATATATCACAAGTTTAACATGGTTCTATACAAGGCATGCAGAAGTAATTATCATCAAATATCCATCCAGAATCACATTCACAAGAGTCAGGTTATTAATGTAATTGATCTTAACAGATGATACATTTATCTATTGTATCTACACAATCTAAACATGGCAATTAACATTTGATGCATGTGATACCATCAGTATTTAAAATCCAACCTGACTTGCATTCGCAAAAGTTTGAATTAGTTAAAATTTAATTACTATCAACACATGATAGACAGTGATTCTCATTCTATTCACAAGTTTAACATGGACTGATGCATTGCTAACATGTTTGAGAATCAACCTAAAAATAGTTGGATTAGCATTCACATTTATTTGGTATATTCTAACTTAATGTAAAAGTGGAGATGCATTCAGTACAATCTTCATCAGTATTTTCACACTTTGAACATGGTGGTGTGCAAAGCTAACATTAGTTTGATCCATCAATATAATATCCATCATTGCAAACACATAAAAAATTGATTGCTGTTTTATGTATGTCAATACATGAAGTACAATCATTTGAATTGTTGACACAAGCCGAACATGGAGATGTGCAAGGAAGACATTATGAATTTGAAAGGTATTTGCCAACATCACATGACGTACAAGTACTACTAGTACCTGAACATGTCTTACAATTCGTATCACAAATTGAGCAAGTAGTTCCAATGATAAAATAGTGATCTTCACAAGTTTAACATACAGAGTTAGATGTGCAAGTAGCACACTAAGCAGGACAAGCTTAACAATTTGAACCAGATTTAAAAAATTTAGGAAAGCAAGTTGAGCAAATTTTTTATAATATTATGTTTAGACTACAAACTTTGCATCCATTTTAACAAGCATTGCATGAAATAATTAAAGAATAAAAGCCTGGCTTACATTCGTCACATTTTGATGCATCGGGGCAACTTACACAATTAGATATACAATCTACACATTAACCATTAACTTCAACTTATCCTTAATTACAACTCCAAGTTACTAAAATAGTTTAACGTGTCTTTACATAAACAGTTCATTAAAATAAGGTAGATTCTAAATATTTTGTCGGACATTAAAAAAATAAATAATATATTAGAAATTGATGATGCAATAAGAGTTTAATGGATAAGTTTATAAGAAATTTATTACAATTAATTATTAACCATAAACTTAAATTAATTTTCACTTGTTGGTTTCTACACTTTTGTATTGAGTATTTGTATTATCAATATATTGTTTAATATTAACCTCATGCATATAGAATTTGTAAGAAATTATTATTATCGTCATAAGCTTTCCAATAGCTTGTACTAGTTATATTTAACAAAATAACTATAAGATAATAATATATTTCATATAAACGTTAAATATTAAAATTCAAATATTTGTTTATAAATATGAATTGATTTGCTATTTTATTAAATTATTTCAAGCAAGTCATTTTTCAATTCTTAAATGTATTTACAAATTTTGTGATTAGTTTAGATTATTAATAATTATTAATTAATCTTCAACACCTTTTATAAACTTTATTATATGGTGTTTTTGATAATTATTGTTTTTATTTTCTTGAGATAATTTTTATATTTATCATAATATTTTTTACGCTATTTCTAAACTTAAATTATATTTTTTATTTCTAAAGAAACAATTAAAAATTTCAATCTTTGTCTAATTAGTTCTAAGGCTAACAGATATCAGAACTCATCAACAGAAGTAATCTATCTTAGCTAACAAATGTGAAAACTTTAGAAATGAACTCAAAGCAAAGTATAGGATGAAATTAAGGAATATTGAAATCACAGAAGGTTTAAAAAATAACAATTTGTATCTACACCTATCATCTGAATAGATAATTTGTTACTAAATAACTTCCCACTATTATTTTATCTATATAATAACCCTTTTTAGAATATCATACTAAATTTAAAAAATATAATTACTTGATTAATTAGTACTAAGACATAAAGACAAAAAATAAACGAATAAGAAGAGAGCTATTAAACTCCATTTAGGATTTAAACAGGATTGTATGTATCTTAATAGTATTCTATTCTGAGACTCTATAATTTGAATATTTATAATACTTATTTTGAGAAAAAACTTGTCTGAGTTCGATATAAAAATTATTTGTAAACTGTCATTTGCATTTAATTTGAATTAAAAAATGATATACTATAACATATTTAGAACTTGCCTAACAAATTCACTTATTATCCCTCTTTTTAATTGTTTTATGTCTATAAATCTATAATACCAAATATGAGGATTATGCCATAAGTAAATTTAAGATCTATCTCCCTCCCTTATCTCTTATTCGTATTAAAAATTGCTAAAAAATATAAAATAATTCAATTCTGAAATTTTAACTCATAATTATTTAGATAATATTTTTATTTTTTTTTATACTTTATTGAAACTTTTTATTTTAAAATAATGAAAAGAAAAAAGGAATATTTAGTTCATGAAATCAATATCCAATTCTCCTGTTAAATTATATTCAACAGCAATTAATCATTGAAATCCCCTCAATTATTTCTCAACGCTATTATGTAATATTTTCTTTTCATCTTAAATATTGATTTAATGATCGCAAGTAACTATTTTTATTTAATTAATTGTAAAGAGATAAATTTATAAACTTGATATTATTATTATACTTTTGATATACTTAAAAAGCTACTTCTTATCAAAATTTATTTTTTTTAAAATACCTCTCTAAAATTTCCAGCCTGGTATCCTTGAATTAAATATGTTTTTATAAATGAAATTATTAATAAGAGATGAATTGAAAATATCGATGAAAGATATTAAATAAGTTTATAAAAATATACTAAAAGATTAATAGATTGATTCCTAACTAATTTTATTATTAATGTAATTTTAAGAATTTGATGATTATTTGATATATTCTTTATTAAACTAAGAATTTTATAATGATGATCTTTATATAAAATTAATCTAATAACACATAAACAAGGATAGATTAAAATAAAATTAACTTTACTCTAAAATTAAAAAATAGTAAATTCTCCTATTTAAATGGAATTTCAAACTTAGAATTTATGAAAGTTTCTAATATTTTTTATTATAATAAATATATACATACTTAAAATTTTAAGGATTAAATTTATTAGATATTAAAATTGAGCTACTCTTTTTTCATAATAGATTGTACTAAATTCTTACTATTAGAAGCATTTTCATAATAATTGCATTTTTATCAATAATTTATAGTCTCCATTTAAAATAAAAAAATGAAAAAATCTATCAAGCTCTCATTCTTGTATTAAGAATTTTTGGAGAAGTTTTAGTCTAGAGTTTGTTATTCGAGTCGATTTAGCTAGAAACTATTTTTATTTAGGGCATGTTTGATGGCTTTTTAAGTCCTGATTATTCGACCCTAAAGGCACCAAGCCCTATGAATCTGCATAGGATATCACCACCAGAATTATTTTGGATAATATAATAATCCCTACAACATTTAAAGCTGTTTGTCTGGTTGAAGGGTTAACACCATAATTAAAAATCAACTGACAAATTTTGGAACAATTTCTTTATATCTACCTGTTCCCTGAATAAAGCACATAACAAAGTAAATATAGGAATATCAGCAAACGATGCTTGCTCATACATTAAATAATAAGACCTTCAATTTAGTTTATTGTAAGAAATGATTTAATTGTATTAAAATTAGCTTAAAAAGATAGCGAAGGAGAAGAATAAAGAAATATCATTCTAAAAATGAATTAAAATGATCAATGCTAATGATTTTTTTTAACATATGTTATTCCTTTAAATTGATTAAATGATAATAATAATTTTCTGTAAGGCAAGTTTTTAATCCAGAAAATATATTTTCTAGATCACCAAAATACTTTATTTTTTATATGAGTTTTTATATATGGTAATTCTTTTCAAATGTGTTACTTTTTTTTACTCTCTATTTTATTAATTCTTCTGATTTATGTCTTATAGCTTCTATTCTAAATTTTCAACTTATTTTTAAAGCTCAGAACATTCTTATTCTAGTTAGTTTATTTTAAATCTTTCTTCAGCCTAGATATTTTATAAGTATGTTCTTCTTCTGATAAAAACTTTTATATTCCAAAAGCAATACTTGACACATGTTTAATATTTTTAAATCACCATTCGAACTTAGGTGAGTACTGTCACTCGTATAAAACCTCTCTCTCCATAGTTTATTTTTATTTAAAGTATTAAGTCATCAAAATATTCTCTTAATAACTCCTCCCTTATAGGACATAAGAAGCTTTATTATAGCGATTGATCTAATTTATCAAATAATTCTTGCATATTTTATTTAGTAGTAGGTACATGAGAAACACAATAAGTTTGCAATTAATTATCCTAATGATTAAAATACTTCATGACTATATTTCGCAAGACTTGAAGCTGGCAATATGTTGTTTAATATTTATATTAAAAATGAAAGTAATCAATCCCAAACTTATTGTAATTAAAAAATATAAATTTATGAAATTCTAATATAAACTACCAAATAATATTAAAAAATAAAAGATGATGATTATTTCAAAAAAGGATTTACCTATAAAGGTAATTCCATAAATTTATATCATTAATTAATTAATAATTATATTAGTCACCTTAATCATCAATTTACTTTATATATAACAAATAAGCATCAATTCAACTTAATAAATGACATCACGCATAGTAACTTTATCTCTTGTTAAATTTTCATGAATGGGTGAATCTAATTATACTGTTTTAGATCTTTTCGATTTTTTAAGAGTTATTACTACAACTGATACTATCTCATTTATTGATTATATATCCATACCTGTCTGATCATTTTTTTCTTCTCTTTTCAATAAAACATCTTCTCCTTTCCAAACTACTTTAGTTTCTTTAATTCTTAGACCAATAGTACTTCTGAAATTCTCCATAATTATTTCTGTCTTTTTCACCTCAGCTGAATAAATTTCCTGCCTTTTCATAAATTTGTTGCTTTAAATACCTTTCTTTCTATTTATGATCCTACCATACAAGATGCATTTTCAAATGCAGTTCTATCTTTCTACAATCCTAATCCTTTGATCTCACTAAGGTGTGCAATTCTTAAGGTTTTGCCTGTTTATTTCAATTCTTCTAATCTATAATAATACAGAAATTATATATATTCATAAAGTGGTTAATAATTAATTTATTCATTAGTTAATCAATAAAGATTAATCTATTTTGTAATTATTCTAGATACGCATTTAATTTGATATGAAAGCATGTTCAAATGTTTATTAATCAAAATAAGTATCATTTTCATCACTTATTTTTTTGAAAGTTTAAAATTCTGTATCAATTGAATTATTTATTAACAAAATATTCTATTTATATTTATAAACTCTCTATTAGACACTTTCAATTGTTTATCTGGCTTATAAAACTATAATTATTATTTAATTTACTTGCATTTAATGCATTATCGGCTTTTATAAAATGGCAAAATTATTTGTATGACATTGTTTCATCATTATACAAAGAACTTAAATTAAGTAATAATCTTATATCTATTATTGGTTTCTTTAAACATTTGAAATTCTTTTTTAGAGATAAAATTGTTATTTCTTTGATATTTTAATGATCTGAAAAAGAATTAATTTTTGGACTGCTCTATTTTTTTTCTTAACAACTTGAATTATGGCTTTTTTGCCTTTTTGAGATGATCTGAAGGATAATATTCCTCTTGATCTAAAAACTAACACTTGTCCTATCAACAAACACACATTCACATTTAATTTCTTATGCAATATATTTATCCTATATTCCAATAATTTTACCTTATTTATATATGTCTTCTAAATACTCCTTCACATAATTCATCCAGGAGGTCTTTAATATTTTTAGTTCTAATATAGCAAATTGAATAAGTTATTATTTTTGGGTGTATCTACTTATGTATAAAGTGTATCCTACAAAGTAAGAAGAAATTTCTTTTATATTGTTTAATTTGCATTTTATTTTTTTTATTGGACTGCTTTCAGATTTCCTAAATTTACAATCATTACACAATTGCAATCATTCTTTGTTAATAATTATTATTACCTCCAAAAATTAAGTTTAACATAATTTGTATACATTTTCTTATGAATATTGTGAAGACAATTATAGAGGCATTCTCATTATCAAGAGTCAAATACTTTGTCTTATAGTAGAACCCAATAATTAAAGCTGATTATCTTTACTCTAAAGAAACTAAAATACCTAAGATTAGTTTCTTCCAATTTTATTATCAAAATCTTAATAAACATAAGATCATAACAAAATTATTTTCTTTTTTATTAAATTTTTTCATATTATTTTAGATAGTCTTTACTTCTAAATGGAAGTATTATTAAACAATAATAATCTCTTTAAATTTTACTATGGTGATATTTGCTAAATAATGGTTGATATTTTGTTCAACTGGATTAGGAAAAATGGTCTTATTAAAGTAATTCAGAGTGTAAGAAGAGTTAAAATTTTTATTGCAAAATTTCTTTTATAATACCAAATATTATAAGGAAAATTTATTTATTTAAAAATTCAATATAATAATTTGAATTTATTATTGAATGAATCAAATAAAATTGCCAGCCTTTATTTAGGAACTCACCATAAACCTAGAGTAGCTTTTAAAAAAGCACCTGCTAACAGATAAAAAATATAAAGATTAATCAATTCAAGTTCCAGAATTAGAAGAATATGATGAGCCTTTAAAATTAATTAAAAATAACAGGTAAGATCTTGGGAATTAAATATATAGCACTAAAATTAAAATTAATGTTAATGTTAACAATAAGGGGAATAACAATTGTTGGGAAAGAAATTAAATTGAATAATCATTTTAATAAGAATAGAGTATATAGGAGAAATAATTTAATGAAGTAAGTTTTGTTGAACAAATTTAGAAATAAGTTTAATAATAATAGTAAGATTAGAATTAAGAGGATTATAATGAAGAATAATTAAATAAAAATTCTGATGAATAATAATAATAATAATAATAATAATAATAATAATAATAATAATAATAATAAGTCTAAAAAAAACAACATAATTAAGACAAAACAAGATCACATAAATTATCTTTGTCTGAATCAGAATCATCAAATAATATTGTAGAATATACACTAGATACATAAAGAAAAGCCATCAAGATATAACTTATAATTATACAAGTGAATATTTATTGTATATATTATTATTAATTTAATTCTTTAAATTATGTTGAATGTTAAAGTACTTGTATTAAATGTACACGAGCTGGTAACAATTATTAAGATTGTTATGAAGGTTACTATGTATATAGAGCCAATTTTACATAATTTCGAAAATAATATGCATATTAAAATGTGCAGGTGATCCAGAAAATTCAACCTTTAAATGGTAATTCAAATAAAGCTTTTTAAAATACTCTAATTGTAGTATTTTGACCTAGAGAATGACTATGTTATATGTACACTATGTTTAGGTAATTATGCAACTTGAGTTATTTCTAGCACTAATCGTGTTTTTTTGTACATTAGGAAATTTTGGTAAACCCAATCCCTCAATCTAATGTATTAATTAATTAATGTTAAAGCCCATATCATGCATGTGTGCTTTCTTAGCTGATTTATATATTGTAATTAATGTTCTGAACTATGTACATTTTAATCCAACTCCTTATANTTAATGTTAACAATAAGGGGAATAACAATTGTTGGGAAAGAAATTAAATTGAATAATCATTTTAATAAGAATAGAGTATATAGGAGAAATAATTTAATGAAGTAAGTTTTGTTGAACAAATTTAGAAATAAGTTTAATAATAATAGTAAGATTAGAATTAAGAGGATTATAATGAAGAATAATTAAATAAAAATTCTGATGAATAATAATAATAATAATAATAATAATAATAATAATAATAATAATAATAATAAGTCTAAAAAAAACAACATAATTAAGACAAAACAAGATCACATAAATTATCTTTGTCTGAATCAGAATCATCAAATAATATTGTAGAATATACACTAGATACATAAAGAAAAGCCATCAAGATATAACTTATAATTATACAAGTGAATATTTATTGTATATATTATTATTAATTTAATTCTTTAAATTATGTTGAATGTTAAAGTACTTGTATTAAATGTACACGAGCTGGTAACAATTATTAAGATTGTTATGAAGGTTACTATGTATATAGAGCCAATTTTACATAATTTCGAAAATAATATGCATATTAAAATGTGCAGGTGATCCAGAAAATTCAACCTTTAAATGGTAATTCAAATAAAGCTTTTTAAAATACTCTAATTGTAGTATTTTGACCTAGAGAATGACTATGTTATATGTACACTATGTTTAGGTAATTATGCAACTTGAGTTATTTCTAGCACTAATCGTGTTTTTTTGTACATTAGGAAATTTTGGTAAACCCAATCCCTCAATCTAATGTATTAATTAATTAATGTTAAAGCCCATATCATGCATGTGTGCTTTCTTAGCTGATTTATATATTGTAATTAATGTTCTGAACTATGTACATTTTAATCCAACTCCTTATACAGCCTGTTTAGTAGGATATTATTAAAATTGATCATAATATTAATTATTTTTTTAGTCTTATATTAAATGTTTAAGTTTATCAAATTACACTGCTTATGATTCTGCTGAATATGTTAATAATAATGTATTAGAAAAATAAAATTCTAATTGTTTAAAATATTAGATGGCTGATCATCACGTGTCAAGTGTCTTATTAATATGTATTTAAAAGTTAATAAGACATATGATAAATTTTTGTCACCTTGTATTACTTTTGGTCTTTCATTTCAATTATGTTACACCTCACTAATTAATTGTGCATAATATGATGATTGTTCAACATTGAATATCATGTATATCAGTTTGTAATATTTGTACAATGAATGGTATTTAAATTCAAATAATATTCATTATAATATTGATGCTATAAAATCACTCTAACTCCATCTCATCACCAAACCTTTAATTTTTTTTTTTTGAATATATCATTTAATCTATTATTAAGAATTCGAATTTTTTCACCTATATAATCTTAGTAGAATCTCAAAAGGGAAATTTAAGTGCTAGAAAAGCTACAATTTATAAAAATACATTGTATTAAAAATTATCATGAATTTATAAGTGATTAAAATTTCTTTAATCATCACATTAATATTCTTGCTATGCCATGTTAAATCTGTCAAGATACACTTTTTTAGGAATATATTTAATCTTAAGGACATTTCTTAACATTCTTTCTTTTTCACTTATGAGAAAGAATTAATTTTTATATTCACTCTATATTAGAACTTTAAAATCCCTTTTTTTATATAAATCTGCAACTAGTTAAAAAGTTACATTTGGATATAGGGATTTCAATCATCTCAAAACTGGTAGTATCTAGAATAGTATTAGGTACACACAAAATTATAACCAAATCTTTAGTTTCAAATAAAATATGTACTGAATATTCTATATGCTCAAGTGGCTCAGTTTGTCTCACTGATATTAAATCCGCATACTCTATTCAGATGAATGTTCAGAATTTTCAAATAATAATTTTCACCTCTGTATTGCATAAATTTAAGTTGTTTAGCACCTGCTGCATTGGAAGTTGGTTAATCAACTCATCAAGTATTCTAATTCATTAATGTATTATTCTATATTAAATAAAACTTTACTATTGGGATGGGTAAATTTGTAAACTTGTCAACCAATACAGGCAGTGTTAAAATTAGTACTCAATTTAGTCTTTAACTTGCAGTCTAAGATGAACATAGTTAAATGGGTAGCAAACCTTACTATAAATTTAGAACATGTGTGAATACGCTAAATGAATATTTGAGTTACTCATTAAATACTGAAACAAATACCTATATCAGATATGTTAATTTTATAAAAATGAATAGGATTTATATGTTAAACCATAGCAAGCGACTAAAAATGATTAATTATAAATAACAATTGAGATTGTTTAATATTTTTCTCCTTTATTTTTATAGAGAATATAAGGATTAATAAACATAGAATAAAAAAAACTGATTAAAAAGAGACTTAAGAGATCTTGTTTACAGCAATTATTATAAATTCACTCCTATTAAATTGATTACTCTGATTTTTTTGTATTTATTCCACCTATTGTCTTGATTCCATTAATTTATCAAAAAAAAATTATTTTTCTTATTCTTCTGATTCCTAATATGTATTGGAAATTAGAATAATTCTATATTTTTGGTCCTAAACCAAGTCTACTCGCGTCTTCTTTTTCCATACGACAATTATTCATTCAACATTGCAAATAGTCCACCCGATATTTTCTACATCTTTTTTCCATATTCTCATGTTTTTGGATATATTAATTTTATTATTTTGCTTCGTTATCACACTTATGAAAATGATCTAATGGTAATGGTCCCCTATCTTATTTAAATACTTTGAATTACCTGGTCTTTTTTGATGCATTCTACTTGCTTCTATTTGACATAATTAAAATTAAATCAATATTTATAAATATATAGCATCACAGATGATAAATTGTTCTAGATTTATCCTTTAAAAGTTTAAGTAATTAAAGATCAGCATTATGATCAAGCTTGTATTTCTGAGCATTTTTGATTAGATTATCATTTTTTTCATAACTCATGAAGAATGTAAGGCTCATTCTTCTTTATGTAAATCAGATGGTTAAGGTTGTATATTAGCTTCAACATCTTGTGTAGCATAAAATGGATATCTAGCTTTTTGTTAATGGGCATTAGATACTAATAATAAATCAACTTGTGCCAAAGGTACTTTAGCTACAATTGACGCCTCCTGTACAAAGTTAACTTGTGAATTGAATGTTACTGCAACTACTGATTCAGAATGCTCATCATTCCATCTTGATTGTTTGAATAAAGGTCTTGGTTGTATACATAAATCAGAAGTATGTTCCTCTTATTATAGTACAATAGAACTATGTTGGAAATTTACAAGTAATGGAGTGTAATGCTTTGGTGATTTTGGAAGTGTTAAAGCAGCTTGCAGAAATAGATCATGCACAGATTTGGCAACAGCTACTAGTGACAGCGAATGTGTAAATTTCTTAACTGGATGTCTATTCAATGGAGTTGGATGTGTTAGTAAAAGTGCAGCTTATAGTGCATCTAAGGGAACCTAATCAACTTGTTCAGGATTTAAGGGAAGTAATGGTACCAAGTATTGTTGGGGAGCTAGTACAACAGCTCCAGGAAATTGTGCAGATAGAAAATGCTCAGATAAAGTAGGCACAACAGATGCTGAATGTTAGACTTTCTTACCATCTATTGCTCCAGCAACTGCATAATTATGTATTACTGATGGTAAAACTTGCCTTGATACTGGAAAAGCATGTTCATTCTTTAAAGGAAATGATAAAACATGTTTATAATTCACAGCTTCTGATGGTCCATGTAAAGCAAGTTCAGTTTCAGCATCTCCTGTTACTTGTACTCCTAGAGTATGTTATGAAGCTCGAAACACATATACAAAAGATGATTAATGTTCCAAATATGATCCAAATTGTAAAGCAACTTGTAGAGGATGCAAGAGTAGTGTTGGATGTGAAGAATTAACATCCTAAACTTCATGTACAGCAAATACATCCATGGGCAGGATAATGTAGAAGTTTACCAACTACATTTGGTGGATTAACTACTTAAAGTCAAACAATTTGTGTGAATAATACATTGCCAACTTGAAAGAGATGTGCTTGGTTTATTGGTGCTTCTACCAGTGGTTGCAGAGCTTTCACATGCACAGATTATGATGGATCTATTTCAACTTTAAAAGATTGTTAAGATAAAAACCACATGTATTACTAGTGGAACTGGTTGTATAACTCTAGGACTATGTTCATCATATAGATCAAATCTGTTTGTGAATCTGCTAATTCAGATGAATTATCTTTAAGATGTACATGGAATTCTACAACAGCAGCTTGTAGATAAAGATAATGTGCAGATGGAGTATTTACTACTGATGATGCATGTAATATTTGGTTTGCTGGATGTAAAACCTCAGAAAGTGCTTGTTTTAGACCAAACTTTGGATGTGATGTATTTAATGGCAATCCTAAAATCTGTTTAAAGAACAGTGCTGGAAATCCATGTTTATATTTTGATGGTGTTTGCTACGATTAAGACAATTGCACAGATATTAATTCTTCAACATATACATTTTGCTAAGCCTTCTCTAAATAATGTGTTCCAACAACTACAACTTGTAGAGCTATTATTACTTTGTGTGATAAATATGAAGATATCTTTTCATGTACAATAGGTATTAATAATACTCAATGTGGATGGTTACCAGAAAGCACATGTAAAGAATATACAGCATGTAGTGATGCATAAGGTGCTACATTATCAGCATGTACTAGTTGGGATCCAACTTGTGTTTCAGATGGAACCAAATGTATTGATAAAGGAACTTGTTCTTCATATTTAACCCCTTCAGCTTGTGATAATGAAGGTACTGATGGACTTTGTTAGTGGACCAGAACAGCCTGTAGATTGAGAGAATGTACTATGTAGCTACAACTGATGCTGAATGTGTTGCTTATGTTGTTAAGAGTGGAGTATGGACAACTGATGGAGCTAAATTTTTCCTTAGAGCTACATATAGTTCTTATCAAAGTGGAGCAGCTTGCACAATAGGTTCAGATGAAATTCCTTGTGTGTTTGATTTACCAGTTGGAGCAACCACTGGAACTAAATCATGCAGACCTAAGGAATGTTCAGATATCAAAGGAACTACTAATGATGCTTGTGTTGGAATAATTCCTAAAAAGCTTGTGTTTCTAATGGAACTGTTTGTGTTAAATAAGATATATATGCCAATTATAAGAATTAAATTATCATGTAAAGTAGGAGGTTCTGATGGTAAATGTGCATTCAATCTAGCACCAACAGCTACAGATCCAAATAATGGACCCTGTTAATTATTCAAATCATGTAAAAATGCCAATAATGATTAAGATGCTTGCAAATGAAAATCAAAGGCATGTAAATGGTCATCAACTACTACTGGGACTACTACTATAACTAGATGTTAACCTATGGATTGGCCAGGAATTGCTTCAGGTACTACTTATAATCCATTCCAAAGTTTCGATTGTACTGTTGGTGATCCATTCACTCTTACTGCAGAAAAATGCTATAAGACAACAACACTTTACTCATATACATGGAATGAATCAACAAATAAATGTGTTTCATGCAAAGCTCCAACTAACAATAACAATAATATAACCATTCCAAACACCACCTACCCAGGTACTAATACTTACGATAATGGATACATATTGGATGTAACAATACCATTGGCTATTTTGGGAATCTTTATTTGATTTAATTTAAAAATTTATTAAGGGAAAAATTAAGATATATTAATAAAAATTCATTTTTCACAATTTATTCTGGATAGAATTTAATTATTATTAATTCTAATTCAAATACATGTTTATTGTTAATTTAAAGATGAATTTTGTTAACTTATTATGTTTCTCTGAATTCTAATAATGTGTTAAACATAAATTAAATAAAATTAATAATTATATTTTTCTTAGATATTTTTTTATTTATTCATTTTAAACTGACATATATTTATTTAAAATTCCTTAAAATACATAAGTAGGTATTATTGATAAGCGAAAATTTAACTATTAAAAACATAAGTCAAATAATAGATATCGTTAATAATAAATTTATTTGAAAGTAATTTAGTTAAAAAACAAATGACTACTTATATTATAAGAAATAAACCAATATTATAAAATTCTCCTACTTGTTAAGGAGTGTAATTTATTAATTAAAAAAAATTAAGTCACTCTATTTAATTATCAATCTCTTTATATTTTATGCAAAATCTTTATTATTTAAATATTGGTATATTAAATCAAAATTTATACTTTGAAGTAAAATTATAATTATAATGAATAGATCCTTAAATTCTTATTTCTTGTTGAATGTACTTTTACAGTAAGGAATATTATCATCAATCTCAGTTATATTTAATTTTTAATTTTCTGAATAAATTGAATTCTTTTGAAACAACTTTAATTATTTCTTCTAAAATTGAACCATTAAATATTATGCCATTCAATGATTTATTGCAGATATAAAATTCAATCATAAATATTGTTATCTCCTATTTGGGAATAGAATTTCATAAAAAGGAACTTAAATAATGATGTTTAATTCTTGAAAGAAAATAAGGACTTAAAAAATAAAAAAAAAGTGAGATAAATATTAGAATATTTAAACCAGTATAAAGTATTTACTTTTTTAGAAATTAAATATATTAATTGTCAATTAATATGTGCACAAGCCTGGCATAGCGCTATAATAAAGCTAACGATTAAAGTTATAACAGCAGTGAAGCTTAGATATATTATAAACACAGTAATATCAATGTAAAATAAGAGTGCTCCACCTATAAATTCGTTTTTTTTAAGCAAAAACTACCGTTAAGATATAATTACTTTTCCATGCATAATCATTTATGCTTCAAACAACATAAGAAAACTATAAATTACATGGCAAATTGCCCCTCCGATTAACACTCCTAAAAAAGCTTTCATTGTAAAAACAAAAATAATTCCAGTTTAATTGATTATAAATATTAACAATATATTAATAAATAATTAATTTAACTTTATTAAAAATTAGTTGTAGCAAAAAAACCATAACAAGAAAAATAAGTACAAGTATGTCTAAATATTATTGTGATAAAATACAATTTGATTTGTCCAGGATCCATTTTTTAAATGTAAAAATAATAATGCAAGCAAATGTTCCAATCGTCATACAGAATAAATATAAGATTATGATGAATCCTTATTTATGTGCCCTTAAATTAGTTGCAATAAGAGCTCCTAATAGAAGGCCAATACAAAATGAGAATACTATGTAAAAAATGATATTAAACGGAAACTATTTTAGTAAAGTTGAATACCTTTCTTGCTGATCTAAAGATGTTAATTATAATTCCAAGACCTATTGTAAACATCATGTTTGTCCAATAAAAAATAGTTGCTGATGTCTAATAATCCAACGAATAATGCTTTTCTTTAAGCCCAACTATTTAAATTAAACTCCATCGAAAGTCATCACAGAAATATAAAATTACTATCATTAAATATAAACTTAGGATCATCCCAGCTAAAATGAATATACCTTAACCATAAATAACATAGCTTAATCTAAACTAGCGATTGTATAATTATGATCAATTTAAGGAAATGAAAACCACATTAGCTTTTTTGTTAGGTCTGAAATTCTTGAATACTTAAAATCTCCTTCCTGATTTGCTACAATAGGAATATCCTGATACAAGGCTTCATTGTTTATTTTCATGTAATAGATTTATAAAAAATTAATAAAAAATGTATATGGATTAATTAATTTTTATAATGAAAAATGATACTGTTATATGGGATTTGAATAAAAGAATAAGTAAATAAGATTTTTATATGTAATAATTACAATATTAATGATAGCCAAGTTGAATTAATGGAAATAGTAAAATATGGAATAAAAAAAATTGATTTATATATTTCAAAGAAATTTAGAAATTTTATGATTTCATAATTAAAAAGTAATAATATTTCATCTTTTTATTGAGCATTTTGTTAAAATTCGTCCATTCTAGAAATTAAATTTAGAATTATTAAATTTAATTAATTAGTTTAAAATTAATTAATATTATTAATTTTTAGTGGTTATTCTATAATTAAGCAAAAGAAATGATCAAATTTGATTACTTTTCATATGATGAAAGCAAAAACGATGTCAATAAAATTTGAAACAAAATCAATTTTATTAAATTTAATAATTCTAAATTTAATTTCTAGAATGGACGAATTTTAACAAAATGCTCAATAAAAAGATGAAATATTATTACTTTTTAATTATGAAATCATAAAATTTCTAAATTTCTTTGAAATATATAAATCAATTTTTTTTATTCCATATTTTACTATTTCCATTAATTCAACTTGGCTATCATTAATATTGTAATTATTACATATAAAAATCTTATTTACTTATTCTTTTATTCAAATCCCATATAACAGTATCATTTTTCATTATAAAAATTAATTAATCCATATACATTTTTTATTAATTTTTTATAAATCTATAACATGAAAATAAATAATGATGCAGCCTAAATTATGGTTCCTATTGTGGCACAATCATAAGAAATTGATGATGAAGGAATATTTAATCAAATTTCTAAAACTCTTTGCTGGTATTAATATTTCAGTTCATCCATTGATAATTCTAATCAAAGGTTTTCAACTAATGATAACTAATGATGAGCAAATGCTATTTATAGTTAAGCTATACTACTTTTTAGATTGCTTACTCATCATTGAATATCTCATGGTCATCATCCTGTATTTTTCATTAATATTTCGATGGAGTTTAAATGATTATTTTTGTAACCCAACATCTATTTATTGTGCTATGTTTACATGTACAATTTTTGAAATATTTGATCAGGACGTGAAGAAAAATTAAATTAATTCAGTATTTATATTTATGACAACTTTTTCTTGGCATGCGTAGCTAATAATACTAAGCGTGATCATTCATATAATCAATTGATGTCTTCTGCTATTTGAACAAGTTATTATATGACTATTTATATAATCTAATTGTTTAAGGATCAAAATGATGAGGAAATCCTTATAAAATAGCTAATCAGTAACGACATATAAATCTTTAAGACACTTGAAAAGAGCCAGGTCATTTGTTTTTGAGGATTAAAAGTTTTGAAATTAGATTAGATACTTATTTTTTGTTTTAAAATTTAATAATTATATAAGTATATAATCTGTTTCTTTTTTTGAAATAATTTATATTTCCTTGGCTTATTATTTAAGAGATACAAAACCTTCATTTTGTTAAATTTATAAACTTGTTTATTTCAAAGCCTTGATGATATAAAATGAATTATGAATATTATTTTTTTCAACTTTGTTAATTTTTTTTAATTATTGGATTAAATGTAAGATAACAAATTAATACAATGATTGGATAATTGATTTTTTACTTATATATGATATGCTTTCATTTTATTGAGAATTTTATGTTTATAAGATCAGATTCAATAAAAATATATTAAAATGCTTAATTTACAACTGAATAACATGTGGATTATTTATTTTTTTAAAGATCAGTTAATAATATATATTTTGAGAAATTAGTATAATGATAAAATTAATATAATTATCAAAATAATAATCTTGTAAAAAACAAGATATTTTTAAAATTAACATTGAGAATCGAAAATAAAAGCCTCGTATTATTTTATTAAATATCATAGTGATTAGATCTATTTTCTATATGAATCTTGATAAATTGTTATTAGATTACAAATAATTTTGATTCTAAGAATTCTATCTAATTTATTAATCAAAATTAGCCAATTTTTTTTCATATTGAAAGTAGTCCAAAACAATGATATAGATATAGATACGATTACATCTAAATCTAAATCTAATTAAACAATCACCTTGTAATGGATATTAGATTATGGAAAAAAAGAAAGAAATAGCAGACTCTTTTTATATCTAAGATGATTATAATTATATAAATCATTAATTAGAAGGTTTAAATTATTAACAAGCTTAAAAAATTGCCATTTATTTTTACTGAATATTTGGTCTAAATATATCTATATAACATATTATTAAAAAGACATTAAAATAATTAATCATTTAGTTGATATGAAAGAACTTATGCTATTATTATATATTTTATTAATTAGATTACTTATTATTATATTATACATTCGTTGTCTATTTCGTTTAATTATTGTTATTCATTTGATTTATTTATATTAATATTAGGGAATCTTTCTGTTCTCCTTGCATTTGGAGTATAAAATTAGTCTATGATGAAATTGACTCTTAATTTTTAATAAATTTATTGAGATTCAACTTCTGTGTATAATTATAATTTAAGTAATTCTACTTAACTATTTGATCTTTTTATTTTGATATTAATATTATCTCCTTTTTTATAGTGATCTATGAAAATAATTTAGAAAGATTTTTGTTATTATTTCTAAGGAGAATAGGGAGGATTTAATCATATTGGTAAGAAAAATTACTCCATTTTATCAAAATTGGCGTTGGAGCAAATATTCATAACTAATTATTTATTTCTTATTTATTATATATAAGCTAATTATTTTAATATAATGTTGGAATTAATATTATTAACTCTGGTTAAATTAATCATCTAGTACAAATTCATAAAATTGTTGCCATTGAGTTTATGATAATATAAATTTTTAATCTCAATTAAATTAGCACTAAGACTAAGATATGAATTAGTTGAATTTGTTAGAGCATTATGAGAGCAATATGAATTATCAATTTAAATAATGCTGTTTAATGAATTTATATATAATAAATTAGTTTATTCCTCTGTAGAATCGTCAATTTATTAATGAATTATATTTTAAATAAATACAATTTCACTTAATTTAATGTTTAAATTATGTTATGAATATAGACTAAGCAAGGACAATGACACTGCTTCTTAATTCTTTAATAAAATATTTTCTTTAAATTATATATTTTTAAAATACACTTTTCCAATTTAGTCTATAATAAAATAGTTACTAAATATTATATCCATTAGTGAATAGTTATTAGAAAATAAATTTATAATGTAAATATTTTCCAATTACAAAAATTAGAAACCAGCTAATTTTAAGAGTTAATTCTTGATGTAGATAGATTAAGTACATTCTTAAGATAAAGGGATTTTATATTATTATTTTGAATTTACAAATCTTACATTTTCTAAAACTATCTACATAATCTCAAAAAGATAAAAAATAACTAAATTATTCAAATCTTAGAATGAAGTATTTTCTATAAATAAATGATGACAATGAAATTTAAATAAAAATATTTATTAATCTTTTGTACCAACCATTTGATTTCCTTAAACTTTTATGTTTTTTAAATTTACTATATAATTATTAATTTAAAGATTAGAATAAATAATTATCATGCTTGATTCTTAAAAATTAGTCTAACTATCTTCAAAATTATCAATAATACACAAAACTTTTTATTAATTTACTATTTGCAATGTAGAGATAATTGAAGATTTGATAAAAATGTTCTTATTTGTTTTTACTTCAATTAATTCTATATTATTATTAATATTGAGTTCTATAGCTAATTATCATGAAAGTATAGATTACTTGCGATTATTGAAAATCCATTATAAATCTTGATAAAATATGAATAAGAAAAGTTACATCCTAGTATTTCAACACCTTACAATATGACCTTATTAAGATTGATTTAATTTGTTTAGAAAGAAAAAAATGAGGAGTTTACAAGCAAACAATTTTCAATAATAATATCTTAAATATCTATCTATATTTAATTGTCATTTATTAAAAAAAAATATTGAGTTTCTTAATTAGCAATTCCTAAATGATAATTTTTTAATTTTTAAAAATATTTTACTTTATTAGTTCTAATAATCGAAAAAGAAAGAGTTCTAAATTATAGAATCTTCTATATTAAAATTATCAATCTGAATATTTCAAAATACTTAAGATTGAAACACTGTCTTTTCAATAATATTGCTTTTAGTTAAAATTATATTTTTTAATGTTATTTCAACTTTATTGTTATTATTTCTCAATATGAAACCATCTTCTTACAAACTTAGGCTCACATTTTAGAGTATTATTGAATCAAAATTAATTATTTCAGTAATTTCTGTTGTATAATAAATATTTTCATAAATAGAGAAGAGATTCAAATTAATTTTTTAAAGAGAAAATATTTATTTCTTTAATTAGGTTAGAATTTGGAGAGGTTTGTGAAACTGACACTTTTCTTGAAATTCAATGTTTATTATAAATTCTATTGTCATTTCATCAACTCCAATTAGATTAGAATATTGAAAATTTATTTCTTCTTCATAACCTCCAGCGATATATCTATTGAAAATACAA